ATTCCCCTACAAAAACATCCTCACATCATACCACCTTTCACAGGACGTAACGGTTTCACAAGGTGGGAGACTAACTTCAAGAAAAAAAGTCAAGAGACTAACTACAAAAAGCAGGAAACTTAGAGACTTTCTACAAAGAGCTGCAAATAAAGGTAAAGTTCAAACTTTTTTCCTTACAAGCAAATTAAAAAATGAAGCAACTTAATGGTTTAGAAAGAAATCCTTAAGTATATATTAAGTATATAATTAGGGATTTACACTTTTAACTTAAGTGTGAATGTTTAGTGTTGAATATTTGTAAATAAAGTAATAAAAAGGTAAATAAATCAATGTTATGCTTGATATTAGACAGCTTATTAAAAGAGGTTAAAGGGAGGGGCCTTTGTGTAAAATAGATGCTTTTAAGCTAATATTTTTAGACCTTAATGTTCAAATTTTTTCGATAAAAAAATGTATCATTTTGTGTTTATAAAATATAAACAATAATATATATATATATAAACTTGAATTACTGTTATGTCGTGTAACATAAAAAAAACAAGTTACATTCCAGTTTAGAGTTTCTTAAAAACCAAAAACGGAACAGTTCAGCACAAATATAAAGCACCATCTTCCTCCCTCGATCAGGCTTTTAAGAGCACAGTTATCACCGTGTAGACAGGAGAAGAACACAATTCTGGAGGAGCCAAGGTGCATGTTAATAATCGTCCGGAGAGCTGCTGAATGATTCAGCGTCAACTAAAAACAGCCATAATTACCGTTAGTCATTTTGCCGGAGCCCACGCACCACCTGGTCACCCACTCAAGTCCTCACCAATCCATGGCGCTCTGTGGCCAGAAGGAAGAAAATACAGCACACAGTAGTGGACTACAGAGCGGAAAATACAGCCAACAGTAGTTTTATCAATCAATGAGGATTTAGTAAAGAGAACAACTTGGAAAATAAGCAAGAGACATTTAAGTAAAAGAGAAATAGAATAGAATAGAATAGAATAGAATAGAATAGAATAGAATAGAATAGAATAGAATAGAATAGAATAGAATGGGACCCGGGACCCCTCTCAGGGAGTGGCAGATCACTGGTTTAGCAAAGATAAAAAGTGTCACAACCTGTTGAGACTTGAGGTTTGCTCGGTGATGTGGGTTTCCTTAGAGATGCTGTTATTTTCCGCTATAGCCTCGAGATACCGATTCCTGTATGGGCCTGTCTTAGGGAGGAGTCACTGGGTTTGTGTGCAAATACATAAGCTTCCAGGCTGAATATGTCTTACCAAACAAAACATACTAATTATGCAAACACAGGAAGATGTTAAAGAGACAGATCACTCAGTTATATGGAATTTCTGTCATCAGTGAAGAACACAAAAGAAGATGTTTTGGAGAGTACTATTCACTGATATCCATATTAATGATGTCAATTGCTACTGATTTCCAACATTCTTCTTTTGTGGTTAACAGGAATAAATATAGTTTGAAACCACTTGAGTGTGAGGAAGTTTTCATTTTTTTCATTTTCACTTTAAGAGCACTAACCTAACTCGACCGTGAAGCGTGCTTGATTTGATGTCATTCTTTGTTTTCATTGTTACAGGATGGGCTCCGCTGGTGTGCAGATTGTGTGTGTGGCTCTGGGAATTTTAGGACTCATTGCTACAGTCGTGACCATTGCTATTCCACAATGGAAGACTTCTGCCTTTATTGGTCAGAACATCATCACTGCACAGGTAAACAATTACTGCAGTTTCAAAGAATTAAGTTATTATTATTATTAAAATGATTATTCTAAACCAGTAACATTGTTAACTAGTTAATTAGGTCTCATCAAGCACCAAGAATGGTGTACTTGTATGATATTGTCTAACTCTCATGAAGAAAAAACCGTATGGAAAAACAAACTTGTCATTTTCAACATAAATAGTTTGACCTAGCATTAGCTAAAACCATTTTTAAAAATTAAAATAAATTTAAAAAATATCAGTTCTATAAAGTAAAAAATACAATTAAATGTAATTAATTAAGAAAAACTACAATGAGAAATTTTGTCAACCGAACAAGTTTAAGAGTAAAAATTAAATAATAAGTAAAAGATGAATAAAAAAAAAAATCACAAAAATGATTAAAGGTACAGTAGGACTATTTTAAAAGTAAAAGCTATTTCAAAAGATTAATAAATTCTACAGAATAATACTAAAACAACTCAAAACACTGGGCGAAGCAGTAGTCCAGTAGGTAGTGCTGTGGCCTCACGTTTGCATGTTCTCCCTGAATATTAAAATGAATGAATGAATGAATGAATGAATGAATGAATGAATGAATGAACTCAAAACACTAAAAACTTACAAATAAGTAATAATAGCATTTTAATACATAGTAAAGTTTGAGGGGGGGGGGTTCTCCACACCCCCACCAGTGTGCAGCATCCACTTGGATGATGTGATGGCAGCCACAGGACAGCGACGCCAGTGCGCTCACCTCATACCAGCTATTGGAGGAGTGGAGAGACAGTGATAGAGCCAATTCATTGGATAGGATGATAGGGAGGCCATGATCGTAAGGGCCGATAGAGGGACTTTGGCCAGGACACCGGGGTTACACCCCGAAAGACGGCGCCCACGGACAGTGTAGTGTCCCCTTCACTTTTACTGGGGCATTAGGACACAGACCACAGGTTGAGCGCCCCCTGCTGGCCTCACTAACACCACTTCCAACAGCAACCTAGTTTTCCCATGTGGACTCCCATACAGGTTCTGACCAGGCTCAGCCCTGCTTAGCTTCAGCGGGTAACCGGTCTTGGGCTGCAGGGTGATATGGCTGTGGCTTTACAGTTGATCCTTGTGTCTGGTTGGTAATAGCACAATACTAGCTAGCATGAATGAACATGATTCTATCAAATTAGCATGTTATTAGCATGTTGTTAGCATGTTTCTAGCATAAATAAGCATGTTGCTAGCATGTTTCTAATAGCATGTTGTTATTATGGTTTCAACATGAACTAGCATGTTTCTAACACAAATAAGCATGGTGTTAGTATAATTCCAATATGAATTAACATGTACTAGCATTATTCTAACATGAATTAGCATGTTACTAGCATGTTTCTAAAATGAATTAGCATGTTGCTACCATATTTTTAGTAGGCATTGGACAATAACCATTTTCATTTAATTTATTTAGCCTGTAATGTTCACTGCTCCAAAATATTACAAATGTTTCTTAAAATTAAATTTGTGTTCAATTGAGGAAAAAGATTTTATTTTTTACCCAGACATTTGAAAAGACCATATATTAGAGCAGTAACGTTAATCCCGTGATATTTTTATCCAAGGTTATCATACTGTCAGAATCCTGTGATGGCCTATGCTTAGTTTCTAACATGAATTAGCATGTTGTTAGCATGTTTCTAACATTAATTAACATGACTCCAACATACAAAAATATACACTATTATAAATAACATAAAAGTAGTAATTATTGTTATTACTATTATTCAATTTCACAATTTGTTAACTTCCCAATTTAACGTTACCATCACTGAGCTGTTTTTTCTTTCCTTCTTGCCTCGCCTCAGGTCTCGGAGGAGGGTCTGTGGATGCAGTGTGTGGTTCAGAGCACCGGTCAGCAGCAGTGTAAAAGCTACGACTCGTTGCTCATCCTGAGCTCAGACCTGCAGGCGGCTCGAGCCATGACCATCATAAGCTGCATGCTGAGCGTCCTGTCCCTGCTCATCCTGTGCGGCGGTGCAGACTTCACCACCTGCATCGAAAACGAAGACGTCAAGCCCAAAGTGACCCTGGTGTCCGCCATCGGCCTGATCCTGGCGGGCCTGCTGGTCATCATCCCAGTCAGCTGGGCCGCCAACAACGTCGTGCGCGACTTTAACAACCCGATGGTTCCTGAGGCACAAAAGAGGGAGCTGGGTCCTTGTATTTACATAGGCTGGGCTTCAGGAGTGCTGCTCATACTGGCCGGGGGTCTGCTGTGCTGCTTCAGCAGGCCTCGTTCCAGCGGATCCAGCGGAGCCGCCAAATACTACAGCAACAGCGCCTCAGCGCCCAGCAAAAATTATGTGTAAATAAATGCAAAAGATGAGCATTTAAGATCATTCTAGGTATAGTACGTACTAGATAACCCGTCTAAGGTAGCGAATAAGTCTGTAGTTTGTAGGAAAATCGCCCTCATACGACTTAACCGTGGTTTATTTACAGTAGCCTATATTAATCATGTTTTATTTAAGCAAAATTTTTACAAATGCTGTGTTAAGTTGTGTGTTGTAAAAGGTTACCACATGAATTTGTTTTGGGTTTGTTTTGTTTTATGTGATATTTTGTTTCTGGCAAAACCATGGTTAATTTTGGTGAGAGTGGAACTGGAAAAGGTCAAAATGGAGAAAGATGTAAATATTACTTGTTTGGAGTCTCTGAACTGTCCTACAAATACTGTCTTTAAGCATTTTAATAATCAGTTTTATATCTTTTTTTATGATAATTTACTACTGCCTTTTCTTAGAGCTGCTAATAAACACAACTTCAGGGATGGGACAGAGCTTGTGTCCAAAATACTTTCATTCAGGTCACTGTATAACACATGTGTGCCAGTCCTTATTATTTTCAAAACCATGACTGCACTCATTTCTTTTGAGTATTAATGTTGCATAACAGCTACTACTAGACTGTGTTTCAGATGTATTCCTACTAGCGTTTACTCAGTGTGTAATCAGTTTACTTTTGGGGTTTTTAATGAGACCATTTTACTTTATTATGTAATAGACAATGTTGTCTTTAAAAAATGTATGTTGTAAGACCAGACTAAGGAGTTTAAGTCACTGGTACTTTTCAAAAACATATTTAGGATATGGGAAATACTGTATCATTTTGTTTTTAATACTGTATAATTTCGTGCTTTCTTTGTGCATTAGGTCATAATCATTTCCACTGTCTGCCTGTTCAATAAAACCGACTGATTCAGACATTTGTATGTGCGATCAATTGTTGACACATGAATAAAGCTTTGATAAAATAACACTTTATTTTAAGTCCTATAAAACATATTAAAATGGGCTCCAAATAAAACATCACATAAAAAAAGTTAAATCCCTGAAGAACAATATTTGGTGTGCAAAGGACAGCAAAATGACATCCGAGAAAATCTTTCACATGAATCTAGAAATCTTGCACCTTTTACGTTTTCATTATTCGCACATCTTGCTCATGTCCATTTGCATTTTTAAAATTCATATTTTCAATTCATCTGGGGTCTGTCTTCATCTACTTGCTCTCCAGGTCATTCACTCGCTTGGTCAAATCCTCCACCATCTCCTTCAGCTTCTTCACCTCATTCTGCAAGGCCTGAACATCCTGTACGAGACATAGAAAGGAAGGCAGCATGAGTTTAATAGTAGCAGAAGTTCAGTTTGCCGTGTTTGGGGTTGAATAAATCACATCAGGACACTTACCCCACTGTCTGACTGTCGGTTGCATGAGGATGATGATGTGGTGGACATCAAGCTCTTGATGACTTTGAACTCTTTGTTCTTGGTTGTAGCCACAAAACCGTCTTTCAAGGAGATCAGGATTGGTTCGCCATCTTTGCCTGCAAACCAATCATCCGCCTCCACTGATGGCTCTGGACCCACCGTGTTGGGGTAAAGGTCTTCTTGAAACAAGTCAGACTAAAGCAAGCAAAAGATAATGCTGGATTCAGACCACAGGTCAACAACAGTGTGACATTAATACACAGCCATTCAAGAGTTTGGGGTAGGTTAAATGTTTTCTCAACTGTAGTCTCTTACGCTCACCATGATAGCATTAATTTAACCAAAATATAGTAAAAACTAATATGAAATATAATTTTAAATACCTTTCTTCTATAAATAAATTTCAAACGTAGTTTACTCAGCAAAACTGACTTTTACTGCAGCTGTTACTACAGTATTTAATGTCAAATGATCCCCCAAAATCATCCCAGGGGTTCATTAATTGACAGTTTTCAAATAAAAACCTGATAAAAACTAAAAGCATATTGCACTGTGGTTGTTTATTTACACAAAAAAACTATTTTAATGTTTCAACAATACCATTATTGTTTACTGTGTAAAGTGTTTTTTTTGAGAAAGCTGTGACGTGTATATATATATATATATATATATATATATATATATATATATATATACACACACACACACACGCACACACACACACACACACACACAAAACAATTCTGTTCTTGAATCTGATTGGCTGACAGCAGTGCGATATTCTGTTTAGATTGCAACTTTAAAGTTTAAACTATGAAATTTTGAAGCATCTGATTCAGTGCATCAACCGCCATCAGCCTGTCTGAGCAGACCAAATTTCTGACAATTGACGTTCCGGACAGAGACCGCATGATAAGTCCTTAAAAGAAGAAAAACGACATTTTCTTAGTGTAAATTTCAAGCTACAGCTGATCAAATCATTATAAAACATGTAAGTGACACCAAGTCAATCTCTCTCTTTTGTATTTTGTAGTACTGTATTTACACTACAGAAACCGGTGGTGTATGCTCTGCTCTGGCTTTTTCAGGGTTAATTATTGTGAAATCCCGATTGCAACAGAGAAATGCTGGGAAATCTCTGTAGATTGATGGCATTTTAAGATGACATCTAAAAATGTCAGCAATATCACCTGTTTTGTCATTACTTTAGACATTAGAATCACTCAAATACTAGTTTTAAAATTACGTGTGTGAAGTAGCAATGGTTTCTGCAGTTCTGATGTCAGCTGCAGATGTGTGTGGAGGAAGAAAGTAGTTCCCTGTACAAAAAGGGTTTTTGAGAGTCTCTGTGTTTGATTTTTTTTGTATACACGATTATGCCATCGAATTGTTGTATAAACACATAATCACACTTATAGCAGTGCAATATGACTGTATATCGGCACTGGTAGGGGGCACTAAGGCACTCGACCTTCGGCCTCTATATATATATATATATATATATGCATATTACTTGCTAAGTCCACCAAGTCTTGCTAAGTAACCAAAACAAGGTTGTTGCTAGATCGGATACGATTGTGGCTAGGAGTTAACAAGAATTATTTATATTTATAAAATTTTCCATTTATTGTATTTTATTAAAGTCTACCCCCACCCCCACCCTAAACTCAAAAATCGTAGTAACGTAAACAGTTATTATTATTTATGCTATCTATTAAATTAGCCAATAAATTGTATCTTTTAATGCAGAATTTTCTAAGTTGTAATTTTTATGATTCCGTTGTCTTGTAATCATACTCCAATATTCTGATTTACTGTGCAAGAAACAATTGCTACATATTGTTAACAGTTAATAATTATTCATATATCTGTTGAAACTGTGTCAATATCCTCAGCATTTCTTAAATAATAGAAAGTTGAACAGCATTTATTTGAACTAAAAAAATTTTATGATAAATTTTATAAATATCTCTGCTGCCACCTTTGATCAGTTCAACATCAAAAAATCCTTCAACCCCAAAAAATACAAACCTGACTTTTACAAACTTTCAACAACAACTAACCTTCTCCGCCACCATTAAAATAAACTAGTTTCCAGCCACTGTCAGCCTATTTGATGATTTTCACCTAAATTTGATGACCCTCATAATATTCTCAACATGTGAGTGTAAAAAACTGACACACTTATAACTTTGTCCAGATTGACAGGGGCTGATCCTTTCACCCTCATAAAGTGTCATTTTACATGCAATTTGATGTGCACTTTCTCTGATCGTCCTTGTTTTTCGCACCCTAGACACCCAAAAGTCCCGTAACTCATTCTGTACATTCACTAGGGCTTTCCTTACCATAATACACCTAAAACATGGAGGGCACGGAAGTGTTGTCTCTCAATTAACAAATTATCAGGTCAATGGTAAAGAAAGAGCTAAGCTGTTCTCAAACCTTGAGTCCATATTTACCTTACGAGGCACAGTCATCACAACAGGTTCACATTTCCTCTCATGGAGTTTATAGAATCTGAAATAAACGTGACATAGTGTAGAATTAAAAATGCTGAGCTGCATGAAAATCTTTTAGTATGAATTTAAGTGAAATCAAGTATGGATGTATGAACTGACCTTGCAATCTCACACTTGTTGACCTCCAGGCCTCTCTTCGGCATGTATCCCATGCCCTTCTGGCTTTCCTTACTGCTGTACATGGACAGATAGTGGACGTATGGAGCCTCGTCTGTCACCTCAAAGTATCTGATGCTGCTATCGCCCTGCCAGACCATTTACACTAGTTAAAACATGCAACTTCTTAAACTAAAAACACTTAAACAACTTGTGTTCGGTTCTTGCCTTGCCACAGAGGTAGACTATACCCGTGTCAGGGTCAAAGAAGGGTAACAACACTCCACTGCTGGTGTCCAGCTCCTGCAGAGTCAAGGGCTCACCGAAGTTGTTCTGCAACCGCAAACACACTTTTGTGAGTCATTTTTTTGTTGGTAAAACTGAAGAAGAGCGACTCTGATGCTCTGATGCTGTACTCACAGGATCCCACAGAGCCACCTGTCGCTCACTCATGCGGCTGAAACCAGTGGTCAGGATCTTCCCATCAGACACAAACACAGCTCTGACTGGCCTGGAGCCTTCATGAGGCTTGTCCTTCTCCTAAACATACACACACATAATCAAGGCATAATTAGAGTTTTATTTTTTATCTTAACATTGAATTCTTAAAGGGATATTTACCAAAAAGCGTATTTTGAAAAAAATTGGAAAAAAAAGATCAATGAATGTCTATGGGGACCACCAACTATTTGGTTACCAACATTTCACAGGATATTAGGCTCTGTGTTCAGCCAAAAAAGAAGAAAAAAAAATTATACAATGTTTGGAACAAATTGAGGGTGAGCAAATTAAATTTTTGTATGTAGTATCCCTTTAAGTAAATAAAATAATGTATTTGATTAATGCATTTAAAGGGATAGTTCACCCCAAAATGAAAAATTCCTTGCCATTTACTCACACTTATGTGGTTCAAAACTTTTTATGTATTCCTTCCACAAAACAAGATATTCTGAAGAATGTTGGGAAAAAAATATTTCAAATATTAAATATAATTGAAGTCAATGGCTTTTTCCCTAACGTTCTTCAGAACATCTTCCTTTGTGTTCAATAGAAGAAAGACACTTAAATAGGTTTGGAACAAGCGGAGGATGAGAAAATCATAATAGAACATTTATTTCTGGGTAAATTATCCCTTTGGTTAAGTCTTTTAGTGTAGTCATGTTTGCTGAGGTTTGTAGATTTCATGCATGGGAAAAACAGTCATTTAAAAAGTGACTCAGACAATCAGGAATGCTTTCCTTGTATGTTTCACAACAGGTTTAGTAGAAAAAGGCTTGGTATTGAAAATTATTTCAGTGTAACCTGTGATTCATAACATTAAGCAACCCGTGATTACACATTCAAAAATAATTAAATTCAATTAAAAGGAACTTTCAAGTTAATTAGTATAGCTCCCTCTCATGTTTCAACACAAAACTTGCATTAACAATGCAACAAAAACTATACAGACTAGCTAACCTATGATGTACTCAATATGTCAGATGCAATCTGACAGCACAAGACTAGACGTGACTCCAAAATTAATGTGGTGAAGATTAAACAATACAACCGTAAAAAACAATAAACAAAGCACTAAAATAAAGTAGAAATTATATGAAAGTATATAAAATATGTATTCAAACAGTGTGTGAGATTGCTATGTGATTTAACACAATCCTTAAATCGCTAAAGACTTTCTCATTATATAAACAACAACTAAGCTTTTATAACAAGTATAATTATGTATATCGAATAAAATCATATTATAATTATAATTAAAATAACATATTTAAAACTTTGATTGTTTAAATGAATATTATTATTATTATTATTATTATTATAGTTTCCCCAATTTGTTGTTTTCTAAATACAGTACACAGTTTTAAAGCTGCTAACACTTTACAACATGGTCTCATTTGTTATAGTTATCTAATTCATTTATTCATTCATTCATTCATTCATATTCAGCTTAGTCCCTTTATTAATCAGGTCTCCACAGCAGAATGAACCACCAACTTATCTAGCACATGTTTTACTCAGCGGATGCCTCTCCAGCCGCAACCCATCACTGGGAAACATCCACACACATCCATTCATACTCATACTACGGACAATTTTAACCGGAAACCGGAGCACCCAGAGGAAACCCACGCCAACACGGGGAGACCAAGCAAACTCTACACAAAAACGCCAACTGACCCAGCCGAGGCTCTAACCATCGACCTTCTTGCTGTGACCCGACAGCACTACCTGCAGCGAAACCGCGTTGCCAAAATTATGTAATAAATTAGCATAATTATATTAGATAAATATTCCTAAAAGAATTTTATTTTATTAATTTTGTTTAGTAAAAAAATAACTGTTCACTGTTTGTTCACATGATATTTACTAATGTTAAAATATACATCCTTTAATTTTAAAAAGGTTTTAGTTATATTTAATAGACTAAATTGAAAAACGCTTTAGAAGATATGTCCATTGATAATTCATATTAACCAATGAAGTTAACTAATGCTAACAAACGAAATTTTATTGGAAAGCAAAATTGTTATGCCACAGTCACTGGATAATGGGGGAAAATGTTAGCTCTAGGCCCTTTAGCTATTATATGAAACCCCATGTATTTGTTTCTTTTTTGGGCATCATTTACTTAGTTTAGCCTGAATATAGCATTTCTTCACAGCAAAGAGGATAACGCACATAGATAACAGTGCCCTTGCGAGGGTCGATCACTCGTAGTTTCTTGTCCTTGCAGGCGGTGAGGATCTGCGAGCCATTTCTGTTCCAGCAGACGCTGTAGATCAGATCCGTGTGCACAGTGTCAATGCGCACCACTGCTTCTCCACGAGCCACGTTCCAGAGGATCACCACATTATCACAGCCTGCACACAGATCAAACAGTGGAGACAAGATGAAGCAAGACAACAGCAGGAAATGGAGGTGGGAGACAAAAAAAAAGCACGTTGAAGTGTGTGTGTCAGCAGAGGGCGCCATCATTCCATTTCAATCCTAAAAGTGGTTTGTGTATTATACACTTCCATTAATAGTGTATATCGGTGGATATAAATACATGTAAAACTGGATCACAAAATTCCTGTAATATAGGGATATTTTTTGCAATGTTTGTCAAAATTATGATTTTTTTAATGCCAGAAAATCATTAGAATATTACGTAAGAATCATATTCCCTGAAGATTTTTGTATTTCCTTCCTAATTTCCTACCGTGAATGCATCAAAACTTAATATATCCCTTCCTATGAATGTTCAAATGGACAACTTTAAAAGCAATTTTCTCAATATTTAGATTATTTTGAAAGCTCAAAGCCAATTTTTTTTAAATAGTTGGCTCTTGACTTATACTATCCTAACAAACCATACATTAACAAAAGGCTTATTTACTCAGATTTTACATGATGTTGGAATCTCATTTTCAAAATGTCGAGACTTATTACTGGTTTTGTGGTTTCTGATGTGGTTTACCTGCACTCATTAGCACATTGTGGGCAGTAGGGTGCCAGCTGACAAGGCCCACACGTTTCGAGTGCCCTTCCAGCTTCACAACTGGGTCCCTCAGTGGCGTTACGAGGCCTCCCTCTGGAATCTCCCAGATCTATAATATATCAACAATGACCCTCTGTTAGATCAGGCAGTATGACCAATATCCACATTCAAACATGCATTAGTGTTGGTTGGACACTCAGGTAAAGGTCTATTCACAGCATGGATGATAACTAGAACTACAAACACATCATTATCGTGTTTTTAATCATTTTTATTCTTTGTTTTTATTTACTTATACTCTCTTTTATTGCTGTTTATGTAAAGCACTTTGAATTGCCATTGTGTATAAAACGTGCTATATAAATAAACTTGACTTGCTTTGCCATTATGAAAAATGTAAATATTAATTATCATATTGATAGTAAATAATAAACGTACATGTAAAACATGTATTACTCTTAGGTGGTGTTAATTTCATAGATAATTTCCTAGCTTTTTTTTTTGTGGCCTTAAAAAGAAAAGCAGTTTGTTTTTAATTAACAAATTTTTAACAAAATAAAATATTTTTCATAAAATCTGTTTATTATTTGTTAACACTATATTTGAATGTACACACTAACAACGAACCATTAACTAAGTCTATTAGCTTGATAATATATTAATTAGCTCAGCAACGTGCTCAGCATAACTGAGTACAGCCTGTTTTGAAAATGAATATTTTTATCCCTTTCTCAGTGAATATGGGTGATATATATTGGTGCATTTAAACAAAACAGATTTATTAAACAGATATATTTATTCAAATAATAATTTAGTCACCAAACATATTTAGAAACTGAAAGATATTATTTTCATAAAAAATTTAATTAAATTCATAAAAAATATTGCAAAAAAAATAACAAACTACAACATTTCAACAATTTTTTGTTTTTTTTTTAGTTTTGGTATTTTTCTAAATGTTATTTTAATGTTTTTCCCTAACAAATAAATTTGGGCTACGTATATGCACAAATAAAGTAATGTAAAGCATCCTATAAAAAAAATACTCATTTAAATCAGAGATTTGTGGGGGGGTCTACTCATACATGCTGAGCACTGTAGGTATTGGATAGGACTAGGGATGTAGAATAAGATCACACTTTATAAGTACTAAAACACAGTTAATATCTTATTAATAGACCGGTTATTAGCTAGAAGTTAATAGTGTGAATTGTGACAAACTAATGCATTACCATTATTTTTTAATAGTAAAAAATTGCTATATAAAATACAGTGTTAAATAAGCTAGTGCTTCCAAATTGTTGCTCTTTTGTTGGTTCGATTGCTTCAACAAGTTGGTTTGAATAAAAATGGCTGCTAAATTAATATAATTAAATTGAAATGAAACTGAATAGGATCCATTCTCGACAAGCAGATTTTATTCTAAACGTTCCACTTTTAGACTGTAAAACAACTTTGAACATTTGTTGTCTCTTATAACCAGCATTACTGTACAATAACAAGCCTATTCTTGAGCTTTATTTACACACCATTTTATCAATTTTATTTATTTATTTTTTTTCATACTTAATGTGTTTGTTGATACTTATGACAAGTAAATGTAACTGGCAATGGTCTAAAAATATGAATCATTTAGCATATTTTAATTGTTTTGGTACACACATGTAAAGCTATACATGTATTGGAATAACCAAAAATACATTGTGTGGTTGACGACAAAAATCATTAAAATATTATGTAATAATCAGAAGATATGTTGTGGATTTCCTACCATAAATCATTAAAACTTAATTTCTGAGTTGTCAAGTGCATAAGCACTTTATTTAGACAAATTTAAAGGGGATTTTTTCATTATTCTCAAATTTCAGATTTTCAAATATTTGTATGTCATCTAAATACAATCCTATCATATCAAACCAAACATCAATGGAAAGCTTATTTAATAGGTGGTTGTATTTTATAAGAAAAAATTTAAAAATGGACCCTTTCTGTCTGGTTTTGTGGTCTCTGGTCACAAATGTCATGTGACCAAACCATGAAGTCCTTGTCACTCACCATGACACTACAGTCTTCAGAGCCGCTGGCAATGATGTTGTCATTATGTGGGCAAAACTCAATGTCCAGCACGGGTCCAGTATGTCCACAGACAGTGGGTTGGGACATGTCAATACGACCCGTCTAAAACACAAAACAAAGGGTTACAGAGGAAAGCAAAGGAATGTAGAATATGAAAGCTGTATTGCTGACAAACAGAGCAGAAAGAGCACGAGAGATCTCAGACAGATGAGAAGGCTGTGTCAGCTGATCTCAATTTTATAGCTATGCCTTCAATTACGCCTAATAACTACCAACCCGTTTAGAGAGGACAGCACCATGCAGGAGTTTCTGGAGAGCACATTTACTCTTATTGTTAGATCTTAGAGGTCTGTGCAAGTCAATGTAGAGGAATGGTTTATGATTTATTACTCCCACACAGGGGATGCACTAATTTAAAAACTAGAAAATTGACTGAAATCCATGTTAAGCAAATACTGAAAACTCCTTTTATGTTACTTGAAATAATGCTGAAATGTAATCATGAAAAACACTAGAAGAAACTCTCTTTTCTGAATTTTTTACGTTATCAAAATAAAAGGTTAAAACTTAAAAAAGAAATAATGGTCAAAAATGACTGCATATGACTGGTAATATGATTTCATCAGGAGGGAATGCTAGCACCCAAATAAATTCTTCTGACAGTGACCTTTTTAAGATACAAACCTTAAATTGTATCCACTACTTAATTGAATTAATTTCTTTAATTTAATTTCTTTATATATGCACACACACACACACACACACACACATATATATATATATATATATATATATATATATATATATATATATATATATATATATATGTATGTGTGTGTGTGTGTGTGTGTGTGTGTGTGTATATATATATATATATATATATATATATATATATATATATACATACACAGTGGAAGTCAGAATTATTAGCTCCCCTTTTCATTTTTTTTATTTTTAAATATTTTCCTAATGATGTCTAAATGAGCAAGGAAATGTTCACAGTATGTCTAAATGTCTGATAATATTTTTTCTTCTGGAGAAAGTCTTATTTGTTTTATTTCGGCTAGAATAAAAGCAGTTTTTAATTTTAAATATCCATTTTAAGATCAATGTTATTAGCCCATTTAAGCTACATTTTTGGTGGCAAATAGTTTACTATTAGTTTGTTTGATCATACCAACTTTGCTTTTGCCTTACAGCAATTTTATGTAAAGAATTCTAATGTTGTGTATATGTATCTATTTTATTTCATTTTCTGTAAAGCCTCGCATGGACAGGTGTTGAGAATTAGCAAGTCTGCTTAAACACTTGAACAAATGCATTTGGTTGTCCAGTGTAATTGTGATGTCCATGTCAAACAAACAAATAAATAAATAAATAAATATTACTAAATAAATTATAATAAAAAAACATCAAACGACATTCGAATTCAATGACTATCTAGTGACAAATATTTTAATTACAACACCTTTTTTTTTTCAAAGAGTCAAAATCCTGTCTACATTAACATATAATGAAAACAAAACATTAATTACAGATTAAATTACCGCCTTTATCATTTAAAGGGATTGCTCACCTAAAAATGAAAGTTCTGTCATCAATAACTCATCCTTCACTTGTTCAAAACATGTTTGAAATTCTTACTTCTGTCAAACGCAAAGGAAGATATTCTGAAGAATGTTGGAAAGCAGCAGCCATTGACTTCCATTAGTGTATTTATCTATGAATGTCCATGGCTGCTGGTTTCCATCACTCTTCAGAATATCTTCCTTTGTGTTCAATAGAAGAAAGAAATTCATAAAGGTTTATAACAACTTGAGTGTGAGTTAATGATGATGAAATTTAAATTTTAGGGTAAACTATCCCTTTAATCGAAAAACAAAAAGGAAAAGGATGTGCATTTTCTGCACAATGCTGCCTTTAATGCCACATGTGAACTCTGCAAGTTTGTGTAAAACCAGATGATGGCATTACGAGTCTCAAAAACTAGGCTTTCAAAACTTCCTCAAGCCACCCAAAACGAAATGAAAGGCCTTGACTCGAATTCTCGTGTTCATTGGGAAAACAATGGCAGCCATTGAGTTTAAGACGCACAGCAGATTGAACATGACAGAACTCCCATTCACTCGCCAGCGTAAAACTCACAAGTGCAGAAAGAGCGAACTATGAAAACAGATGAGCAGAGATGATGCACCGAGAAGATGAAACAAAACAATTGATGAAAAGAGGAAGACAGAAAACTTTCCATGCTGCAAATTATTTTGTAGCTATAATGCTTAACGAAGTGCAAACTACACATTCAAATTTAGTTTGATCACGATGAAGAAAGCGGGCACATCAAGATGAAGTTTAAGTGGCAGCTGTCCTTTTCTCACAGTTTTTGTCACTCACTCAATCTGCAAGCTGTCACCACATCCTGTGCAGCGCTGACAGCAACGCACTCCAAATATGGCAAAAACAAGATGCAAGAGAGCATAAAGAGAAGAGATGCTCGATCTGGTGACACGTACATACGAAACCCAACCTTGAACTTCCTTATTTAGACAAAAACTGCATGACACGTCTAGTGTTCAAAATGTAAAGACTATAGCAGAACATTTCCATCAGCTAATCGATTAAAAGTGCAAACAGGCCTAAAACTACTAACCTAAACTTTACTCTTTTAATATTTTAATAAAATACTGTCTTTGTTATTTGACTTTGGCTTTAAAAAGAGGTTAGATAGCTGAAGTTTTATGAGTCTGACTTGCTATCTGGATGCACCTTGCTCAGGGGCAGGACAATGAAGGCTCCTCCACCGCTGGCATCCACAATCATGGACACAAATTTGGGGTTGACGGAGCAGAAGTTGCTGTCCCAGGTCATCTGGGAGATCCTGATGTCATCGTAGCACTGGTCCGCCTTCACCGCCTGGCCAAAGACATGGCGAAACTTACTGGACCTGACCACCTTCCTAGACATGATGACCTGAGGAAAGACAGACAACAGGGATAGATGACCTCCCATCAGCAAACTAATGAAATGCACACACCATTTACTCAAATGTTTAGACATTTTAGGATTTGCTTTGTTCTGTTGTAAATAAAAGTAGCCATTGACGTCCATAGTGTTTCTTACACTGTTAAAGACTTTTGTAAATGACGCAGTATTTCACTCTAATATGAATTGTATTTTCCTGTAGGATTCCCAGTATTGGGTTGCGGCTGGGAGGGCATCCACTGCATAAACCATATGTTAGATAAATTGGTGGTTCATTCTGCTGTGGCGACCCCAGATTAATAAAGGGACTAAGCCGAAAAGAAAATGAATGAATGAATGAATGATTTTACAGTAGGACAGTTATGCAGTATGTTACTGTATTTTAAAGTTGCATTGTGAAAATGACTATATTTTGCAGTTAAGATAAATCTCAACACTGCAAATACATATACTAAATGTTGTTGTAAGTATAAATACTTGATTTTTGCTGTAGTAGATTCTACAGGAAATTGTTAACAGTGTACTATGGATGTTGGAGGATAAAACTTGGAAGCATTCTTCAAAACATCTTTTGCTTTCAGTAGAATGAGGAAACTCAGTTTAGATCAAGTGTATGGTGAGTAAATGGTGACAGAACTTTCATTCTTGTTGATGAACTATTTATTTAAACATAAGTAATGAATGAAGAAATATACACAATATGTGTTACATCATTATTTTCAAACAATAAAGCATGGCACCATAGATTATGGGTTCAATTTCCAGGGACATTCAATGAAACATACGTTGCAACCAGTGGTGTAGTAGGGGCCATACGCACGTATACTCTGTATGCCTACTTTTTTCCACGAGCTGTTTGGGTATTATGACTTCTGATGATCAATAATTGCGTATACCCTCGATAAACTCACTTGTTTTGCTGATTAAACCCCCTAATTTGTGTGTTTTCGCATCTCCTTTAACTGTATACCATTTTTTTTAAACTTGCATCTTAATTTGTTGCAAATTGTGCATTTGGAAAAAATATACATGAGTATATGCTAGTATTTGGGTTCTACCACAGCTTAATATGCTCAGCCAATCTCCGGGTCTGCTGGGGGCACTATTAGCTAAGCATAAATCATTTAGCAGGATTAGACTATTAGCATCTCGCTTAAAATGAACAAATTTGTTTAAATATTTTTCCTTTTTAAATTGTCATCATTTACTCAACCTTTACTTGTTCCAAACTGGTTTGTCTTTTTTTCTTCTGTTGAACACAAAAAAAGAAATACTTTGAAGAAAGCTGGAATCATGTAACTATTTACTTCTCTATTTGTTTTTTTACTTCTATGGAAGTCATTAGTTACAGGTAACTTATGTTAAATATATTGCTAATGAAACAAAAAAACGTTGACTTTCATTGTTTCTTTACCTACTTTTAAAATTTTGGTTGGGTGGGTAATAGTACACCACCTTTTTTAGGACTACACCACTGTTTGCAACATAAGCTGTCAAATGCACACGTGTAAATATAGATAGATAGTAGACATTTCCACTCAATTCGATTGTCTCAAGTTTCTTTTTTGAAATGTGCATCTCAATACAATCAGTATGATCCATTGATTTGAAGCTGTTTAGTTCTTTGTGATTTGTGGTAAAACTAGCTGACTGTAATTCCTGGATTTGATGGCAATCTAAAGAAACTCTGCTGTGGTTTATGTGTTCACACCCAAGCTTCATACTTTCTTAAATCCACTCACAATTTGATTTTTAATTCCCTTAAATGAACTGTTACAGATGCTTCGGACAGAAACTGAATGCACAAGAGATTTGAAGTGTTCTTCATCTTTCTATCTTTAAAACTGAATTTAGGCAATATGCACTAAGAAAGAGGAAGGAAGGCGGAAACTAGCATGAAGTGACAGAGAAGGAAATGCTCGGCCTCTACTTCTCCAAGTCTGATGCCACGTTGTTTGCAGGTTTTAGTAATAAAGCATTTTACTGCATAACCCTCTTACACTGTAAAAATATGTAATGATAAATATTTTTATGTTGCTTTAACTTAAGTTAATCAAGTTTCAACTACATTTTTTTAAGCTATACAAAGTTTATATTGATTCAACAAAAAATACATAAGACCGCAAAAATGTTTTTACAGTCTATTATTTATTTATTTTTAATTCTTTCTCAATGCTATACCAAATACAGTCTTGTGCATATGCTGACTTTTGTGACTACAAATGTGTATTCATTTGCAGTCAGATCACCACATTCAGTCAAACACACTGTAAATGACAAAATAAGAAAACTGAGCATTATGCAAAGAAAGCATCATAGCTGGAGTAAATGCGGGAGTGCAGGAGATGTTCAGTTACACCACATCCTTCCACACAAACATGGAAACCACTGAGTTATTTCTATCAAAGATTGTCAGAATTGTTTCATTGTGATCATTAACATTTATTTGCACCCGGTTAACTTACCACGGCAGTTATTATATCCAAATACACTCATACACTCTATAATACTGCATGACTTCTTAATTTTTGCTTCCAAACACAATGGTAAAATGAGTGACTGTCAACACTGGTCAGCCAACCGTTCAGTTTCCTTCATCCATTTTTGTGTCTATGATGCTGTCATTCAGCCTAACTTTATAGTGTTCACCGGATGAAAAGCTATGCAAGTTTAAAACAAGTACATTAAAGCAATTTAATGTAGAATAGGTTTAACTAATCCTTCACAATTAACTCTGGTAGGATGAAATATATTTGTGTTTTGTTTTAGCTCCTCCAATCTACTTTTAGACAAACTGAGCAAACTGAATATAGTTTTCATGTCTATATGTATACTGTATGAATGAAGTGAGTTCATTACTTTATCAGCCATTTCATATTTAGTTCTCTTACTTAACTTCCTTAAATACTCAACTGTGCCTCGCCACAGTTAAAAAACTAGCTAACAAATCAATAAAATCAACCAACCAATTACAATCCAATTAATTCATTAGGAACGATTGACAGATTAGCATAGTTTAAAAAGCTAGCTACTCATCTCAACAGCATTTAGGCGTTGTGGAGGCATTTAGGCGCGCCCAAAACGCTACCTTGCCAGCTTACTAGGTTTTGAGACGCCGCCAAAGATGCTAAGTTTTGCACGGTTTCCAATAACGGCGGACACAGAAACATAGATTATACCGGGATGGGGGACTGTACCTGAGAACTGTGGCTGGAAAGGGACTGGCTCCTGAGGCGAGAGGATGAAGCGCCGAACTCTTGACAGATGGAGAGAAGTGGGTGAATGCCAGCGGTTGTGGCTGGAGCTCGATCTAAATCATGGAGGAAGTGAGAGTTTTAGATGTAGATGAGGATGGGAGGTGTCCTCGCTTTATGTTTCCTTTTAAAGTGATTTACGTGTATGAAACTGCACATCCCTTTATCTTGGTGACTTGTCAGCAACACAAACGTGTCGCGCGCGGGCGGTTTTGTCGACTCGTTTATCTCGTTATCGCTCTTACGCTTTTATTTGCAACAATAGATAACAGTAAGTAGTTAATTGCAAAATTACAGTAAATAACTTTACTCAAGAAAGCACCATGGCGACCATTTCTGCATTTAGGCTTATTATTGCATCATGTGGATCAACATTTTTTCTTTAATTGGCAAAACCAATTTAAAAATAATAATAAAATAAGTTCAGCAAAAATACATTAAAAGTACGTAGATTTTTATTTAGAAAAAAGTGTTTTGTTACAATTAAAAATTGTTATATCCATTATTCGCCTATTTATACTTTAAGACACTATAATGATGCAATTTAAAGGGTCAGTTCAACCAAACAATTCCTCACCACTTATTCATTTTCCTTCAGCTTAGTCCCTTTATTCCTCAGGGGTCACCACAGCGGAATGAACTGCCAACTTATCCAGCATATGTTTTACACAGCGGATGTCCTTCCAGCTGGGGAACCCCATACACACTCATTCACATTCTACAGTCAATTTAGTTTATCCAACTCATCACGTCTTTGGACTGTGGGGGAAACCGGAGCACCCGGAGGAAACCCACGTCAATTCGGGGAGAACATGCAAATGTAACCCTGTGGGTCCTACAGTGCCCAACCCGCTCTGAGTTGGGATTGAACCGGCGATACTTTGCATGGGAGTCGGTTGCTCTAACAAGGAGGCTAAAGACCATTGCCTGTAGCATCTGTCACTAGAGCATCTTTGGAGGTCAGAGGAGTAAGGTTTACCTGCACAGCATTTCACTAGCAGGCCTCAGCCACACAAACTCCACATAGAAATGCCAAGTGGCTCAGCCAGGACTCGAACCAGCGACCTTCCTGCTGTGAGGCGACAGTGCTAACCAATGAAACACTATGTCACCCTCCTCACCATTTACTTGGTGCTAAACTTTTGAATTTATGCCAACCAAGATATTCTGAAGAATGTTGGGGGGAAAGCAGCTAACATTCATAGTAGGTACAAAAGATACTATTGAAGTCAATGATTCTTCAGTATATCTTCCTTTGTATTTTTGTGTTCTTAACAGAATTAAGAAACTCCAACATTTTTCTTTTTCTTTTTTTGCTGGGTTGGGGGGCAACTTTCTATTTAATATGGCAAATATAAAACATTCATTTCTTTTCAGCTTAGTCCCTTTATTAATCAGGGGTCGCCACAGCAGAATGAACTGTCATCTTATCCAGTATATGTTGTTTTTACGCAGTGGATGCCTTTCCAGCTGCAACCCATCACTGGGAAACACCCATACACGCTCATTCACACTCATACACTATGGATAATTTAGCATGTCTTTGAACTTGTGGAGAAAACCAAAAGCACCCAGAGGAAACCCTCACGATTCGGCCCATAAAGCATTCGTTTAACCAGTTACACAATCCTGTTTCGGGCACAGTGACACAGTGGGTAGCACGATCGCCTCACAGCAAGAAGGTCGCTGATTCAAGCCTCAGCTGGGTCAGTTGGCAATTCTGTGTGTTTGTATGTTCTCCCTGAGTTTACGTGGGGTTTCCTCCGGGTGCTCAGGTTTCCCCCACAGTCAAAGACATGTAGTAAAGGTGAATTGGGTAAGCTAAAATTGTCCGTATTGTGTGTGTGTGTTTGAATCAGAGTGCATGGGTGTTTTCCAATGATAGGTTGCAGCTTAAGGGGCATGTGTTGCATAAAACATATGCTGGATAAGTTGGTGGTTCATTCCGCTGTGGCGATCCCAGATTAATAAAGGGACTACGCCGAAAAGAAAATGAATGAACAATCCTATTTCAATTAATCAAGAAAAAAAGACAATCAAAAGAGACGATGTAAAAATATAAACCTCAGTTTATTGCACAATCGCTGCAGGAGACTATGGGGTTTGGAAGATCTGTCTGTGTGAACAAATGTAACCGTGGACATACAAATAGACTGAGAGAGAAATATAGGCCCAAAAAATAAACCAACAAAGAGACACACTTGTAGATGAAACCACTTACAACAAGAAATGTTTACGTAAAACCAAAGTTACAACAATGCTTGTAATAAATTTGTTAAGGAGACCTAATAAAACAACAAAAAAGAAAAATAAGTGCTAACAGGGCTCATCGGGTGAACTTCATCCAGAAGGTCAACAAGGTTCAAACAAGGCTTCAATTACGCTGTTGCAGAGCCAGTAGAGTGCTTTGACCACCAGATGGTGCCACACGACAATCAAATTCAAAAGAAACATTCAAGCAAAGAGTGAAAAAAACAAACAGAAACAAGACAGATCTTTCAGAGACCTCCTGCCTTCCTATGTGCATTAGCTTCTCAGCCTCTGTACTTAAATTAAGATTATCATTAATAGTGGTAATCCATTTCAGTATAATAGTAATAACAATATTTCCATTATCATAATAATGCGAAATGTAACTAATGAGGAGTCGTTTTTAAATTATCAGTAACAGGCTATCCAGCACCTGCATACTAAGAAAAAAAAGGTATTATAGTTTCATACATCATGTCATTATTTTCTTTTTTTTTTTCAACCACAGGACGTTAGAATATACAGACAGGAGAACATCATCCATGAGAACATCATCCTCGTTCCACCTCCAAAAACGTGGGTTCTGATGCAATCCACTTCCTTTAGGGCTCGATGTAACATGCTCTGCACATTCTCACATCACCTAACTAACTACATGAATAAACACATTCTTGATCAGCATTTATGGACACATTCGGCCCATCAAAGGCAATACGCATCAAGAAAGATGCATGGTCCAAATGCCTGATGACTGATAAAAGCCATCGTGACCTTTGCCCTTTAAAAACACACCACTGGCATCACTGGTTTTTCAGTCTTCGATCTCAACCAGAACAAGCAAAAAAGACATGACAGGATGAAAAGAAAAACTGGCCCGAAATCAGTAGTTGAGGTCACTCAATACAAGTGAGCACTGACAGGGCACCCTGAGAAGAGGAAACCCCAGGATGGCATGGTCTGAGCTAAACATGTTAGTGTGAATACACAGATCTTTCTTTTCAGGACTGGTGAAACATCGTTTTTTTTTTGGAATTCACATGTACAAACATGTTTGCGTATGTATATATATGTACATATTTCAATTATGCATAGTTATCCAGTGGGTTTCAGAGGTAATAACATATCAGGACCCCCGTTTTTTAGTTTTTTTCAACCCAAAACAACTGTATTGCAGCCTCTCCTTACCTTTTCTAACGTAAAAAAATGAGATTTTGCCAACCGAACTGTTATAATCGCTTCTAAACTGTTTAAAAACCAAAGACCGTGTTGACGTTATGACATCATAGTAGTACAGACATATCATTATGACATTAACCCTACTAAATAATGCAACAGCATTGTTAGCTCCCCTCAAGGCCGTTCATTGTGGTGTCACAATTTGAGCTTTTTACTGTTACAGGATGATCAAATCGCTGCTGTTTTTGAAATCGGACAATTCGTATCAAGTGTCGCCCCCTCTGAGATGAAATACATAAACATTCAATATATTCTCTTAGAACGTTGTTGCTTTATATATTAATATGAATATATAAAAATGTCAGTATGTATGCCGCTTGCATTTTATGCATATACAGTCTACATATAGGTATTTACCTTACCCATATGGACTTCTAATTGGTTTTTCACTTTGATCCAAAGCCCTTTTGGTAAAAAAATAAACAGTGCAGTTAATTACTTGATATGGTTGTATTGCCTCTGGGCTGCCCTCCTGATTTCATTCCCTTTCTATAGACAGACGTGCTTTGAAGCATTAGCTTTGTTACTGCACATTAAGCACACGTCAGTGGTTGCATTGCGCAAGCATTACAAATCGTACGTTGTGTTTTCAGGGGATTGCTTTACTGGTATTTACATGCACCGCTTCATTTCAGAGCTGTCAATTAATAGCATTAAAGGTGAGGGACTGTATTTGTGGCTGCTAGGATCGGGACTGCTGTGTGTGACACCTGAGGCCCCAAAACAGCTAATTTGGCATAGAGTATATTTGAGTTTGTCAGATATATCGGAGCAACATTCTACCTAACATGCACTGGTTCTACACTAATAGGTCTGACTTCTGCTATAGGATTATCAGAGTGCTGTGGTTGTGTAAAGATATGTGATCCCCAACTGGTTAAAAATAATAATAATAATAATAATAAAATAAAAACAGTAGTAGATGCACTCAAAAAACAAAAAAATTCAAACATTTTCAACAACATCTTAAATATAATGTCAAGAGAACTGAAATGACCTCACTGATGTTCATTCTGAGAGCTACATTGCGATAGTGTCTCCCAATCTATCACATTGTGTCATTTGTTTGTCACAAGCTATAGAGGTTGCAAGGGTAAAAAGAGTCATCCTTGGTTTGTTTCACATAGTAGCGCATAAATGTGCCAAGATAAATCCAAATGTGCAAAAAAAAAATAAGGTTCCTTAATACTGCACATTTGGAACAATGTCAACGTTTCCATAGTGCAATCAGCCAGAGGAAGTGATTTATTTAGGCCAATTCACACTGCACCAACAAATGCAGACCAACGCAGACAATCGCCAGATGATGCACATCACTGTTCAGACAATCTATGACCCGACAAACACCAATTCAGCATGTTCAACTAACGAAAACGAGCTCTGACAGATGCAAACACACATCGACTAATCCTACAAAACCCAATGAAGTGTGAATTGACCTTTTGAATTTGACTTTCTAAAGTAGGAGACTGTTTAGCTTTAGTCTTTTGGCAACTTATCTGAAATTAGAGGGTACATAATGAAAAATATATACATCCTGTGCATTAACTTCATCCAATTTCTCAGGATTTAATGCTTAATTTGCTCTGCACAGCCTTTAAAATATTCTCAGCCACAGATGAGCATGAATGGATGTGTTCAACACATGCATAGGATTACCTGGTGAACACTTTTGTTTCACCCTTTACTTCTGTGCTGTTACAAGTGCATCATCTGTGCAGGCAGAAAATTTGGTCTGTACCCGGTAAAGAAAGTAGATAAAATTGCATTTCAAGGACATGGACCATCGAAGAACATGGACAACTTATTAAGTCTTGACGTTTCTTACAAATAAGAACCATATATATATAGCATTAGTTTGGCACAAGTAAGCCGTACCAATATTCCCTTAGTCATCCTTTAGGAATTCATAGTGTAATACAGCTCCATTCTGGAGTCCAATGTTCCTCTGCCACATCTGATGAGCGGGAACATCAGGTGTACAGTAGTGGAGGAGAGCCAGCAGAGAATTAAAGCCTTCGTGCAAACAGCACACCATCAAGAAAATAATATTCCTCGTCTTAAACCCAAGGTTACATGGATAATTGAGGTTAAAGGTCAGGAAGAAATGAAATCTAATTTAGAGCTGTACAAAATTCAATCTTCCAAACTACAGATTAGGATATTAAAAACCACGAGTGTACAAGCTTGAATGGACTGTTTAGCAGCAGAGCAGAGGAAATATCTATTGCAGGTAACGGTAAATGTTTCCCAAGGCATTATTAAAATCATGCTCCTGCAAAAAAAAACGGCATTAACCAAATGCCCCTTAGATGCTATCAAACACGATCAAAGCCACCAAGGGCACTCAAACCCTAAAGCGCCCTCTCAGCAACTTTAATCACTCAGTAAACATAAAAACAGCAAGGCAACAAACCAAGGAATGACCCTTTCAACCTTACGATTGTGAATATATGGACCTGAACAGGGAAATGACACACAAAAAAGTGATAAAACAAGTAAAATCAACTCAAGTATTTCCAGTAAATGTTGCTGTGAGTTCGGGCATACAGTACATTTTGTGAGAGTGTGTGTGTAGTGTGTATTGTAGTGTTCGCATTGATGTAACATCTGATATGCTGCATAGTCTGCAATAGAGTAAGTTCGAGGTGCATACGTCATTTCTGCACCGGCGATTTTGTTGGTGTCACCAGCGAAAATTGAGAAATAGAGACAAACTGTAATTAGTTGTCATGAAAGCCATGCTATTTTGAGCAGAGTTTTTGATAATGTGATATGTTACATCTTGCTTTTCGAGAGCCAATTATCTACGGGCTCGATTCTGTCTGTCTTTATATAGCGAAAACTAAATTTAGAGGCTTTTTAATAAATGCTTTAAACGCTGGTGAATATATGACATCCAATAATGTCAGACCCTATGTGTGTGCATATATGTGTGTGTGTGTATTCCTGTAGATTGTGTAGATCTTGAACCAAAAAAAAAATAAATCTGGCATTTTTTGGGCTAGTAGGTCTAAACAGTGCCATGCACAGACAATGTTTATGCAAACACAGATATGTACATTCTGGCTACTGACGGCACAAACAAGCATGTGTGTCGAAGCTGGCACTGGTGTCTCCTAAAAAAACATTTAAAACACTTCTTATGGACTTCTCGTGCACACATTTATATACAAAGCACAACAGCCTCCCCCCAACCCCAACCATTCCTTGCCCAATTAACGCTGCATTCCCAAACATCTCATTACTAAAAGAGGTCCTCGCGCCCTATTACCCACGAATCCAGACTAGCAGGGGCCACCGTCAGTCTGAGGGACAGTGATAGGTGTTTATCCACAGTAAATCGTCCAGCACCCCCCAGTGTAGGTACAGTATGGAGACCACCACCAGCACATGCATGATCTGATGGCTGTTGCACCAGTAGTCAAAGAGGCCTGGCCGGAAGCGTTCGGGGATTCGGGTGATATTGATGACCCCACCCAACACCGCTAGTGCATCCATGGTGAGAAAGTGACGCAGTGAGGTGGGACTCCCTCCGCCCACACCTACCCAGCGCAGGAGGAAAAAGGAGAAGCGGAAAAGGGCTTGCCAGGCGAAGGAACGCAGACGCCGCACTCTGCTGCGTGCTGTGATGGCACAGTAGATGGCGTAACTGGATAGCAGGATGTACATCAACAGAGCCACTGTGCGTGTGAAGGGGTAGCAGAGAAGAGTGCTGTACACAATGGGCAGAGCTCCTGTAAGAGCAAACACAGTGTTACTACGACAAAAAGCTCTTGTTATATGATGCTGGATATATACCACTACATGATTTTAGGTCGCTGACAAAAGCCAAAAATCAAAAGCAAACGAATGGTTGTTCATGAGTTAGAGTTAATCCCATGGTGAGTTATCATCAGTGGCTTAAAGTAACAAATTACAAATACTCAAACTACTGTAATTGAGTAGTTTTTCTCAGGAATAGTAATTTTCAATATAGTTTTAAAAATGTTTACTTTCACTTCAATACAATGTCAGGCCGATGTCAGTGTCTAACGTCCAATCTAAAATCAACCAAATATTAACAATCTAATGATGTTACTAGGCATGGGCCGTTATATGATTCGGACGGTATGATAACCTTGGATAAAAATATCACGGTTTCACAATTACTGCTTAAAAATATACTCTTTTTAAATGTCTGAGTAAAAAACAAACAAAAAAAAATCCCCTTTGAAAACACTATATTTTATTTTTTGAAAGATTTAAAATATTTTGGAGCAGTAAACACGTCAGGCAACATAATGAAATTAAATCATTGACTTCTGCTGTCTTCATTAGTTTCAAAAACAGAGATTACATTACAATCTAAAACGGCATATTTGGATATCTTTTGTGCTGGAGATACTGTTGTCCTAAAAACAAACAAAAAAAAGTAAATGAAAAATCTTACATATCTTAGGAACGGTATTACAGAAAACTTAGCAGGTTTTAAAACCTTGACTTTTCAAAACGCGGTATACCTTGAAAACGGTTATCGTCCCATGTGTAGATGTTACAGCTTGACGTAGTGTGGACGTTACCACTATGACGTCTATCAGACATTAGATTTTAGTTACCATACCTGATGAATAAATGTCAGTATTCGACGTCAATATGACATTGGTTTAAGTTGTTGACTCAACGTTGAATATTGGTCACTTTCTAACACAAATTAAAATCAACCAAATATTAACGTCATTATTTAAAGTCAAATTAACGTTGTCCTTAGACGCTGATTAGACATTGAATTTTGGTCACCTGACGTCACAACCTAAATATAATTTAATATTAACATCTTAGGACATTGTGTGGCTGCTAGGCAATAACTAAATATACTACAGAATGTTACGTTTAAACACATCCACAAATTACATTTAAATGCATCAGCTTTTTACAGCATAATACTCGCTACTCTCTACTCATGAGTACTTTTGAAAGGGCTACTTTTTACTCATATTTTGAGTAATATTTACAGCAGATAATTTTACCCAACTTGCACCATATTTTTTAGGCAAATAGTGGTACTTTTACTTGAGTATGACATTTCGGTACTCTTTTCACCGCTGGTTATCATAGACACGATCTGAAGTGCCTCAAAAATATTTAGAAAAAGAAATATTTAGGAGACTGTTTGACACCTGAGTCTTGCTTTTTAATTGGCAAATATACTGACAAGATGCAGATAAATTATTGCCAATGAGAGAGTGCAAGATACAGAGGAAGGCAAGTTCAAAAGAAAAAAGTGTTGAGTGTTAATATCGACAAAACTATTGAAGAATAGCCATTCTCGTCTTAAGACAATTTTGAAACACTTTTTTTATCCACTTCTAATGTTGACTACTATATAAATAAATGATATAATAATTATTATATATGATAAACACATACACTACTGGTCAAAAGTTTGGGGTCTGTAGGATTTTTAAATGTTTTAACATAAACCTATCCTGCTCACCAAGGCTGCATGAAAAATACAGTACAGTACAGTATTGTAAAATTGTGAAATGTTATTGCACTATAAAATAACTGTTAAAAATTAGTTTATTGTTTAATTTAATGATTTAATCCAGTGATTTTAAAGATCACTGCTGAATTTTCAGCTTCATTACTCCAGTGTTCAGAGTGACATGATCCTTCAGAAATCCCTCTAATATTAATTATTATTATTATTATTATTATTATTATTATTATTATTATTATTATTATTATTGGTAATAATAAAATTTGATTAGAAAATACATACGATAAGTAATAAATAAATAAATATTTAGTAAGTATTTAGCAATTTAACTTTATTTACATTTAATAAATGTTGCCTTTTTGAAAAAAAAAAAAAGAAAAAAAAGACCCCAAATTTTTGACCTTTAGGGTACATACAAAATAGGAACTGAACATGTCACCATTTTTTCAGAAATAGGTGCCGTTCACTTGAGACTTTCACCAGATGTCAGTAGCAACCAAGTAATTGATACATACCAAGAAAACAAAACTAATTTGTTTAAAAATGAAGTGATGTGTAACAACATAAAATGACTCAGGGATAAAGTATTGAACAATCTATTGTCCATTTCACACAGGAGGCATCTTGAAGCTGTCTTTATATAAAAAAGCCTTTTATACAAAGTATTAAATAAATTTCAGTAGTTCAGTGGTTTCTCCTTGTGTCATTCCATTGTTATTGCACATAACAAATTTTCTGAATTTTCCTGATTTTATTTTATAGATTCGTCTGCTGCAAATCAAAGCACAAACAACCTTGATCACAAGCTTTCTGCAGAGCACCATTTTAATTTGGAAGTGTTCCAGTCTCATACAGCTTACGTTGTATGAAACGCACGTTCTGATGGCTTTGAAATTCATGTAGTGATTGGGTGGCATAATATGTACATAATTTAATCATAGATAAATATCTAGCACATTTAACACCTGCTTCCCTCTGTACACTATACAAAATAGATGTTGTGGTTGCAAGAAATGTACTGTTAAAAACGTGATTTAATTTCTGGATGGCTTTTTAGATCAAACTTTAGAATTTTATTTAAGGCTTATTAGATGTCTTGTACAGCGTGATATAAGCAGGTTGATAATGTATCAACCTGTATAAATGACCAAACGAAAAAAGTTAGAAACACCGAAGTCCACATAAATCATGTCAATTCATACTTTATAAAGGTTTATAAAGAAAAACTACATGACACCCCATGTATATGAATAAACATGAACTAAATAGCAATATAAAATAAAACATCCTAATGCACAGAACTGCTAAATAAAAGAAATTATTGAGAGAGAATGTTTCAGTTCTGGCAGGATATCTTTCTTTTAGTTTATTGTAAACTACAGGCTGACTCTACCTTCTTAAAATAAAAACAATAATAATAATAGTAAATATAATTGACAAGGAATAACATTTTTGTTTTTTAAAATCATATACCTTTAAAGTATCATTTGTGAAGGACATTTAAATCTATTGGCTGTAGATGGTTGTCTAACTAACTTACAATTAACCATACAAATTATGACCATTCTTACAAGAATAATTTCATGAATTGCACAGGTTATATTCAAAAACTATAGTATCAAAACAGTAGCTTAACTAACTTTTCATTATGTAATCAATGCAGTCCTGAAAACCATTTCTTCCTCTTCAAGCATAATTTAAAGTAAATCAAATGGCTCTAAATGGCTTAAAAAAATAAAAACTTTTGACTTCCAACAATATAATTTTAAAAAAGTAAAGGCACTTTCAAATCTAAAGATGAACAAGATATAGTGGAAGTGCTGAGCAACAGCTTTGTCACTGCTGCTTTTCATGTGACAACAGAGAAAAAACTCTTGTTGTAAAGCACTTCATGTCTCCTTTGTTCTCTCTTCGCTTCTTTATTTCCTCTGTGTTACAACATTTTCTTCAGCAACCCTTCTGCTTTAGTTAAATGTTGCAACAGCTTGAACCAAGGCTATAGACGCTGATAAGCGAGAATAAGTCCAATTACTCATTCATTGTCTTTAAATGCAACAGTACACAGCCGGCAGGTAAAGTGATCACAATTAAATGTGACCTGATGTCACTTCACTGACTAGGCATGTGACGATGGGTCAAAGTTAAGTTAAAACCTCAATTTTTTTTTGTTATACCGTTCCTATGTTTTTTTTTTTTTTTACAACAATTTTATTGAGGTTTTTAGGGCAACAGTATCTTCAGCAGAAAAGGGCCCTCCACATCAAAAGCCCATGATTCAGAAAACATCTGAAAAACAAATCACTTTTACACCAACATCCACGCCTGCTATAGACCTGAACAGTGCAGTGGCTTACTTCATATCCAAAGAAAAGTTAGATAAAGAAGCCTTTTAAAGGTTTAAAGAAATCTGTGTTTTAAAACTAATGAAGATAGCAGAGGTCAATGACTTATTTTAATTATTTAGCCTGACATGTTTCAGGCATGTGATCAACCGAGGACAAAAAAAAAGGAAGACGAGACTGTGCCCCCAACACACACACACACACACACACACACACACACACACACACACACACACACACACACACACACACATATATATATATATATATATATATATATATGTGTGTGTGTGTGTGTGTGTATATGTGTGTTTCAGAAAAAACAAAACAAAAAGCGCTCTGGGGTTCAAATGTATGGTCGGTGCTCTTTGGGTAAGGGATTCATCAAATCTGCAACAAGAATAATAATAATAATTCTAAAAAATAAAAACAATAATAATATTCTATAATATAAATATTTGATGTTGGCCACACAATTTAAGTTTTATTTTTTGTTTCATGAGTTAGTTGTTTAATAGTGACCAAAGTAATATTTAATAGGTTTATACTTTGTACCTCGATGTCTGGACAGATCCCCACACCGCCACTAGATGGCGCCACTAACTCGGTTAGTTCTCTTGTGTTCACAGAATATAAATTTGCCTGTAATTTAGTTCACACTTTATTCCAAAATGATAAATATACTACTAGTCAGGCAACAATTCGAACTGTATTTATTAATTCCACTTGAATTGAGTAGTCTAATATGTGTTAATATTTCACCCTAAAAAAAATTCATACAATTGCTAATATGAGTCTATCACTTGCACTTTTCCTTTTCTTCGACTCAATCCTTGTTTTCAATAGCTTTAATTAATTCCAAAATATATTTTTATACATTTGTACATTTTATACATTGTATTGAAATAGCAATTTGGACATGCGCGATTTCTAAATCTGACTGAATAAGACTGAATATCCTGTAAGTATAAATCAGGCTTTACTTGAGTTTGATAGCGCGCGTTCATACAAACACATTTGTTTTGTCATAGTGCTGCTCTAGAGACGATAGCCCCTTTCACACAGTGACACCGGTAAATATCTGGAAAATTTCCGGAACGACTTTACCGGTATATTCAAAAAAGCGCTGTTCACACAGGCGAGGACATTACGGAAATTTTCCGGAAAAGAGCATTCACACATCCATCGCAAAATACCGGTAAATTCTGACATCATTCACCACAAATGAGCTTTAAACGGCTGCGCTTGTATTTGTAAACATTTGACTAAATTACAAACTCTGTGGATGATCAATATTGTGAACAACTTTCGCAGGATCACTTTCTCATGTCGAGATGTTCATAATATGTGCGTGTGCAGGCGCTCACATGCTGTTTCACAGGCACACGCAAAGCTTGAAGGTAAACAAACAACGGCTTATCATAAGCATCTCATCGATGATTATTTACACAGTTGGCATAAAGAAGAACATATAAATGTGATCTGACTAACTTCTAGCAGCTAAATGTGTCTGGAAAAATATTCAAAGGTTTTTATTCTCACAAACCGCGCAGACGTAAATGCGTCTGACTGTTGTGATTGGCTAAAGCAGACGTCTCACGTCAGCACGTTCTAGACGTGCACGCGCTTATTACGGTAATCTTCCTTCTGCATTCACACAGCGCAGCATTCCAGCAAATTGCCGGTAATGTTACAACTTCTCTTTCCGGAAAATAGCCAGAACGATTTTACCGGTATTTTCAAAAAGGACCTGTTCACACATACAACCTTTCCGGAAAATTGCCGGCAATTTTCCGGAAAGGTCTGTATGTGTGAAAGGGGCTAATGTGTTACAGCTTTACTATGCAATTTTATTTTGTGTCTGTTTTAGAGACATGTTACAGGTCTTTGATGAAAATCTGAATGTCTTTCTTTTTAAATAGGTTTCAGATTTACACTGTAAACACAGATTCAGTCTGTCTGTGACAAAATCCTGATTAAAATTGAAATCACAATATTGTTCAAGAAAATCGTGATAGGTTTCTTCTGCCCATACCGCACAGACTTATACCATCAGAATCTTATACCGCCCATGCTTATCACTGACCTCATGAACAATACAAAAAGATCAAATGTAAGATGCCGGAGGAAGAACCTGAATCAGCATGGGAACCAAATCGGAAAGATGCACTAATAGATATTGTGATGGAGTGCTGGGATTGATCAGACAGTGATACAGTGTGAGATGCTGACCTAGCGTGTTGATCATGCAGATTCCGCACATATCTAGCGTGAGCAGGGTTTTGTAGACCGGCTCGCCTCCCTCATGGTTCATGAAGAGGTGGTAGACCACTGAGCCCAGCTGCGGGGACAAGCAGGCCAGGAAGTGCACCACACCGAGCCACGTCACGCTGATCTGAGACCAGGGGATGTTGAGCGGGAGCAGCACCAGGAAGCAGAGCAGAGGAATTCCTGAGTGGAGAAAGAGAAAACAAGCAGACAAAGAGGCTCAGGAGAGTGATTGTGTACAGAAGATGCATAAAGTGCTGTCGAAACACGCAGGGCCTGTGAAGAGATTGAGACGGTCGTTATTGGACATTACGCTCAGACAAGCCCTGCAGTGTTTTATCGTGTCCCTTGAGCTGAATGCTGCAGCCTAAACAACACATGGATTTATGGAGGCCCAGGGTACAGTCCAGTACAATGAGGGTCTCAGCAGGCTTTGCTGGGCTAATTTTAGCAGCAGCTGCCAAAATGCTAACTACGAGCTAAAACAAAGACCTTTAAATGTCTTTAGGGCTGAATGACACTCTGTGGCTTTATATTAGGGACTCCAAGTGCACGACTGCTGAACAATTTTATGACTATTTGTGAATCGCTTTTTCTCTCTGTCATTCCCTCAGCGTCAAATGATTTACCCTGGCCAGGTAAAAGCACCAATGCCTTCTAGTACATCTATTTTGAGTGAGTTATCTCTGTTGGCTTAACTCTTGCTCTGACACTATTGGTAGAGAACATGCCCTATACCCTAAAAAAGTACATGCGTTTGAGTGGCACATACAGTTTGTACTTAAATGTGCACATTAAATGAAATGTTTCACTGACATATTATTGATAGGTAATACTGTAAATCACAACTTTAGTTTAAAAAGCAGTAGCTTGTGGAAGCCAGCTTCTGCCACATAAAAATAATGCTTTGGTAAATCATTATGACAAAATGAAGAATGGAAATCTGGCGTTTAATGCTCCAGGTCCATTGAATTAAAAGTATGGTTGTTTATTAAAACATTTCATAGAATTTAATTACTTTGCTTTCTTTCATGGTTGGAAAGTATTCAAATTTAAATTAAAGAGATTAGTTTTACTTTCATAAACTCCCACTTAAAAAAATTTTTACAATAATGTTACATTAGTCAAAATTAGTTACTAACAAAAACTAAGAAACTTGTACAGAATTTATTAACCATAGTTCAACATTTACTAATGCTTTATTCACTATATTGTTATGAAGAGTTTAGTTGCAAAAACCTCTAAAGGACATCTGAAATTTTCTTGTAAAATTAGCATTTTTACCAGCTCCTGTGTGCAAGTTCAGTCACTTCTATGGCAAAAATAAGTTCTTTTCATGATCTTTAAAGTGAAATAACTCAACATAAAACATAGAAAGCTGAAAAAAACACTCATTTCCCATACACATTTCATACATTTAAAAATATACATATTTTTTTCTATAAAATAACTGTTCAAAAGTAGTCTCATTAAATGTAATAATTTATACCAGTGATTTAAAAAATTATTTTCAGCTTCATTATTGAGTCTTCATTACTCCAGTCACAAGATCCTTCAGAAATCACACTAATATTAATAATTATTACTACTACTACTACTACTCTTATTGTTTATATTAATATTTTTTATTTATTATTACTTATTTGACAAGTACTAAAGTTATAAATATTAAAAATCTACAAAGTTATATTTGTCATAATTGACTAATAGAACTTTACAGATATTTTTACACATGATTTTCTTCCAAAATACCAGAACACAAATGTAGCATCTTTTAATGATCGGATTAAATTAATAATCTCATAGTCTCATAAATTAAATAAAAATAAAAAAATAAAAAAATTGTATTTTGAGGGTGGTATTTTAAGTACTTGCAAGTACCCTTTTTACGCTTACTAAAAACTTTTCAGATTTTTTTTTTTTTTTACTGTCAAAACAAATATAAATGTATAATGAGGTTTAAAGTGATTTACTCACTCGTGTGTACAGAAATACGGGTATGATTTCACTTTCCTTGGCTCAGCACAAAATAATTTTTACAAATTTTTAAAAAATTTCTCAAAAGAATTAATTTTGTGTTCAGTAAGAATATAAAATAACTCATAATTCATAGAACATCACAAAATAACCACTTTTTTGAGTGAATTTTTTTGTGCTGAGTGAACGTCAGTGTCAATTAATTTGTGCAAACATCCGCTATCAGATCATATAACCCATCTTTGGCCAATACAGAGTTAGTGGAGACCACAGACCATAAAAGAAAGAAAAAAAAATAACGCGCACACTCACAGACATCAGCAAAAGTGGTTAGACCATGAACTGATCAGAAATGATTAATATTCACCATCAAGTGTCAGACTGGCGATGACTGAATCTTTCTTAAAACAGCAGATGTTACAATGGGAAATATGTGAACAACATCAAGTGTTGCAGTCAAAGCATGCCGTGCAGACATGGGATGAGATTGTGCATACGTATCATGCAAAGTAAAACACAAATACTTCAACACAAAGCAAACACATTTAAGGAGCATGCACCTCGGCTGGCTTTAAATGCAAGGATGGAAATCCTTATGTAAAAACAATCCTAAAAGAAAGCACCATCCTTCAGTCTACTTCACTAGTTTCCTTGAATTGTTACAAACTCCATTTCAACAGTGCACAAAATGCAGACACAAAACAAATGCCTCTATATTCCTGATTAGAAAAGGACAAGTAGGTAGGTGCAATTGTATACAGCAAAGTCATCTTTTGGGTCAAGTTAAGCTGTGTCGCTCAATTCAAACCTCTAATTTCTGCTTACTTACTGTAACTACAGAAGGCCAGAACGCTCTCAAATATACTCCAAACCACAGTGCTTACTAAGCACACAGTCACTTTGAGAATGATGCAGTTTTTCCTTATTGTTGTGAATGTGCCATTTGTCGCCATAAAACAATTAAACATAATCCCAAGAAGGTTTTACCAGTCAACAACATTCTTGGAAGGGAAGTGTAGTTTGACAGCACCTGGAGGCAACCACATGACCAAACTTGATGGTTCCACACAGAACTGCAATTAAGCCTACATATTTACAAGCAGAAATTCCTTTGGAGTTGACCTTTATGCCTGAGATTTTATATATATATATGCATATATATTTCCTCTGCAACCAATACACTAGAGTGTATCTAGTAGTAAGTACTGCAGCTCCAATACAAAAGTACAGCACAAATTATTTAACAAAACAACCATTTTGTTATTGACAAAGAATTAATTATGTATAGGAAACTGCAGCATATAGTGATGCACACAGCAGAAGAGTGGGATGGAGAGTTTGGTCAAAGATGCCGATCTTTGCACTTCATGGTGTAGCTGTACAGTCATTAAAAGGAGCAGTTCACACAAAATGAGCCTTTTTAAATTTAATCTTGTAAGACATACGAACGAGATGCTCTGAAAAATGAACAGGCCAGTCTTTTTCAATGAACAGGGGTGATTGAATATGTCAAGGTTCTAAAAGGACACTTAAGACCAATTCACACCGCATACACAAACAAATAAGTTTAGAATGTTATGAAAATTACTGTCATGTTCACGCTGAACCAAAAATTACCACACACACAATACGTCATTCATTCATTCATTCATTAAATAAATATATGATCCATCTCATGGCTAGAAAAACATTTACTTGAAGCCTATCTGGTCCGTTATCAGATTAGGTCTGAGTTTTTTTTTTAATTACATTACCGAGTCCGACCAAAAGTTTGGGGTCTGTTTTTTTAAAGTTATTATTATTAGTCTGTTCATCAGGGCAGCATTTATCAAATGTAAAAAAACATTTTTAAATTTTTAAATACTTATTGATCAAATATTTATTTATTACTTATTATATGTATTTTCAAATGAAATTATTAGTCCAGTCAATATTGCTTTTATTACTATTACCATTAATAATAATACTACTACTACTAATAATAATAATAGTAGTAGTAATAATAATAATAATAATTATTATTATTATTATTAATAATATAAGAATGATTTTTGAAGGACCATGTGACTCTGAAGACTGAGGTAATGAAGCTGAAAATTCATCTTAAAAATCACTGGAATTAATGATTACATTAAATGATAAACTACATTTGAACAGTTATTTTATGTGCAATAACATTACACAATTTTCCATTTTGTTCTGTATTTTTGATGAAATAAATACAGCCTAGGTGAGAAGGAGAAGATAATTTTAAAACATTTAAAGGCCATGGTGACCCCAAACTTTTGACCGGTGGTGTCTATTTGGGAATTTTTATCTTGTTTTTAATCCAAAAATCTAAATTTCAAATCGAAAACAAGATCATTTTTCTTAACCTATTAACAAATGATTTAACTTGTTTACAGTTTAATGTACTTTTGACTTATTACCTTTGAAATGAAAACAAAATGTTTTACTTTAAGATTTATTAGTTATTTGAACAAGAAATGAGACAAAAAAAAAACTCTTAAGTAAGCAAAGCATTTTTTATTTTTTTTCATTGTGATTATTCAATTTCTGTACCTAAATACAGTGTGCGAATTTTACACTGATGTTCAGGGGGTAAACTTTTATGGTTAGATTGTGTAATACATGCTGTGTAATTACATCTAGTTTATCATTAAACGTATTTAAGTGTTCAGAGTTTTGAGGGATATTTAATGTATTCTGACCAAAAGTATGTGATTTCAGACATTACTGTATAGGTCAAACTATTTAAACTGCACCTAATTTGACTTTACTTTCAGGTTATATGTAGATACAAACACCTATTTTAGCTTTTGACATCTTGTGAACACTTACGATGTCCGCCTGTACTTAAGATCTGCCAGCTTCAGACTGTTAAATAAATAAAAAATTGGATAGACTGACTGGCGCGATTTTGTATTTACAATGGTATGAACTATTACAGGGAGGTCAAATATTTTAATAATTTTATTATTTTAGTAGAAAATATATTATTTGTATATTTTTTGTAGAAATATAAATATTTATATATTTATAAAAACATTATTATTTAAAATACAAATCAGAGTAAACTATTTCTCAATATTAAAAGACTGACCCCCATACATCCTGTTTTTGCCGTCCTTCAGGGGGGATCAAGTGTTTAATACCCCCAAACCCCCCTGTAATTCGCACCCTGCCTAAATACTATTAGACTCACCAGTAAAAAAATTATAATAATTTAACTATTCAAACCATCTGGTGAAACTGTATATGTATATATATCGCCGAAAAATAAAATATCGCAATATCAGATTTTTCCAATATCATGCAGTCCTATATCACATTGCTTTGACGTCCACGATGCAACAAATGCGGATTAAACATGTTCAGTCGGGGGTAAAACAAACTCTGACCGATGGCAACAAATGCCGACAGGGGTAACACACTGATCCAAACTCCAACAGACTTGTTTGTAGGCGTTTGTCTGTGTGGTGTGAATTGGCCTTAAGACTTCTATGCCCTATATTTCAAGTCTTTCAGTTTAATGAGAGAAGTACATAATTTGCTCAATAAGCAAGTGATTCATTTGAAGATTTTCAGTGAATGTGTCGATTTTGACAGTTTACAAAACAATTAATTATTAGTTCAATTGACTAAAGGTCATTATTAAAGAATAACAGATTACATTTTAACCTGTTTAGGAACAGGACTAAAAAGAACTATATTATTATGATGTGGTTGAGAAATTTCAGCATTATGGATGTGACTTTTGAAGTAAAAATGCAAAACATAATTTTACAGAGAAAGTACATGTTAACATTACATTAAAACATTTTTTTTACATTTTTCAAAACAACTAACCATGAAGTTATGAGAGCAGGAAAATATCAATCTGTAAACTCTTTTAGATTTTAAATGAGGAAAACAAACATGCGTTATAGATGTGTTTAAAAAAAGTTGTCGATTTACAGTTTACAACATACTTTGTAGAAATTCTGTGAATGAAACTGCACAACCATAAAGAATGAATGCTAATCAAAAGGATAAAAGTTGTCTCTCTGTAGAACAAAAACGATTAATTATATTTTATTCAGCATTCTTGCATTTATGAAGAAAAAGCTTTGCTATGGATGTAATGTCTCTCCGTTATGGATGTGACAGGTGTGAAAATGACACTTGTGTGTATTTAAATTACATATATTTGTTTGAGAATATTGACAGAAACATTGTTGAGTATTTTTACAGTACTGTAAAGTTCAAGCCTACACAAAGAACCTAGAGTTTCGCTATTTTGGTGAAAACTTATGGCAAGATTGACATTTGCATGAAATTGCTCGATTGCATTTAACCTTTTTTTTTTTAAATACCTGTTTTGTTTGTCCTTTTTCTTACCAATTTGACCTTAACTTAGAGGTTATGTGCTCATTTCATTAATTGAACTGCAAGCAGCAACTTGCTCATGCTTGTACTCGGGCACATGTATTGCACAAGAAACTGAGATTCAATACCTCAAACTTCTGATTTAATCACACTTTTCCCCATTCTAGTAAATTAATTTGGAAATATCTAATTATAAAAACATCCAGATGTCACGCTGCTGAAGATGACATTTAGATTGTAATAAAAAAATGTGCTGTGCAGTTTTGTCTCAATTAAAAAATAAACACACAACAAAATGAGAAAAAAAAATTTCTCAGCCACGCGCATAAACATGCCCGTTTTTACACAATTTTTAAGGCTTAATGAATGAGGCAAAAATGTCACTACATGAATAAGACTGATCAGGGCATGTTTTAACATTTCTCCATGTTCTAAAAAGGAAAGCCATAGTTTGTTTTTTTTTGGCCAACTTGTGTATAAATATGTAATAACTATGTAATAACACTCTTCATTTTGGGTAAACTATACCCTTAATGTGAAGCTTCATTAAAAGCCACTAAGTTGTGGTTTACAAAACACATAGCTTGAATAGGAAGCAGAGACCATTTCCTGTCTCTGGCGATATAGCAACATTTAAATAGGGTTAAGACTATAGCTACGAATGGGTAATACAAATGCAAATACTGGTAAGACCCAAGCAGCCAGTATGACATGACAGCTCTAATAGACATGATAAAGGTATAAATCACCAAAATCTCAAACTTTTGTTGAACCCAAAGAAGGCATTTTGGAAAAAAGTTGTTAACTAGAACATTAACCTCTGACTTTCATAGTGCTTGTTTTTCTTACTATGGAAGTGAATGATAAGTGGTTTCCAACATTCTTCAAAATACATTATTTTGTGTTTAACAGAAAAGGGAGTCGTATAAAGGTCAGGAACCACTTAAGGGCAAGGGTGAACTATCTCTTTAAGTAATGCACTTCATTTAAAATCACACCCCTAAAAAGATGAAGCTGATGACATGTAATAAGCACATGAAGAGAGAGGGCACTGTGAGCTTCCTGTCCCGAAGTAATAACTCACTCACCATGTGTATAGATATTCCCCAGCTCATTGTGCAGATAGAAGAGGCTCTTGATACACTCCTGGACGGTGGAGATGGGTCTATAACCAGTCAGGACGTATTTGTTGAACTGTAAATGTGGAGGAGAGTTTGCCCAGTCCAGCAGTCTGGGCCCGTTTAAAAATGCCATAGCAACCAGAAACAGTCACGACGACGACGCTAAAATAACTACCCTATACATCTACACGTACAAGTACAACACAGACTAAAAAAAGATCTGACACCCTAGACATTAGTCGGAGAAGTCCAGTGCGGTCATGTGCAGCCAGCTACATGGCTAGCACAGCTCCTCTTTAGCCGAAATAATTTTAAAAATCAACTTTTGCCTCCGCGACGGTTTGTGTTTGGACGCTGGCGGCGGCGTCATCCACACGGGTTGACGTAGAAGATCCAGGCTGCGTTCATAGTGAGCTTCGCTGATATATACAGGGCTGCATGTAACATTTAAACGAAGTGCGGTCACACCCTGCCCGAGCCTTTAAAACAAACCCCTCCAGCTTCTGTCAGCTCGACTTCAGTGGCGACCAGAGGACAGCCGGCTTTCGTTTGCAGCTCATCAAAAAGCCGCTGGTTAATTTCACCATCGGGAACTGCAGGGGTTTCGTGAAGGTTCAGAGTAACTTCCTCATATTCCCGTAGAGTGAATCATCATCATCATCATCACCACCAGCGTTGGCATTCACTCTGAATTCAGCTACCAGCGCTCTGTGACACTCGTGTGTTTTGCCAAAAAACTGATACTAAACTCATTAACGGGACATGTCGACTCGAACGGCGCACGGATAGGCGTGTTTTTGCGGTAAACAAATACCGGTTCAATTTAATGCTGATAAGACAATATTGCTTGGCACCAAATCGTAAGTATGAAAACATACAGTGTACAATGTCAGAATCGATATGACATCCCACGGGGTTTAGGGGGTTAAATTGAGGGTATTCGGCTAACATAAAAAAACAAAGATTTTCAAATTCTTATAGATATGTCAAGTTCATCCCCTTCACATACGAGCCTCCCCTGGCATTACCTACGTAATAAGTGCACCGTCCACAATAAATAAATGAATAAATACATAAATAAAAAGAACACATGCTTCATGTGCTTTCTTCTTTTAGTTTAACAACAGAGATCTTCTGATATCAAACGCGTTGCCTGTTCCCTGTCTCGCACTACCCGGATAGCTTGAAGAGCTAACGGGCTAGCTGCCGTCACCTTGATTGTGCTGACTGCAAAAACACACGAGCTCCACAGTCACTGTTTTAGCGGTGGTCACACATCACAGCCGGTTTCCCCAAACAGCTGCACTTGCATTCCTGCAAGCCCCCTACTCCGACTAAAATATCCCTATCCGTAGGCTTGGCATTTGTCATCCAGCAGACGGAGGAATGTTCGTGGTGCTCGGCTCACAGAAACACGTCTCCTCTACGGTGCCAAGTGATGTTGCTGCTAGCTTGCAGTGATTTCAGCCAGCAGAGTTATAAATGAGAGCTTTGGAGAGGAAATCCGTTTCTGATAGGCGGCTTTATCAAAAAAAGGTTAATATCCGCGACATTCGTCCGGCGCATTTCTTGTGGGCTGTGTGATACCGGTGTGCGGGAACATGCGGCTGGTGGAGGGGCGCAGCGGCCCGGCCTTCACTCTTCTCATCCGCTGATGCTGCAGCGCTATAATCCAGTCTGGACCAACTGGGACGAGCCGGGGGTGGCGCGAGGACAGGATGCATTCAATTTTCCTTTATTAAAAGATTTTTGCCCATTAAAAATACATTTTAAAGATGTCACAACATGAAATCATAAACTATCTGCTTCGCATATTGTATTTGATATTATTTAAAATCATTTAGGCTATACCTTAATGATAGCTCAAAATAGCGTTGTCCGAGTCTCTTTTTTCTCTGAATTGGTTGAACAAAGCTGAGTCTAAACGATTCGTTCGCGAATCGGTCTAAACGATTCAACCATGCATTGGAATGAGCCACCGAAGATAGCATCGTCTGCTCGTTTGATTGAGTAGCCTAATTGAATCCATACTAATGAATGTGTGAGGTATGAATGGCTCCGGTACGCAGGCTGTCCACATTCTGTAGCACTTTACCATATACGGTGGGTACTTTTTGACTATCAGTCATTCCTTTGTCACATTTAAATATTTTTTTCACTTAGTAAGTAGTCAGCTAGAAATCTCAATCATCAGAATGAGATGATTTGGGGTTTTAGTAAGGATTTGACCAATGTGTCAAAGTTACAATGACCCATTCATTCATTCATTCATTCATTCATTCATTCATTCATTCATTCATTCATTCATTCATTCATTCATTCATTCTCTTTTCAGCTTAGTCCCTTTATTCATCTGGGATTGCCACAGCAGAATAAACCGGCAACTTATCCGGTATATCTTTTACACAGCGGATGCCCTTCCAGCTGCAACCCATCACTGGGAAACATCCATACACTCTTGCATTCACACACATACACTACAGTCGATTTAGCTTATTCAATTCACCTCTCTTTGGACTGTGGGGAAAACCGGAGCACCTAGAAGAAACATGAACACAGGGAGAACATACAAACTCCACACAGAAATGCCAACTGACCCAGCCAGGGCTCGAACCAGCGACGTTCGTGCTGTGAGGTGATCATTCTACCCACTGCGCCACCTTTACAATGACCCCCCAAAAAAATATATACCATGAAATTCTACTGGAAAATATTCCTATATATATATATATATATATATACTGTATATATATATATATATATATATATATATATATATATATATATATATATATATATATATATTAATACATTTAGAACTTTTTTAATGTTTACATGCAGACCAACCGATAATAAACAATCTGAAATTATTAAAATAACCTGTTTTACTGGATATGCAAATCAACAACTTCACCTAAGATATAAATTAAGTACCTGCTACACTTTAAAATTCCGCTTTTTGAAACAACCGACTGTTCAAGTTTACATGTAAACCAACAACAAAGACCATTTCTTCCATCCAAATATTTCTGAAGGATGAAACTTAAATCCAGTCCAACATTTTTTAAATTTACGAAAGCCATTTTACCTTGAAAAATGATGTCACAACAGGGCGTAATGAATCTCAAATACTAAACTTCATATGCATTCGTGTCTTTGAAGACTTACAATAGCCAATACAATAGTATTCATCAATTTAGCTTTCGAAAGGTTGCCCGTGAATGGAGAGGGGTCTGGATGCAGACCTGGTGCAGTGCAATCTGAGCTGCATCCAATGCGTTTTAATGGGCTCACCTAACCCCACCCCTAACCCTACCCATCACGGTGACGTCACTCACTCCATATAAGTGCATTGTGTCTGACATTGCATCGCAGAGTGATGCAATCTCAGCTTGCATCAGAAAGGCTGCATCCAGATACTATTGCATGAATGCCCCTTCCTCTTTGGGTTGCCATTTGAGATTGGGCCAAAAAATACTGTTACATTTCATGCCAACTTTTCTGAACCAAATCATGACTGCAACTGGGACACATTAAATTAATACTTAATAAATAATACTAATACTATTAACACTAATACTCTAGACAACATTGGTTGATCAGACAGCAATGTAGTCCCTAAATATGACTTAATTAAAAGTTTAGCTTTATAAGTGGCACAATCCAGGTCAAAGATCTTTAAATGAAACAATTGAACTTTTATTGCACCAGGCTGCATGGATTGACAATGCCAGCTTGCCAACAAGCACAACCAGCAGGGATGGGTAGTATTTATGATACAAGTATTTCTAATACACATTTTGCAAGTTGTATTTGATAGGGTGGATGATAATGGGTTAATATTTTGTATCAAAATACTTTAGTGTCTTGTATTTTTGAATTTTAAAAATACTGTAAAATACTTTGTAGGAAGTCTATATGATGACATCTTTAAAATGCTGCCTCAGATTGATGCTTTCTGTTATTTGCCTATTCTTGAGGTCAGAACAGAAAATTAATAAGGTGTTCAACTCTTGTACTATGGATGGAAGTTATGCATATTTCCTTAAGAAATAAGTTAGAGTAAAATATTAGTCCTTAAGAACAGAATTTGGAGCCTACAGCACATAATTATTCTCAGTCTCAGCGCTGCAGGTGGAAATTCAGACAAACTTTTAATAAAACACCTAAAGATGGTGTGCTGGTGTTCGCTAAGTGGGTAAACTGAGACTTTTCCAGTTAAAGGAGAACTGAAAGAATCTTGCGGGAATGAGTAAACTGCACATATAATAGTAGTTTTGGTTAAATTGCTGATGTAGATGCCAAGAAAATAAGACAAACAACATTAAAACAAGTCCTACAGTGGCTGACTTAATCTTGCTTAGAAAAAAGCTGTTGTTATCAAACATGGTTTACTTCACTAGGTCAGTTTAATGGTGAAGCGATTGATCGAATATGCCTGTTGATAGAAGGTTTGCGAAGAAATGTTATACTCCCATGTAAAAGTGAGGGTATTCTCACACTAAAATACAGTATTTTAATGTAATACTTGTTGTGGCTGCTGTATTTTTTAGTTTATTTTATACATATAAAATTGAGGTATTTGAAAATACATTTTAATGTATTTTTGCCCATCACTGAGCACAGCCGTCAATAAAATTGCTTAACATCTGACTATTTTTTGCATGTTTTGCATTTTTGCAAGTGTCACAATATATTTCCCTCCAGAAACTTGCGTTCTGTGAATGAAAGTCGCCTCGTGGTTCCATCCTAAAGAGGGAAGAAATCACTTTCCTGAACTCTCGCTCTAATCTGCCCAGTTGGTGGGATGAACTCCCTAACTGCATCAGAATGGCAGTCACTCACTGTCTTCAAAAAATGACTTAAAACTCAACTATTTAGTCTCCACTTTCCTTACTAATTTGCAATTCCCTCTCTGACCCCTCCACTAACTACATTATTAAAAAAAAATGACTACTGTTTTGCTTCTGACACTTTTTTTGCATACCTGAAACTTGCCTATAGCACTTATTCATTGTTACTTTTATAGTTGTGTAAATTGCTTCCTTGTACTCATTTATAAGTCGCTTTGGATAAAAGCGTCTGCTAAACTAAATGTAAATGTAAATGTAATATTTATTTTTTTTTATTCACAAAGAGTACTGTAATAGTGTACTGCCTTTTACATATACAAGAATGACATGTTATATTACCTTAAAAAATTATGGCCCTGCATTACAAAAAAAACGCCTCAATATGCAAATCAAAACCTTTCAATTTCTTTAGCATATTAACATCTATTGGACTAATGCAACACAGCGTTCACAAATTATTGTTCTACAATGATCATTTTAGAGACCAAATCTCACACTCATGAAAGGTATCACATGCACCACAAGGCTGAAATGAAAATTTCCAACCACGATGACAAACGTATTTGTTTTTTTAAATGAGTCACGATGTGTAAACCATGCAGACCACAGGCCCATGATGAGTCTATTAATCTGAGCATTAGGCTACATTTACATGAAACATTTTGCAAATAATTATACTTTTTTTACTTATTTAAAACAAAGTCAATTAGTGTAGACAGGGTAATTCAGATGGAGAAAACCTTCACTGGAGATCAGTTGCATGAAGATACTGTATGCAGTTTGCCTTAAATCTTAATTTTGATTTCAAAATGAAATTTGATAAAAATAAATGAATGCAATCATGAAATTATATTTCTTTGTTTGCAGGTCTGAACCAGTGGTTTAAAAACAAGAGCTGTAAAACTTTTTAAAAGGGTGCCATAGGTGTCTAACACCAATGTTTGATTTCCTTTAGCTTACGTTCTTAAGTAATATTTACAAAGCTGAGTAAGTCTGCTCTGTCTGATCAAAATTATATTTAAAGATAATACTGCATAAATCCCCGATTAATTATGCCTGCGGTGCCAATCCATTCATGCCACCTCTGTATTAAACAATGACATGAACGCACTTCAAAAGTGCTTCATAAAAGTTATGCCTGCTCTGACACACTTTAAATCCAAGTAAAAATGCAGAAATAATAGCAGTAAATACAATGAAACCATTAATTTGTGTTTAATATAATGGTCTAAATATCACCTTTGCTCATGGTTTTGCTGAATTAAAACCACATCCTTTTATGCTAAATAACAACCTTTATCAATATTTCCAACCCTATGCATCCTGCATACACATTGACCATAAAGGTGTGAATGCTCTCAAGTCTGACCAGGGGTGAGATGTAAACTGTGGTGTATAAATATGAACACAGCACAGATACTTGATCTAAGTCTGCATGTGGGACACTCTTAGACTAATGATTCTGAAGACCCTCTGGGTAAGTTAGAAAGATCTTAAACTCATTTCATTGCAAACATGCTGTTTTGTTTTTAAACTGACCTCTGCTCCAGTTCAGAAAACTGCAATTTAAGTAAGAATTTACATGCTAAAACATCCCATGCCTTTATAAAACATTTCATTAATAAAAGAAACTGTATTTAATAATTATTAGATCACTGCATATTGAAGGGGCTATAATAAACCGAAAAATTAAAAACACAAATCACGACATGCATTGTATGTTGTTGAAATTGTTATGATGTTAACGACATGTTTCAATGCAATCTTATTTTCTCTAGGAAACTCACAATGGTTCCTGTAGCTCTACTGTGCTCTGTGCTTCTTCTATACCTTACTCCTCCAACCAGCCCAGCATGCTTTCTGGGAAAACAAGCAGAGTGTCAAGATGCCAGTTTTGTGCCAGGATCTGACTTGGCTGGGGAGGGATTCGACATTACTAAGATGCAACGCCTGGGGACCTTTGTCTTCGACATGAGTAAGTGGGATCTCAATAACAACACGTGTAATCTGTGCAAAAACCCATTCATGCAGAACGAAAAGCAGAAGCTCCCGGTGTCAGCCGTCTACTGGAGGGCATCTCAAAAGTGCACCATGTCCCTATCCAGCTCTGTTTATGAGTCCAGCGAGTCCCTGGTCAGTTCCAGCACCTCCTCCATAGAGAACAACTGGAAAACTGGACTGGGAATAGGAAATATGTTAAGTAAGGTGTCTCTGATGGTTGCTGGAACTAACTCAAGGCTTTCTGACTATTCAATGAGCAAGACCAAAAAGGACAAATTCAGCTTCATCAAGCAGTCTGCATCCTGCGTGTACTACAGGTAATGCTTAATATAGTTAAAGGGATAGTTCACCCAAAAATGAAAATGATGTCATATTTCAAACCTTAATCTGTTGTGGTAAACACAAAAGAAGATATTTTGAAGAAAGCTGAAAACCTGTAACTATTGACTAATAAGTATTTGCTTTTCCTGTGGAAGTCAATGGTTACAGGTTTTCTGCTTTCTTCAAAATATCTTCGTTTGTGTTTTGGGTGAACTATTCCTTTAATTGCGCAGCCTTTTGGTTACTGCATGCTGATATTAATGCACAGCTCTATAAACGACTTTCTTCAGCTACAGGATTGCCAGCAGCGCTCCTCTTCACCATGAACTAAGAGATGACTTCAGTAACCTTCCAGCGACGTATGACAACCAGACAAAAGAGAGCTACCTGTCACTCGTTGAAAAGTTTGGCACACATTACATTATCCAGGTAATCAAAAAAACTCACCACTAATATGCTTATACAGATAAATACAAGTTATCGAGTGAGTGATTGATTGTGGAAGTCATATTTAGAGAACAACAAATACTGTAACCTTCCTTGTTCAAATTTTTTTTTTTATTTAGTTGTGGCAATACCATGCAAATAGAAGAAAAGTTTTTTACAAAAGTCACTTAAAAATGTATTTGGTAAAAATCACTGTATAGCAAATAAGGCAAGAAAGTAAAAATTCAGTAGAGTGCTGACAGAAGTCAAACATGAGTAGAAAGTTTGAAGGCGCTTCAAGGGACAGTTGACCTAAAATTAAAATTTGATCTGTCTGTCATTATTTACTCATCCTTTACTTGTTTCAAACCTATTTGAATTTCTTCTGTTCAACCCAAAGGAAGATATTTTAATGAATGCTGAAAATCTGTAACCACTGACATCTATAATATATATTTTTTTTCTATGGATGTCAATGGGCTCTATGCACAGTTAGAGTTTTAAAGCCAATGATAAACTTGTGGTGAAAGCTTAATGTGACTATTTTCATTTTCACAAGGTTGTTTTTACAGCATCGATGTTGTAATATAATTACAATACATTCAGTTAAATTCAGTCAAGCCTAAAATGAGATGAAAGTCGTCAGTAGCAACAGGCTAGCGCAAAAATTTCAATGAAAATACTGGGGTAAAATAAACTGTCATATTATAAAGACATGGTGGGGGAAAATGGACTTTAATGCAGTGCTTCTTGTCCGATCTGAGACCCACTTCATATCGTATATCTATCAGGCAGTGAAGATCGCTGATTTTTAAAGAAATCAGATCTTAAACATGACAATTTTGTAATAAAAAGACAGTTCACCAGAAGCCCTTGGGCTGCCTGGCTGAAAATTAAAAGCCTGCATGCATACAGCCAATAGTTACAGGTTTTAGGCATTCTATTTTCTTTTTTCTTGAGCAAAATAAAGGAACTCAAGGTTAGCAATTTCTTGAGGGTAAGTAAAATTTCATTTTTTGGTGAACTATCCCTTGAAGCCACGTTCACACTATGGGTTTGTGCATGCGAAATTCTGTTTCACAGTCCTGCACAAAAGTGTGGGGGAAAAAGATGATGTGAGACTGATTACTTTCTGTATTTTAAATAACTGTACACAAAAAAATGATTCATGATATAAAAAAAAGTAATTAATTGGATTTACAAAAATGTTTTAAGGCAAGTAGTTGCAAACAATTTATATGTGCTGAATTTAAGCAAGTTATATTTATTAATGTTCAACTTAATTTGTTTGTTTAAATTAAGTTTATTGAAGCTGTTTGCAACAATTTGCAATAAAACATTTTTTTTTCAGTGTTCAAAGAGGACATGTTTTGATCTTCTATTGGACATGGTCAGAGATTACCAAGCTTTGTCTGCTGCATTCACATGCATATAAATGAATGCATATAAATGGAATTGCAGTTTGACCATGGTTTTTCTCTAAATGAGTTGATCATATGTACAGGACATCACCGTAGTTAGTCACAGTAGTCACGCAAGATGTTCATTCAGGTTAAGTTCTAGGCTCTTGTCTGGCCATTTTATTATTTTAATATTTTCAGCTAAAGGCTTTCAGCTTTACTCATTGTCCTCAATAATATATATATATATATATATATATATATATATATATATATATATTTTCTTTTTTTTTTTTTTTTTTTTTGGTGATTAATGCAGAGAAGTAACTTAACGTTGCTGAAGGAGCTTCTGATAAACCTTTGCTACAGAAAACATCCCCCAAACCATGTCACTTCCTCCTTCACCTTTCACTGACTTCTGCACATATTTTATGTTCAGTCTTTTCCCATACCACTAACAAAAAGTTTCCCATAATGGCCAAATTAATTAAACTTCATACTTTAAAATTATGCTTTGGACAAGTTCAACCTGCTTCAACCTTCAGCAAAGGTCAGTCTAGTCTTTTGATTATCTGCTGATAAACGTTTGGTCACTGCAAGGACTTCAGATCCTTCAGTGCTGAGATGGCTTATTCAGCTGCATTGTTGAACTGATTATCATTAAGATTCTCCATTATCATTTTGTGCTTTGGATGGATGGCCAGAGGTTTTGTAGAACTTGAATGAGCTAGTAACATTTTTTAGATGCATTATTTTAGAAATCAAAAATCAGGATAACCAGCTTCTCTTACTGTAGCTGAAAGACTTTTCCTTTTGATCTTCATTTTTTTAAATATCCCATTTAAGTATTTATACTGTGCTTTGGATCGTGTATAATTCTTGAAACACCTATAACTTTGCTAGGCAGTGACTTAAAATTGAGGAAGGTACAAGTTGTTCTCTAAATTTGATCTCTATTGTGCAGTGTTGTTTTGGGTCTGTCACGAGTGCGTTTGTAATGTGTTGTTCAGGTAAAACTGGGTGGAGGTGTGCAGTCTGTCACCAGTGTTAAACAATGCATGGCGACTCTACAAGACCTCAGTGTAGATGAGGTCAAAACATGCTTGGACGTCGAAGCATCTGCAAGTGTGATGGGGAGGATAAGTGTAGACACAGCTTATCGTCACTGTAAACAGAGCCAAGACAAAAAACTGAGCGCACACAGCTTTGCTAACAGTTTCAGTGATAGGTTTGTGCCTTGACTTTTTAAACTTTTAAGAAAGAGCTTGAAATGATTAACATTAGAGACTTCCATAAATAATAATAAATCAATGTAAGAAGTATTATCTGATATTAATTATAATATTTATCATTTTTTTATTATTTATTTTATATTTTTTAGAGATTAAGGCATTTTTCTTTATATTTTGTATAAAAATGATCAAATAGCTACATATATTTTCTTCTATATAATTCAAATATCTATCAAATTTAGAAATTTAACTTTAATATAATAATAAAAAAAATAATAATATTAATTGTTATTATAATAATAATTATTATTATTATTATTTATCATAACTATTATTATTAACTTTCACCATAATTAGTAGATATAGATATTTTTCTTTACATGTATAAAATCTGATATATGATATATAGATATAATAGATTATGAAAATGAAATAATAACTCTGAAATCCTCATCCTAACTCTAATCTTGAGTGTAAACGTAGCAAAATCATACTAATTGATCCTATCATATTATAAATGTATTATACTGTATAAAAACTAACTGTATTGTAGTAACTAAAGAAAAAAATTTATTAAAATAACAGTTTATTATGACGATTATTATTATGTGCTCCTTTACACTTATCATTTTCATTAATGTTCCACTAGGTTAACAGAAATCACCGGTGGCCATACTCAAGACAGCGCTCTTCTCTTCTCAGCCAGCAATGACCCTGGTGCTTATAAACAGTGGCTCTCCTCAGTGCCTCAACAGCCAGACGTGATATCCTTCTCACTGAAACCCCTCCACATGCTAATGCCAGCCAAAAACCCCAAACGCGATCAACTACGCCGTGCCATTCATGACTACGTCCTGCAGAAGGCCCTCTTGAAGAATTGCTCTTCACCCTGCAAAACCGGCATCGCGACAAACCCCAAAGAGCCCTGCGCTTGCAGCTGCCACAACAATCCTGCTGTCAAAGCCAACTGCTGTCCCGCACAACGAGGAATTGCCCAAATTACAGTGACTGTAATGAGAGCCACAGGTCTGTTCGGCGACTATTTTACCTGGACCGATGGCTACGTCAAGGTCTTTCGAAATCAAAAGCTCTTTTTAGGGGAAACGCCAGTGATCTGGAACCAGAACTCACCAAAGTGGAACTGGAGGTTTGATCTTGGGAGCTTTGTTGTTTCTCAGTTTGGGGGATTGAAATTAGAAGTTTGGGATAGGGATAATAAGTGGGATGATGATCTTTTGGGGACGTGCAACATTCAGCTGAAGGCCGGTGTAAAAAATGATTTCTGTCGACTCAATCATGGTTTGCTGTATTTTAAGACGTCTGTGACGTGTGGGCCTAGTTTGGCGGGCTCCTCGTGCACTGAGTATGTGGGATCTCCGATGGCGTCCCACTTGGAGAAGCTCTACGTGTCGAGACATGCAAGACCTGTCCCGAAAGATATGCTGGTGAAAATGGGGGTGCTCTTAAAGGAGCGTCGAGCCCTGTTGGGTCAGACCAGTGAGGCTGAAAGCAAAAGGCAGAATTTGTGAACAACAAGAATGCTAGTCTCTCGTAAATCTCGTTACTTGTTAGATGCAGCAAGAAGCATTTAAATTTAATTCATTTAGCAGATATATATTAGCATACACTTATACATACAGTTGAAGTCAGAATTATTAGCCGTCCTGAATTATTAACCCATCTCAATATTTTCTTTTCAATTTCTGTTTAACGCAAAAAAAAAATTTCAACGCATTTATAAACATAATAGTTATAATAACTCATCTCTATTAACTGATTTATTTTATCTTTGCTATGATGACAGTAAATATTTATTTCTAGTTATTTACTAGTATTCAGCTTAAAATGGGATCTAAAGGCTTAAAGAGCCCTTATTTTGTCTTATAAAAGTTCATATTTTGGTTTTGGGGGTCTTCAACAAAAGCCTTAGATGCAAGCAAGGTCAAAAACCCTTTCATTGTCTTATAGTATATATTTATTTTTACCTTATTATCCCAATGACTCCTATATTATTCATTTAGTGATTCATTTGTTCCCAAACCCCTAAGCTAATCTGCTGTGATTGGTCTGATGACCCAGTCTGTTGTGATTGGTCAACTGCGTTCAGCGTGAGACAGAGAGAAACACCCAGCATGGCTATGAAATGGCAGAGTATGTAAGAGCCCAATGCAGGAGTGTGTTAAAGCAATGCAGTTAAAGACCGAGAGATCCGAACCAAACACGATTAATTGATTGGACTCTGAGTCGACTATTTCATTAAAGAATTAACAGTTTTAAACACGGTGCACTTATAGATTTAATCCTCAGCAGGATGTTTTCAGTCACTTAGAGCTGTGTTACACACTGCATGAAAGTTCATCTTCAAAAACTCATAATAGGGACTCTTTAACTAGGTTAACTAGGCAGGTTAGGGTAATTAGGCAAGTTATTGTATAACAGTGATTTGTTCTGTAGACTATTGAAAAAAAATGTATTCCTTAAGGGGGCTAATAATATTGACCTTAAAATGGTTTTAAAAACTGCTTTTATTCTAGCCAAAATTATTCAGATAAGACTTTTTCCACAAGAAAGAATATTATAGGAAATACTGTGAAAAAATTAATTGCTGTGTTCCTTTGAGGAAATGTTTGAAAAGAAAAAAAAAATACCGGAGGGCTAATAATTTTGACTTCAACTGCACATGCAGTTTTATATTTTGTATCTCAGCATTGCATTTTATTTGTATCAATTTTGCTTTGATTTACAGATTTAGATGTTTGATGTATTCTATGCTTGCAGATTGTTATTTGTCCATTGCTTGCAGATATTTGGCTAATAAAATAATTAGAAGCACAGCAGCTTCAGTGATTCTTTAAAATGATTACTGTCATTGGTAACACTTTAGTTTAGGTCACAATTCACGGTATTAACAAACCATTTACTCAATAAACTACTGTTTATAAATAGTAAGCTAGAAGTTGGGTTTAGATATTGGGTAGGATTAGGGCTGCAGAATAAGATCATACTTCATAATTACAAACAAACGGTTAATATCTTAATAATAGGCAAGCCAGTATCAATATCATGAATTGTGACCTAAACTAATCCCAGCAAGCATTTTTTTGTTTTTAATAGATGTTTAATAGATAATAAATAAACCTCTAAACACAGTCATCTTGCCTAAAACAAGGCTAAATTTGGCCTGTCAGTGAAAATTTAATAGACGTCTAGGAATATACCAAAACTATAGACTAGTCTTTAAATAGACAGAAATGAATGACTACACGTATAAACTCTGTCTATTTGACGACTAGTCTAGATTTGGCCTATTCTTGAATGTCTATTAGATTTTCACTGACAGCGCAAATTTAGCCTTGTTTTAGCCAAGCTATCTACGCTTAGATATCTATTAAACACTAAATTGTTTGCTGGGATTTGTCTGTCATTTGTACATATTAAGTACTTGAAGCATGTAGGAGGATAAAAGTCTGTTTAACGCTTTGGGTGGAACTGGTGACTAACAGCAGCACTAAAGCATGTGTAACGTTTACTAAAGTTTTGATTTGACTAGTTTAGCGGTCCCTGTCAGGCTCTCCATGCTTCATGTTTGAACAATTGACAGGTCAACATGAATAATGCTCACATCTTCCATTGTCACAATATGTAGGTTGTGTTTCACCACATTCAGCCCTGCAGTGGTCGTTTAAGACCACACAACTGGTTCTTCTAAAGAGAAAAGGGTCCCAGCACGTATGATTTTTTTCATTGGTAGTGTATAACGGTAAAGCCCACCCACTATTTTAGGTTTATTTATCACACAGCTCCACTCGCACATTACTGACAAAAGCCCCAGACGCAGCAGAGCAGCTTGAGGTAAGAACATCATTTCACACCTTCAAAATAACACTGTGCCTTTACTTTCTCTAGACAAGCTTATTTTTTTGTGATGCAAGGCAAAGGAAACAAATCAACTGAAATCTGTTCTGTTTTTAATATTATGTCTTTTGATTACTGTGGGGAAGATCCTCTAAAATGTCTTACAAATTTGATATTCTTAACTACTACAATATGATAATATTTTCTCACTATCATTTTTTTATGCAGTAAGTTACAGACTGTTATTAAAAAAAAATATAGGTAGCACAAGGCATTTATCCTGTTATGACAGTAATATTAAGAGAAAAAAAAACTGTCTCAGAGATTAAAGTTTAAAAGACATTGTTTTACTTCAGAAGTGTCTCTGTTTAAGTGTCTTAAACTTCACAACTCATTTGTATGTTGAGTTTTGGATCTCTTCAAACAATAATATGGTAATTCATTATACAGCGGTCAGCATAATTGAGTACACCCCATGTTGAAAAGAATATTTTTATCCATTTATCAGTGAATATAGGCAATGTCTTTTGGTGATATAAAACAAAACAGATTTATTAAACAGATACATTTATTAAAATCATATTTTAGACGCCAAACATATTTAGAAATTAAAAGAGAATACAATTAAATTCAAGCAAAATATTGAGGAAAAAAAAAAATTCTGCAAAATTTTTATCTCTTTTTTTCCACTTCTCTTGATTTTTCCTCTTGTTTTAAATTTGTATTTAATATATATATTTTTAAAACATATAAAGGTAAAACTTTATTTTGATGGTCCAGTTGAGTATTAGTAGACTGTCTGCTTAATATCTGTTGATACTGCAGACATTTAATGCAGACATTTAAATGACTATAAAAAATAGTCTTTGTACATGTCAACATACACTAACCCTAACCCCAACCATAACATTAACCCCAACCTAACAGTCTACTTATAATCTAATAAGAATTAGTTGGCATGTAAATGCAATGTAATTTCAATTCAACAAATGGACCATCAAAATAAAGTGTGACCCATATAAATTTGGGTGTACTACTTTTTGGACTGTTATCGTAAGTTATTTTGTTAGATAAGCTCCAGATTTGGCTGACTAATTTAATGTATGTGCACAAATATAATATTGTACAGCTTCGTATTTAAAAAAGGATTTTAAAAGATAGATTTGTGAGTGGGGTGTACTTACATATGCTGAGCACTGTATTAATAGCGATACCTGATACCTGTTCGAAAATAGAATTTTTTATGATCCATGTCGATAAAAGTAAATAATAATATTAACTGATATACAACATTAAAACCCTTTTTCCCCATTGTATTTATACAATGTTACACACTTTTATTTAATTACTCGGAGTACAAGGCATCCATTCAGTTATGAAAGCCATGTTAATATTTCAAAATTAGTTGTTTTAGAGCAGGAGTGTCAAACTCAATCCTTGGAGGGCCGAAGCCCTGCACAGTTTAGTTCCAACCCTGCTCCAACACACTTACCTGTAGGTTTCAAACAAGCCTGAAGGACTCAATTAGTTTGATCAGGTGTGTTTAATTAGGGTTGGAACTAAACTGTGCAGAGCTGCGGCCCTTTTGGAACTGAGTTTGACACCTGTGTTTTAGAGACTTTAGAGTTCTATTTGGTAATGATATTTTAAAAGCAATACAATAAAACTGAATATTGAGGTCTATTATCTTTGTAGACAAGCAATAAATTGCCCATAATAGTAACCACACAACAAAGTAATACTTTTTATCTTCCTCTTTATACACTACTGTTAATTAAAAACTTTAACTCAGAATAAGAATATCTTTAAAACCTGGTACATAAGTCATTTTGTGCATCTGCGTGGGCATGTGTGTATATACTGTTACAAACCCCTGATGTTAATCTAGGGGATAGTGGGGTTTGACATTTATTTAATTTAAATATATTTATATAAACAGTGAATGAGCGGAAATACAACCAAAGTAATGCCAAAAAAAATGTGTGCTTTTATTTACGATCCCAAAGTGAACAACAACAACAAATTAATCAAAAATACAGAAAAAGTAATAAGGCAAAAATATACTATTTACAATATGTACAACACTGTGACAAATAAAGACGGGAAAAAAAACAAGACAGCTGGCAGAAGGGACGCGGGCAGCGCTAAAGAAATGAAAAGAACAAAACCCAAACTATATATATATATATATATATATATATATATATATATATGTGTGTGTGTGTGTGTGTGTGTGTGTGTGTGTGTGTGTGTGTGTGTATATATATATATATATACATACATACATACATATATATATATATAAATACATACATATATATATATATATATATATATACATATAAACAAAAGTGCGGTGTGGTGGCATAATTGGTAGCGCTGTCACCTCACAGCGAGAAGGTCACTGGTCGGCTCGGCTCGGTCAGTTGGCATTTCTGTGTGGAGTTTGCATTTTCTCCGCTCCGGTTTCCCCCACAGTCCAAAGACATGTGGTGTAGGTGAATTGGGTAAGCAAAATTGCCCATAGTGTATGTGTGTGGATGAGAGTGTATGGGTGTTTCCCAGAACAGGGATGCAGCTTGAAGAGCATACGCTGAGTAAAACATATGCTGGATAAGTTGGCGGCTCTTTCCGCTGTGGTGACCCCTGATTAATAAAGGGACTAAACCAAAAAGAAAATGAACGAATGATTACATAAAAGTTTGTGACATCCTCTAAATCAGGGGTGGACAAACTTTTTCGTGTAAAAGGCTAAAAATGAAATATCATTATGAGCCATGGGCCGAATATTCCAATCTAAATTACATTCAATTTGCCATGAGTAATTTGTTAATGCAATAAAGAAACATGAATACACAAGTCAAGGAGAATCTGCCTTTACCTTGATTTGCTCACCAAAGTCTCTGCAACTGTTCATCGGGTGACAGTATGTACATCTAAACTGATTTGTTTACAATACTTAATTGAAAGATTTCATTTCAGTTAGCTTCCAGCAGCAAAATAATCAAAATGTTACATTAGATTTCAAATGACAATCTCTAAACCATCCCCATAATTCTCCCTCTCTTTCCAGATATGATGGCGGGCCATCTCAAAGGTTGCGTTTGGCCCACGGGCCCTAGTTTAGGCATCTCTGCTCTACATCATAAATTCAGGCATTTCAATCATTTCACTGGCCTGAGGCGTATAAAATCCAGCATCTAGGTGTGCAGAATGCTTCTACAAACATTCGTAAAAGAATTGCTCTCAGGAGCTCAGTAAATTCAAGCATGGCACAGTGATAGGTTGCCACAATAAGTCCATTGGATATCACAAATGCACTTCCAGGAGAACGGGCAAATATTCCCATAAACACTCCTAAATCTTGTGGAAAGCATTCCCAGAAGAGCTCAAGCTGTTATAGCTGCAAAAGCTGGGCCAACTCCATTTTAAACCCAATAGATTGGCAAAGGTTGCCACCTTTGGTAATATAGTGTGCGTGGTGTGTGTGTGTGTGTGTGTGTGTGTGTGTGTGTGTGTGTGTGTGTGTTACGTGTGCCATCTACTAGAGAAAAAAATAACACATTTTGAATAACAACAAAAAAATTAATCCAACGTTTATAAATACAAGTTATAAATTGCAGCTGAATAAACCAATTTGTAAAACTGCCACTATTAACCCATTTTTATGGTTTCATAAACATGTTTGCATTTATTTTCTCCAGGTTTTTGAATATGCAGCTACTATAGTTGTCGGTGAGCAAATATGTTGTAAGAACCCTTTAACGTAAAAATTGAATAGGAGGAGGACGTTTGGCTTTCTAACTCAAAGAAACTGCTTTCAACATATCAATTCATATTCATAAACACATTTATCATGTTTAAAATTAGAAAACCATTTGATATGAACCCTCCCAAAAATGATCTATCATATAATTTCAACTAATCCATTTGTCTAACAGTCATGAAACACACACTAGTTTCCCCAAAAGACTACTGTTAGTCAAAAAGATAAATAAATAAAAAGGTTTAAGTGTTATTTCCAAGTGGGAAAAGTTTATTTTACTCTGAGGATTTTGCTGTGTGTCAATTCGTGTATCAGAAAAGTCTGTTTTAAAGTAAAGATATCAGTTAAAGGCTTAAGTTATATTTAGATGGAGTATTATGAAAGCAAAAGTCAATCAATAACCTTGATTTATAAACGTATTTACACATTATTCCCTAATTCCTCATGTTTTCCAAACTTATAGAGTTGTATTTGCCCATTTGTATTTGTATTTGATCTTTTGAAATTTAGATAGACAAAAAACTATAGCTCTCTTGTAAGTATTGTTTTGTTTGGATGAATCTAGAGATCTTCATAATTATGGTATTATATATTTGTAAAGAAAAAAATCAGTAACATGAAAATTGCCTTTATTTGGGAGAGTTTGCCTCCATTTTGCATCCTGGAATTAGGAGTAGAAAGCCAAAAGCCTCACATGACATGAAGTAAATCAATTCCTTTTTTCTATCTTGAAATCTTTTATTTAGCGGTTTGCTTGCATGCCACTGAGAAATTAAAGACGGATAGCATGTAGAAAATGACTTATAAAAGGAACATTTCAACTGTGAACTTTGGCAACTAGTTGTCAGTGGGTTTAAAAAGGTTAAAACTCAAAATGCCTTGTTTTTTCACAGGAAAGAAGAGCATCCATACACATTTCCTCCACTCATTGACAGAGATGAGGGCTGGATTGTTTTTTTACCTTCTCTTGCCTGTTGTGCAGTCCTGCACTAAAGGTAAACCCAAAGAGTGTGAAGAAGCAACCTTTGCACCCGGATCTAACCTGGCCGGAGAAGGATACGACGTGATCAAGATGCAGCGCAAGGGAGCTTTTGTCATCAACACAGACGTCTGGAGGCAAAAGGACAAATCCTGCACCCTCTGCAAGAACCCCTATATGGACGGAGCTTTACAAAAGCTTCCTCTGTCAGTGGTGGACTGGAGAACCAGCCAAAAATGCACCGTGAAAGTCTCCAGTTCTCTATACCATTCCAGCGAGGACCTGGTGAGCTCCAGCGCCTCCTCTATTGAGAACAACTGGGGTGCAAGTTTGGGGATAGAGGCTAAAAAAACAACAGGCTCGATAGTTTTGGCAGGAAGCAAGTCAAAGCTTGCAGAGTACTCAATGGAGAAGACCAAAAAAGACAAGTTCAACTTTGCAAGTCAAAGTATTTCCTGTGCTTATTACAGGTGGGATTCTTGTCTAATAGTACTGCATACACTTCTACTTTCCAAAGTCACCCCCCCGCCACTCAAATTAGTTTAAGAGCGAAGTGAAGCGAGTGAGCGAGTGAAGTTTTACAAACAAAGTTTGAGAAGAGCACATGATATGATTGATCATGGCTGGCCTCTCATCCGTAATCAGCAATAATCCAATCAGATTGATTCAAGCTTACAATAAATAGACAGATTGCCCTGCTGACTTATCTTTATATTGGAAGAATCCCCGTCTCCACCCCATCTCCCCTTTTTCTCCCTTTACCAGGGGAAGCTCTCGAGACCTACATAATCTCGGATCCCCTTTACTGACCAGGCGGGAGCCCTGGGCTCAATTATCTCAGAGCTCAGGGTTCTCAGGACAGCATGCTAAACCCGCTAATAGCGTCAATCAATATTTAAGTGTGAACTCTTAAAACTTATTCAGTGATTTTTACAAGATTGTACATTTCCTTGTAAACTGGATAAGAATTATTTTGTACACAATTTGTAATGAACAATAAATCAAGTAACTGCAATTTGCCAAACTGACTTTAATTAACTGTTTGAAATCATAAATATGTTAATTTATACACAATATTAATTTTAATAATTTTAATAACTAGCTTTCAATAACTCATTTGCAACGGGGAGCATGCATGAAACATTTCTGAATGAAAGTGAAAGTGCCAAACTGCAGTTAAAGTCGGCAAACTAAAACTGAAACACCTGAAATTTCATGAAACTCTAGAAGAAATGTGCCAAACTCCGATAAGCAAAATCAATTTCAGGCGGGGCTGACAGGACGTCTTTCATGGTAATAAAGAAAAAGTCTTTCATGAATTCTCTTGGATTTCTAACCTCAATCCCCTCTGGGGCCGACCACTCGTAGATTCTGTCCCTTCAATCGAGAGACCAAATCATCAACAGCAGACCCCAACGTAGCATTTAAATCCGAAGCCGCTGTTAATTCGGCTCATAACGAAGTAACTTTGTGCCATATCAGACGCCTCGAGGTCTTGGCCTGGGGCTTCGTGGTCTGCCAGGTTTTTTTTATCCCTCCCCATTCCTGCATTCGCTTCGCTCCCTGATTATTAAAGACATTTTAAATCCTGTCGAATATAAGAAATGACTGCTGCAGATGACACAAACTAAGGAAAAAGTCAGTGCTAGTAATTGGTGCTAGGCTGTCCAATTACTGTCCTATCTACCCACCCAGGTAGCAAAAAATTCTGGCCCAGATTTGGGATAAAGCTGGCACAGCAAGCATTCATCAAAAATCACCAAAAGCTGATTGTGTGGGCCAGAACTGGGCCAGAGAAATTTTGCTATGTGGGTAATAAAGGCAAAAAGGCCAAAAATGTATCTCAAATAAAAAGAAAAGACAAGCAATGCCAGTACTGATTTTATTATACAGATTTATTTTCTTATAGAGTACGCTTCATATGTTATCACTTTTATATTCTCAAAACTGGTACCATACAATTTCGTCAGCATTTTAAAAGGTGAAAAAAAAGCAAGAAAGATCTTGATGTTTTAGTGTTTTTGCTGATTTAATAACTTTTTTTGGCGCATTTATAAAATTAAGTCTTTTGGGGTCCTTCTTTTTGAGAACTGCTGTCATAAAAGTCTAATATCACACAGTCTTCTCCTATATTTCTTGCCTAACACAAGTTTCCCATGTATATCTACAGCTATCGAGTCTCCAACAAGCCTGTTCTCCATCCTGAGTTCAAACGATCTGTGAAGGAGCTTCCCAAGACATACAACCTTCAATTCAAGCCGCGTTTCTACAAGTTCATTAACACCTTTGGAACCCATTACATCACAAAGGTAATTCAAGGGTCGACTTCTTTATAATTTACGACACTTGCACTGAATGGATTACAAAGGCCAAAATACTTCAACAAGCCAAATCAGTAATCAGATTTATTTTGCCAGGTAACTCTTGGCGGAAACGTGCACTCAGTGACCAGTATCAGACAATGTGAAACCGCTCTTCAGGGCTTAAGCACAGACGAAGTAAAGGCCTGCTTGGATTTGGAGGCAAATATGAGCATTCTTGGCAAAGCAGACATGAAAGCCGAATCAAAACACTGTAGTCAAAATCAGGACAAAACAGAGAGCAAAACCAGCTTCTCCAGCCGCTTCAATGACAGGTGAGTTCATTCGTGTATAGCTTGTCTTACATATATTGCCAGTGGAGTAAAGTAACAAATTACAAATTCTCAAATGACTGTAATTGAGTAGTTTTTCCTCAGGAATTTAAAAAAGGTGTACTTTTACTTTCCCTAAAGTACATTTTTAGTGCAGCATCTGTACTTTTACTCCACACTCCATTATTTCTTGTCTATGAGAATAGTAGAAAAGTTAAATCCTGTGATTCCTGTCCAAATCGCACATAGAAATTAAATTGCGTCATACTGAACAACCTCAAGATATGTGCACTATATAAATGCAGCAAACTATTTGAAAGCATTAAAAGTGTTTAAGATGTGTAAAATGTTTACACGCATTGACCTAGAGACTGGCTGTTTCTCAATATGTGTTCTTCAGCAATCTTGCGTCCTTGTGTTCTCGTGTAACGTCATCATCGACTGCCAAAGTTCAGCTCCCGCAAGAACAGCGACACGTGACAGTTCCCGGATGTGTTTTTGATATCAAGGATGCACCGATGCAGACTTGAGCACCGATCTTGCTTTAGACGTCCCAGAAGTAATTGCGACTGGAGGTTGAATGCAGGTTTATTATTAAAGTTCAGAGATACCACTTATTTACCTTAGGAGTTTCCCTAAATCAGGGGTGTCCAAACTCGGTCCTGCAAGGCCAGTGTCCTGCAGATTTTAGCTCCAACTTGCCTCAGCACACCTGCAAGGAGGTTTAGAAAGGCTAGTAAAGCTGCTGTCACACTAGAGTTTGTGTGTGCGAAATTCTGTTGTGCGGAGCTGCGAAAAGGGATGGGATTAAGTAAAACTGATCATCAAGGGATGCATGATTTATTGATAAAATTTTTCAAATATGACTAAAGTAAGTATTACGTGGTGGCAAAGATAAAGTTTCATCTAAAAAACACTGCATTCAAATATTTTGGACAAAACGGTACAACATCTTAGCAGCTGTTTGTCTTATATCTGCAAAAACACTGCAAGAAGTTTAAAAGATTAGTGTTCATCCTAAAAAATGTGTTTTAAACTTGTTTTCCACTCAAGATATGTTAACATTCTTAAATCAATAAACTATATTTTGTGTATATTGAGAAGTTTATTTTTTCAAATACAAATAAAGCTTATATATATATATATATATATATACACACACACATACACACATATATATATATATATATATATATATATATATATACATATACATATATATATATATATATACATATACATATATATATATACATATATACATATATATATATACATATATACATACACACACACAGTTGAAATCAGAATTATTAGCCCCCTTTAAATTTATTTTTTCTTTAAATTATTTCCCAAATTATGTTTAACAGAGCAAGGAAATTTTCATAGTATGTCCGATAACATTTTTTAATAAAGTATAATTTGTTTTATTTTGGCTAGAATAAAATCAGTTGTAAATTTTGTCCAATTTTAGCTTATTTTTAAGCTTTTTTTTTCGATAGCCTACAGAACAAACCATTGTTATACAATAGCTTGCCTAATACCCTAACCTGCCTAGTTAACCTAATTAACCTAGTTAAGCCTTTAAATGTCACTTTAAGCTGTATAGAAATGTCTTGAAAAATATCTAGTCAAATATTATTTACTGTCATCATGGCAAAGATAAAATAAATCAGTTATTAGAGAGGAGCTATTAAAACTATTATGTTTAGAAATGTGCTGAAAAAAATCTTCTCTCCGTTAAACAGAAATTGGGGAAACAAATAAACAGGGGAACTAATAATTCTGACTATATATTTATTCTGATATATATATATATATATACTGTATGTATGTATATACCTACGGACAATTTATATATATATATATATGGCGAAGCAGTGGTGCAGTAGGTAGTGCTGTCGCCTCACAGCAAGAAGGTCGCTGGTTCGAACCTCGGCTCAGTTGGCGTTTCTGTGTGGAGTTTGCATGTTCTTCCTGCGTTCGTGTGGGTTTTCTCCGGGTGCTCCGGTTTCCCCCACAGTTCAAAGACATGCGGTACAGGTGAATTGGGTAGGCTAAATTGTCCGTAGTATGTATGTAGTAGTATGAGTGTGTATATGTGGATGTTTCCCAGAGATGGGTTGCGGGCATCTGCTGCGTAAAAAACATGCTGGATAAGTTGGCGGTTAATTCCGCTGTGGTGACCCCAGATTAATAAAAGGACTAAGCCGACAAGAAAATGAATGAATATATAATTTTTTTCTTTAATGAAAAATATAATTAAAACCATTACTTTTCTGCTCCATTGTTAGCCATGTTTTCGCTCTTTATAAAAATATATTATATTAAAATTGCAGTAATTATGTGATTTTGCACATGTTGATCACCGTTTGTATACTGTTTTAATAGAAATGCCATTTACTACAATACCATTTTGGTTATCATGGTTTAACATTTCTTAATGTTCAACAACAAATGTTTTGTTTGTTTTTTAATTTTTGTAATTGAAGTACAAAATCACTTTATCAACCTTAATATGTACTAGTGATGTGTTGATGATATTTTACTGTCAATGTGTAAACAACTTACAATCCCTGACCTCCAAGGTTGAACCCTGTAGACAGATATTTACATAAACATTTTTGACAGAAAAAAAATCAAAAAGATGTAACAATATCATTTTAATGAGCTCATTTAATGATGAAGCAGCAAATTGGAGTGTAAGCATGTGCATATTGCATATATTGAAATATGTTCAATCTCTAATACGTTTCTGACTGTACACTTAAAGGGTCACAAAACGCAACACATTGTTTGAGATGTTGACAGTCATATATATGTCCCACATTGCTAAAAACACTGTTAGGATACATCATTTAGCTAAAAAGTGAAAATTGGTTGTTTTTGCGTTATATGTTGCGTTAATTTGTTCTTCCAGTTCCACAGCCATGAGATCATTGGCTGTCTGTACCGACCAGTACAAAGTGACGTTATTGAGTTTTTGGCATTAATTCATGAGAAAGACTTGGTTTGAACCAATAAGCATGCTCTATTGTGAACGAGATGGAACTTCATTAATATGCATGATATAGTTTCGAAGACTCTTTTTATCTGTTGCAGTGTTTAGAGAAGCGCCACGTTGTGTTGCCAACAAGTAGAAGAATTGTTTGGAGACATGGGTCATCAGTATTGCATTTATAAATGTGCTAAAGCAAAAGTTTTGTTTCCATTTCCCTGTGATTAGAACACAGCTCGAAAATATGTTTGTAAGATTTTTTTTTTTACTCGAGAGCTTTTCGAATGTGGAAATTGTGAAATCTGGATTTTATGGTGACAGCCACCTCACTAATAGCAAAACTCTCACTAACAACAGGAGCTTCTGAATCATATAGCCATTTGTACTGAAATTTTTTTTTAGCATTACTATTTTATTTAAATAAAAAAAAAAATTGGCCAAAAATGTATTATCAGTGAATCCGTATCTAACACTTCTCAAATGATCTTTATGTTTCTGTCAAAGGCTGACCGAGGTCACCGGAGGTCACACCACAGAGCCCGAGCTCCTTTTTTCAGGAGGGAAAGACCCATCAGCTTACAAAGAATGGCTGGCGTCCCTGCCGCAAAACCCAGATGTGATTTCTCACTCTCTGGAGTCCCTGCACGAGCTGATCCCCACCAAATACCCAGTGCGCAAACACATGCGCCAAGCCATCCACGACTACATCCTGGAAAATTCCCTTTGGAGGAACTGCACCGACCCCTGCACTAATGGCGTCAAAACCAACCCAAACAATCCATGTGTCTGCACTTGCCACAACAAACCCGGAATCACACCAGACTGTTGCCCGTCCAAACGTGGACTCTCTCGGGTGCAGGTCACGGTCGTTAAGGCTCAAGATCTTTGGGGTGACACAACCACAGCGACCGATGGCTATGTTAAAGTGTTCGACAAAAATAACGTGAAGATTGGATCCACAAATATGATACCGAATAACAATTCACCCTACTGGGGGCAAACCTTCGATCTGGGTGATGTCATCCTGGCAGAGAATGACAATATCAAACTGGAGGTGTGGGATGAAGACAGTAAATGGGATGACGATTTGTTGGGAACCTGTCAGGTAGCCATAAAAGTAGATCAGAGTCAGACCTACAATTTCTGCAGTTTGAATCATGGTTTGCTCTATTACAATACAAAAGTGACATGCGCCCCCGGTTTGGCTGGCACCTATTGTGAAAAGTATGTGGGTTCCCCCATGAACTTTCACCTGGAGAAGGTTTACGTGTCTCGAAATGCACGACCTGTGCCACCAGAAATACTTTTAAGCCATGGAGTGCTTCTGGACAGACTTTACGTATATCACAAGACAAATTACAATAATACAGTTTTGTAGATACTTTGGCTCTGGATGAGATTATGTGGCTATTTGCAATATATCCTGATTCTTGCTTGTATTTATTACTATACGATTATTATATTTAATCTAATTCTTGCATAATACATATTTAGGCTATACCATTCTTAGAAGTTTTTTTTTTTTGCATATGTCTGGGTGATTCTACAATTGCAGTAAGGGTGTACTCAATACTATGCTATTGTACCGTGCCCAGGCCCGTTTCCCGGATTTGAGAAGTGTGAGTGCGCTGAAACGGGCTCACTTTGGCCCAGTACACTTGTGTGCGAGTTTCATATGGATTTATTAATCAACCTTACTGTTCAGTGAACGCAAACTGTTGTAGTTATTAAAGATGCAAACCCCTCACTGCACCACAGCTGCACACCTTCAGCAAACCTCCTCATTCCTGCAGCACAAAGGCTTAATGATTGTTTATGAGCATCAAAAGTGGCTGATCTGTTCGGCGAAATATCTGACTGCGTGTCATCGCATCCCTAAGGACTAAAGCGATATAACTAGAGAAATCTCCACTGTTCTGAGTGAGAGCGCTTCTCACTGAACAGCACAGCATCGATGACGTAAGCGTGCCCAGGCCCGAATGTAATGTGAGTGCGGGCCGTCGGGGGAGGCGGGAGGGTGGACAAGCATGCTTTGGCCCGGTTCGAGACAGCTGTACATAGTGTGAGTACAGCCTATTTCTACAATTGTCAGTGACTTGTTTTTTTTTAAAGTTATATTTGTAATTAATATAAAACTTTGTCTTGTTATAGATTGTTGTATAGAAGTTATTGCGAGTTTTTGGGTAATATTTAGTAATTCTTTTCATAATTTGTCACTTAAAGTCATGCCCAATCGGGTTGTCATCGTCCTAACCTTCGACCATCGCCCGTTCCACAATGCACTGGCCCCTCACGGCTCCCCCTGCAGGTAGCAGACTTGCAGTAGGATCGCTTCTTCGGGTTAAGCCCAGTCAGGTTCCGTGGGAAAAAACCCAGCCACCATGCGCTCGCATACGAGCAGCAACCTTAGGCCTGGCTCCAGGGTGAGGCCCCGGCAGCGTCATACCAAGCGACATGACGGTCCTTGCTGTTACTAAACTCATAAGAACTTTTTGAACAGCACTTAGTCACCTAAGACCTTTTTGCCTTGGGAGACCCTACCAGGGGCATTAGCCCCCGACAACATAGCTCTTAGGATCACTCAGGTACTTAAACCCCTCCACCACGATAAGGTGGCAGTTCATGGAGGAGTATAGAGTTTCACAAGTGTGACACGGTTAGGATGGGAGTCAGCACCTCGAAGTCCGAGGCCATGATGCTCCACCGGAAAAAGGTGGTTAGCCATCTCCAGGTTGGAGAAAAATCCTTACCCCAAGTGGAAGAGTTCAAGTATCTTAGGGTTTTGTTCACAAGTGAGGTAAGGATAGAACGTGAGATTGACAGGTGGATTGGTGCAGTGGCAGCAGTAATGCGGTCGATGTACCGGTCCGTTGTGGTGAAGGAGGAGCTGAGTTGAAAGGCAAAGCTCTCGATTTACCGGTCAAGCTCCTATTCTCAACCTAAGGTAATGAGTTTTGGGTCATGACCGAAAAGACAAGATCTCGGATACAAGCGGCTGAAGTTTGTTTCCTTCACAGGGAGGCAGAGCGCACCCTTATGGAAAGGGTGAGCAGCTCTGGTAGAGCCGCTGCTTCTCCACATCAAGAGAAGTCAGCTGAGGTGGCTCAGGCATCTGTTTCAGATGCCTCCTGGATGCCTAACAAGGAAGGTGTTCCGTATCTTGTAACTAATATTTGAATAATTTCTCACCTATTGTTGTGGAACACAAAATATTAGGCCATAACAATATGGTATCTTCAGCAAGTGTGTTATATTTTTGAAAATCATGACTTTTTGTGCTCTAAATTATATTGTGTATATTTCTCATCATGCCTTATTGTGTATTAAAAAAAATAATGTAATTTTCTTCATATTTAGCTTTTTTATTTTATAAAAAAGCTTTAAATCATAACCCTGATTCTACATCATGAAATAGTTTTAGAACATATTTACATAAATGTCAATAAATTGTTTGCTAATTCCATTACCATTCAACACTTTGCCTTTAAATTGGTGTTTAAATTTCCCACAAGCAGACAAAATGTCAGCTAATACTATATTATGACTGTAACTGATTTGTAGTTGCAAAGTTTATTCTGATCAACAAAATGAACAAAATATGAAAGTCAAAAAAGTGTATCTATCTATACTGCATGATTTCCATGCTTGCACTAACATTTTCTCAATAACATGCCACTTATATTGTAACCGTGCTGTGTTCAAAATAATGCTTCTTCAATCTGCATTATTACTAATCACATGTACATTTCATGGTTATAGAAAGACATAACAATGTTCATGATGATAGTTATATAGTTTTTAACAAATGCTTGTATCTTTTTTCTGATCAATCTGTTTTGTTCATAAAATAATTCACCCATAAATAAATATCTGCTACCCGCATTACTCTTTTTCCCTCTGCAGAACATAAAAGAAGACATTGTGCACACTGTTTAAACTGCTTTTGTCTATAAAACAGGTCTCAAAGTGTACAAAACAACACTAATGTTTTATTACTAAAGCTATTTTTCCATAGCTCACTATAAAAATAGCACAAAAGATTACGCAATCTGTATTTGTAAGTCCCTTTAACAATGGCTCTGATTCGTATTTTTCTCTTAAATGATGCCTAACCAGTGAGACACAGGATGCTAGTTGTGTGGTTTTCCTGTAGACAGATGAGAATCGAGAGCAGAATAAACAACACTTATGAGCTCACAAGATTATGACTGTTATGGTATACTCTGTCATATTGCTACCATCCTGTTTTGAGCCTTTATGTAATGGTTAACTCGATAACACAAAAAGGAATGCACTCATACTGCAAATTACAACCATCTATTGGGTTGCTTTGATTCTAATAGCACCCTATTTTCAAGTGATCCTCACAGATGATCAAACAAACACTAAGACTCATGTTAGAAGGTGGAATGTTTAGTTTTTCATAAGAATTAAAATAACAGCCATTGAAGTGCTTAGCATGTTTTAGTTAGATACAGAGACACACAAGGGACACGAAACACTCCACTGGACGAGACAAATGACAGACTGGGGGAACATCAAAACAACATGTACATACAAAATCCACCTAAAGAGACACATAAAACAAAGCGACAACAAAACTGGTCACAAAACTGCACAACGGTGAGGAACACTAGGAAAAATAGGGTCCAAAAATTTGAGGATGTTAACAGCACGGCTTCAGAAATCAACCTGGAGAGAAAGAGAAGATTAGAAAAGATAGATGTACAAAAAAGGAAATAAATATAGATGTAGATGTTCTAAAATGCCATCTACCTTTGTACCCGTTGCCATAAAGGCCACTAAGCTTGCTTCCATCTTTCTGTGCTGTAGATGAAATATTAAACATAGTGAATGTATTTATTAAATTGAACTAATTTATTTCTACTGATGTGGTTTCAGTGGTTTCAGTACTTACTACCAGAGAGAGCTTGAGCGCCAGTGCTTAGTGCAGCTGCATAGCTTCCTGTGCCTGGAAATAATCAGTTATGAAACTTGCTATTAGTAAAAGGCGTTTGTGTGTTTAATCTTTTCATGCTGTTAAAGTGATAGTTCACCTAATAAATGAACATTTAGCCATGATTTACTCATCCCTCCCTTGTTCTAAACATGATTGAGTTTCTTTCCTTGTTGAACACCAAAGATGATATTTGGAAAATGTTGGAAACCGGTAGTCATTGACTTAGGATTTCCAACATACTTCTAAGTAGCTTATTTTGCATTTAACAGAAAAAAGAAACTCATATCACCTGAGGGTGAGTAAATGGAAAGTAATTATTTATTTTCGAGTGAACTACCCTTTAACATGACAGAGGGGAAATGAGTGACAATAAATCAGGAGGTCATTTGGCATGCATGATGTTTCTGAATGTGCCATATCAGTTATGATTTTTTTTCTGTATTAATAATTATTATTCAGTAATACATAGAAATCCTGAAAAGTGATTAAAGTGACTTTGAATGTGGCATGGTTGTTTCTGCCAGACAGGCTGGTCTGTATATTTCAGAAACTGCGGATCTACTTTGATTTTCATGCACAACCATAGGGTTTACAGAGAATGGTCTGAAAAGAGAAAATATCCAGTTAGGGGCAGTTCTGTGGGTGCAAATGCCTTGTGCCAGAGGTCAAAGGAGAATGGCCAGACTGGTTTTAGCTGATAGAAAGGCAACAGTAACTCAAATAACCACTCGTTACAATCAAGGTATGCAGAAGAGCATTTCTGAACACACAACACGTCCAACCTTGAGGCAGATGGGCTACAGGAGCAAAAGACCACACCAAGTGCCACTCCTGTCAGCTAAGAACAGGAAACTGAGGCTACAATTGGCACAGGCTCACCAAAATTGGACAATAGAAGATTGAAAAAACGTTGCCTGGTCTGATGAGTCTCGATTTCTGCAGCGACATTCAGACAGTAGGGTCAGAATTTTGCGTTAACAACATGAAAGCATGGAACCATCCTACCTTGTATAAATGACTCAGGCTGGTGGTGGTGGTGTAATGGAGTGGGGCATATGTTCTAGCACAGTTTGGGCCCATTAGTACCAATTGAGCCTTTATCACCACAATGTACCCATCTTTTGATGGTTACTTCCAGCAGGATAACACACCATGTCATAAAAGCAATAAAAGCGCGAATCATCTCAGACTGGTTTCTTGAACATGACATGAGTTCACTGTACTCAAATGGCCTCCACAGTCACCAGAACTTAATCCAATAGAGCACTATTGGGATGTGGCGAAACGGGAGATTCACATCATGGATCAACAACTGACATATCTGCAGCAACTATGTGATGCTATCATGTCAATAGGACCAAAATCTCTGAGGAATATTTCCGGTGTCTTGTTGAATCTATGCCACGAAGAATTAGGGCTGTTCTGAAGCCAAACGTGGGTCAATCCTAGTACTAGTAAGGTGTACCTAATAAAGTGGCCAGTGAGTGTGTATCAAAAATATGTTAAAAGTTGGCCTCAATGGCCATGTAGGCATCTCAAGATAGAATCTTGCTAAACTTTCCTTATCATGTCGTCTCTCTTTATTCGATCACCATAAAGCCACATTTTTAATGTAAAAATAAAAACATATTAAAATTGTTTTATTTCAGAAATTCCATGACCCATGGGAATCCTGCTTTTTATATATTGTGAGAAAAAAACACATTGCATCTCATTAGATTTTTATTAAATTTCCATTTTTATACAGACAAAACTATTGTATTGTAAAACTAAATGAAGGGTTAGTTTGTCCTTTTGTTTGATTTTTTTTTTTTTTTTACGTATGTACAGCCTGAAATTATGTATACCCCTTGGCTGTATATGGCTGTATGAATGCGTGTATGTACATTCAATGTTTTATGGAAACAACTTTTTCTTCTGAATATATACATTAGGATTTTTGGAAAAAGAAATCTCTAGTAATGCTGTTTCTTAACGACAACGTTTAATCATTGTAAGATTTCTGTGATATAAAAGTACTGATTTCCTAGAAAAAAATAAACTTTCCAATCAGGATTCTCATTAATAGATACTTACTGCATGTTAATTTACATCAACGTTAATCTTTTAAACACTGATCATTTATCTAGTCACTATGCGGTATATAATAATGCAATACCATAAAGGCCTACCAATTTTAAAGAAACCTTGCATTTGTTTATAGATCTTACTATAACACAGGACTATTAAAAATGCTCATATTCTCACCATATTTGGCAGCTGCCTTAGAAACATCAGCGCCCAGACTGAGCTGCTCAGCACCAAAAGGATAACCAGCCTCACCTGCGGGTCAACACATTAACAGCTGAGTCACCATCAGACACTCCAGGATGGTTTGTTTCTGGCTTTTTCTAACCAACTTACCATCAAGTCCAGCAGCGATGACTGGTGAGTTGTAAGGAATCTGGCCTACAGCTCCACCTGCACAGGTACAATATTGTTGTCAGAAAAGAATGTAATACAGAAGGAATATTCACAAAAACTCCACAATTTTACCTGCTAAAGGCTCCATTGCTCCACCTGTACCACCTGACAGGAGACAGATCATCTTTACTTTCTTTCTAATACATAATAGTCTGATCTTAATCAAATCATTAGTTTATTTGGATACTTCATTGCCATGTTTAATTCGTCTACTTTCTTTTCCTCACAGGGGACATCCACGTTCAAGTCAAATCCTCAGGCAAAGCATCAGCAAAGCTGGGATTTGCATATTGCATTTGAATAACAAACACATGCGATGCACATACCCAAACCAGCGTCTGGCCCAAGGGTTGGTAATCCTCCATATGTAGCTCCGCCATAACCACCGGTCTTGCCCTGAGGGCCGAGTCCAGCTGAAACCACAGGCTGACCTCCGTAAGGCAAGGATCCGGCAGCTCCAAGGACTCCACCAACCCCTTTACACAAAGCAGACGGATTACAGGATCAGGCCAACACTAAGACTCTGCTTCCAAATGCTATTAACAAATGTTCAAATAAGTCTCTTGTGACCACTTGAGTTTGGATTTTGTTGAGACCCTTCTCTCTTATTTTGTCACGCTCTCTACATCACTTTTGCAAACGAGTACTACAGAATAAATGAACACGTTGAGGGAATTAGCAAGTGGATGGTAACTATGATTTTGATCAGGATCTGCATTTTAGTCAGTTGAATGTCTTGTTTTTGTGTGCATTCTCACATATCCCATAATGATCACGTGTTTCATCGGTATGCAGAGAGCAGCTGATTGTTTGGGCCTGTTTGAACGTGTTTGACCACATGAGTGTTTACACTATGAAAACAATTTGGTCTCATCTTTGGAAGTGGTTGAAAGTGGACATGCTCAAAACATTGCCCACATTACACCTGCATTTATTGTTGTCTGCTTGATAGGGTGCTTTCACAAATGGGTATATATTTTGATGTTTTCACACATGGGTATATATTAGGGTGCTTTCACACATGGTTTGCTCTTTCACAACCTGGTTAGGCTTATTTCATATGGCCGTTTGTGAACACGGTAATTATATCTCTACAAAAGCAATCAGTCTGAGACTGCCTGAAAAAGGTGGTCTTGGCCCACTTGGAAACAAACTGAGTTTGTGGCATACACTGTGAAAAATAGCACTGTGTTTTCCCCTAAGGCCTCTTGGAGTGAATTGTGGGTAAAAACTATTCGCTATTTACTCTCTCTCAAGTGGTTCCAAAGCTATAGGAGTTTCTTTTTTTCTGGTAAACACGAAATAAGATATTTTGAAGAATGTTAGAAATATGTAACCATTGACTTCCATAGTCAATGTTTCAAATGTTTCCAACATTTTTCTAATAAATTATTTTATGTTCAACAGGAAAAAAAAAAACTCAAATAGGTTTGCGACAAGTGAAGGGTTAGTAAATGACAGAATTTTCAGTTTTGAGTGAACTATCCCTTTAAGCTGGAGTTAAAGACAATTTAAAACAGCTAAAAGAAATTTGGTCAGATGAACAGTTCTAACGATTTAAAAATACTACTTAAGCCTTGATTTATGCAACACTTAAAATGAAATGAAATAAATGAATCAAAATAACAATAATCTCAATTAACAATAAAAATTATTCTCTATTAATAACAAAATGTATTAATAATAAAAGAATTACAAATAATAATGAAAATGAAGCTCATTTTTATTCACATTTGTTAAGTTTCAGTTTTGAGAGTTTTTTTTGTTTGTTTCTTTCTTTCTTACCATACTTTCTAGACTTGGCATCAACACCAGGGTTCATTACCAGTCCTGCACCACCAAGACCACCAGCTCCAAGGCCTGTAAGAGAGCATATTAATCTATGAGATGTCATTTATCATGCTTCTAGTAAATGTGAGCAAAACCACTAGTATTCTAGTAGAAAGTTTTAGCAAAATATTAAAAGTCATTAGCAAAGGCATCAGCTATTAATATAATTTCTATAGTTTAAATATGATGTGCAGTATGTGCTGACACACACTCACAAGCTAGCTGACAGTGTATGTTTACAACAAAAAGAACACGGTTCAATAATTTTGCTTCATAGTTATGTTTTCATTCAAAAATGTGAATCAGATTTATGCATAAAATCACGCAAACCGTTTCCATCCAATGATAACAAAGACTTTGTTACTGTACTTAAGTAGATTTTATTTGTATAAGTACTTTATTCCACTACTTTTTTTGACAAATTTTTACTTTTACTCCTTACATTTTTACACAAATATCTTTACTTTCTACTCCTTACATTTTTAAATCTGGGTCGTTACTTTCGTATTCATGTGTGGCAGATCTGTATTATTTCTTGCCATTGCGCAATTTGAATGCCTTTTTGATGCAATTAATACATTTCTCATCATTGCACATCTGCGTGCTGCGTTCTTTCTCAACCTCTGGTCACGCACCATAAGTAGGCTTGTTTTAATTTGTTAGATTTTTAGACAAATATTTTAGAACATCAAAAGTAGGTATATTGGGTTTATTTATGAATAAAATAATGCAAAGGATCAGGAATTTATCATGTGAAAAATGATGATGCACAAATCTATTAACAGCATTAATGACTTTATTTGTTAAATAAAATATCTACAATACTCTGAGAACAAACAAACAAAACAAAACAACAAACAAACAGTGAAATCATATGAGCAGGAAGAGTGTTGCTGTTTCAGAAAATGAAGCAGCTTCACCATAGTGCAAAAATGATTTGTACTCAAATATACATATATTTTTTTATAAAAAAAAAAATACTAAAATATGTTTTAGAGAAAATGTAGTGTTAAATTTAAGTCATTTATTATTTTTTAAAACATAGGCAGACTAAAGAATTATGTTTTAGAGTATATGAACCAGTGTGGCAGCTGTTATTTTTAATAGCCATTCAGTATAGTTAAGTTTTGTGTCCATGTGATGATACACACAGGGCAACTTTTTGAGCAGTGTTGTTGGACAATATTGTAGAACGATGTTGCTTGGCTAATTTGTTGCTGAAAAAATTAGAAATGCAAGCTATTTTGTACAGATGTATACATGATGTGCAGTAGTTACCACTGTGAAACTAAAACAGGTAGTATTATTCAGTAGTAATGAATACTTTTTACTTAAGTACATGTTTCAGGCCTTACTTCTTTACTTTTACTTGAGGGCAAAAGCGTAGTCACTACTTCATCTTTTACCCAGAGTCGTTTTGAACATGAGTATCTGCACTTCTACTTGAGTAAAAGATGTGTGTACTTTTGCCATCTCTGCCAATTAGTCAAAAAGAACAAAATTGTCACTTACTGTTAAACTGGCATCAAAAATCTAAGAAAACAATAGGTTTTGGGGCGGCAGAAGATGCCAGTGTGGGAGTTTTTTCTTATAATATATCAAATGTTTAATATAATATTACTCATGCCTCAGATGATTTTTGCTTATGTCTGGAAGCGTGAGACCACTGGGAGTGCAGTCACTCCAGAAAATTCTGGGGGGCAATAATATCAAAGTACTTTGATGACAGACTTTGGCTGAGGGATTTTAAAATGACCAAAACAACATTTTAGATATTCTACAATGTGGTTGGTCAGCTGATTTGTCCATTAATGCCATCACATTGCACATGTTTTGGTTATCACATGATCATGACACTATTTTGATGCACATGCTGGAATTTATTTCGCAAATGTGTTTTCATTGAAGTGTTGCATACTTTTTCTTATCAGCCAAAAGGTTTATCCTACTCAGATTTTAATGCACATTTTCAAAATATAATGTTGATGTCTCCATTATGCAGTTTTTAAGCAATATTCCAAAATGTGCATAAAAATAGGTGATTAAAACATAGCCCCTGTCTAAATAATAGTTGGGTATACATTTTATTTTGCCTGTAAAGATTTCTAAAGTCTTCTTTCATATTCAGATAAAAAATAAAGTGTGAGAAAGTGAACAGCAATGTCTCATTTTTGGAGCCCTTTGAGCTTGATAAGGTCATTTTCTGCAACCTTGAGTAGAATAATTTTGTGTATAATCACTGGAAAAAGTGTATTAAACACTGTTTGAAGCGTCTTTTTAGTGTGAATGTGATGTGAATGTGTTGGTTACACTCATAACCTTACCCGCTATACCGTTCAGGCCAACATTATCAGCCAACACTGAGGGGAAGGCAGCTCCTGTAACATAATTATAATCATAGTCAAATCATAATCATAGTTATAATTATGCCTGTGTGTTAGTGTGGCATAAGGACATGCTTCTTTAGAACAATCCACTCTGACTCACCTGCTCCATAAGCGTCTGCTGTGCCATAAACCTCACTGCCGTATCCATTACTGTAGCCTGCTGAGAAGACCACAAGTCAACACTGAGCAATGGAAAACAATGGTGATGCATTAAAGTGACACAGGAAGCACCTCATTGTTTTCACACTCAAGGTTGCCCACCAAGGTTGCAACCAAGCTGATTCGGGGGAAAAAATAAGCATATGTGTGAATTTTGGGTGTTTCTTGCACTAGTAAGCACGCACATCTTTGAGCAAGCAGAGGTCTTAGAGGATCACATTGCTGCTGGAGGGGCTCTTGATTTGTGCTGACCACACTCTGTGCTTAATCCATTACGCTGCACTAATATTGTGATATTACAAAAGGTTTCACTTCACAAATAAAAGAGGCAAGAGCTGATTATCTGACGAAACACTTGGATATTGTTTTAATTATCTACATAAGGAGAAAAGGCACAGTGTATTTGTCACAGTGAATCATTTTTAGGGTGTGTTTCTGAAACTCATTTTCTGTATCAACACAAATGTCACACCTACAAGCTGCAACAAATGGAAGGTCACTGTAAAAACATAGTAATACATTACATGATAGTTTAATTAATACATTACATAATACCAAATAAATTGTGATGTGTTGTTTATTCAACAGCTAGAAAAATAGAAATAGAAAAATATGTAACACTTTATTTTGAGGGTCCACTTGAGTGTTAGTAGACTGTCTGCTTAATATCTGTTGATACTGCTCCTTCAACAGACATTTAACTGACTATAACAAACTTTGCAAGCACATGTCAACTTACAATAACCCCAACCTCAACCCTAACCCCAACCTAACAGTCTACTTATAATCTAATGAGAATTAGTTGGCACGTTAGCACGTAGACGCAATGTAACTTAAATTCAACAAACGGACCATCAAAATAAAGTGTGACTGGAAAATACGATGCTGAATTATTTGCTTGAAAATTTTTTTTATTATCATAAAATTAGAAACTACAATTTTTGACCCTGGACTACAACACCAGCATCATGTTGCAGAAATATATTTAATATATTAATCACATTGTATGGGTCAAAACTATGCATTTTTCTAGGGATGCAACAATATGATTTTTTTTTTTTTTTTACAGATATGGATAACTCATTCTATTTATAGCCGATATATTAGCACATAAATATAAATGTTTAAAATTTTTCTGCATGACTGCAAAAAATAAATAAAAAACCCTAAAGGTAAACGCATACAGTAAACATCTGATTTTATTTTAAAACCTTAACTTCAGAAAACAAAATCTGATTCCTTAACTTTTATTTATCAAATACTCTTTTCTTTAGTTAACGCTCTTTTATTTAAAGGGGTGGTCCAGAGTGTATTTTTAAGGTTAAATTGTGTTTATAAGATGCAAAACAAAGTGTGCAAAATCACATTATTATTTTTTTTTTTATATATATCTCACTTTAATAATATACTGCTGCTCAGCTTACATGAAAACGACTGTCATATTTCCTAGTTCCTCTGAAAGCCCGCCCTCAAGAGGCTCTGATTGGTCAGCTAGCATGTGCTGTAATTCACAGATCTGCTCCATGTCACCAGGAAGCATCTCTGCTATACCATTACAGCCTATCTGGCCACGCCTCTTCCATGCTTGGGGTGTATGCTCATAACCTGAAGTATTTATGACATTATTAACCCGGATATATATATATATATATATATATATATATATATATATATATATATATATATAGTAGTACATTTAGAGATGTTGTTTATGTTCACACAGCTACATTACACAGGAACTAAAGTATAACATATGATATCATAGTTGATCACCCCTTTAAATAAAATCACATTTTTTTCTGACAAAAAAATTTGCACCCATGAAGAAAGTCACTGAAGATTAACCAAAATCAGTAAAACAATAAAAAGGCAGCTTCAAACATCGAAAATAACACATCATTTTAGAAACTTAATAAATCTAGCTAATTTATCAGACCGATATTGATAACATTAAAAATAGCATTTATCAGCTGATATCAATATGGCTATCGATATATAGTGCATCCGAATATTTTACTTTTATGTGAAAAATCATTAGAAAATTAATAAAAGATCATGTTCCATGAAGACATTGTGTAAATGTCCTGGTGTAAATACATTACAACTCATTTTATGATTTGTAACATGAATTGCTAAGAACTTTAGTTAGACAACTTTAAAGTTTTTTCAGTATTTTGGTTTTGTTTAACTTTCAAGATTTAAAATAGGTCAATTTTAAAAAATACTTTTAATTTGTTCATCTTATGGTAAACCTAAACTTTTTGCATCTTTACTATTCAGTTTTCGTCAGAAATCAATCTAATATGATTTAATTTAACTTATTATTTCTATTAATTTTTGGAAACCAAACAATAAATCTAGTAAGAAAATACCAATAGTAATAAACTTTTTAGGATTGTTTGATGAAATTTCAAAGTACAAAGTTTTTTTGCTGCTTGTTTAAACTACTTATTTAAAATAAGCTCAACCAACAAAATCCTTGATTTCTTTTAGGGGAAATTAAATTGTTTTATGTTTTATCTACCTAAATTTGTAAAAAATAAATAAATAAATTAATTAATTAATTAATTAACTCATAATTTATGTTGGGACAACATGATGGAATTGTGTGCAACATTTTTACAGTGTAACTACATTTACTTGAAAAATAAAAACCTTTTATAACATCATCACAAATTTGTTTGCTGTCACGTTTAATGAATTAAGTCCATCCTCAACAAATAAAACTTAATTTCTTTCCAAAAACATTTGACAGACTTCCTTAAATTGCTGAACAAAAACACTTGTTAGAGAAAACCAGCATATATGTAATTAGACGATCAACTCAAACCCTTGTAGGCCTCAGCCTCCTAAAACGATTACAAAAAAAAAACATTACTTACCGATCTGCTTTCCTGCTCGAACTCCTTGTGGATATAAGCCGGCCCCGAGACCTGCATCAGCAAAAACAAAAAAAAATTAAAAAAGAGTATCTGAATATTCTACACTATAGCATGCATTTATCATAATAATTACATGCATTTGGGAAATAAACATTATTGAATCATTTTAATATACCTGCTCCATAACCATCAGTATACCCAGTTCCAAGATATCCGGCAGCACCAAGCCCATACCCTGTGAACAAAGCATGCTAACTGTTAAACTATGGCCACTATAGCATTTCTTTCCTCTCCTTTGGGTAACAAAATGAACAGTCATCACAGAACAATATGACTGTTCAGTGGCCTGTGGGTCAAAGTGATCATGCAAGACAGTGTGTGACTGCTCCATACATGTGGCCTGTAGGAGAAAAACAATGCAGCATGCATTGAGCACATAGCTAGACAGAAACAAAGACAAAGGCTCAGGTGGAGCACACAAAAAGAAAAGAGAACAGCCTCAAGAAACAGATGAGGCATTAGTCCAGTACAAACACACACAGAAACCCATCTGAACAGCTGTGCTAGAGAACAGCATTTATTCATAGACCTGCAGCTGCAGCAAGTCCATGATGAGGGGTGGATTTTTCCAGTCCACAATCACTAACAGTCGAATGTGCCACATGATAGTTTCATTTGATGCTGTTTGGAGAACTATATTGATTTCAGACTGGGGAAAACACCACCTCGTGACATGCAAAACCAATGACAGCTTCATACAGAAGACGTTTTTACCCGTATTGGATGGTTTGGTGCCCTGTCTGCTGGGCAAGACAGCTCCTGTTTTGTATCACAACAGTGGTTTATATGAACATTGAGAGGCCATAATAGTTCCCATAACCTATTCTATGTGTATTTTAGCATGCATAGACTTTCACTTACACTCACCAATGCACATAGTAAACATTAAGATTAACTACAGGTGCTCCAAAACAGACACAACAGCAGTGACCTACATAAAGTGCTGGAGTTTGTATTCTAAACTTAGACATTCATGCTTTCACTCCAACGTTTTGGGTTAACAAGTAGTTTTTTTTTATTGTTTTTTTTAGAGAAACCATTTATTTTATACACTATTAATTAGCAATGAACTATTAGCTGCAACAGAGGCTCATTGGAAATGCATACTTCAGCCTATATTTTTGTGAAAGATCAAATAAACGCTGTTCTGCAATATGATGCCAACAACTTTTGTTTCTTGTCTCACTACTGATATTTACAGAGAAATATTATTGATGAATTAAGAATTATTTTCATGCAGTTCTTTGTACCATACCAACTATATACAACTTTATTGTGATTTTTTTGATTGAATACATTTGCCTCACCTGTCTATCTCCATATGACAACTTTTCTGGTATGGTCAGTTTGCTCTGTAGCTTACATTGTACGGTGTTGTACCTAAAATCCCCCGGTTTGAGTCTGTTGAAGCACGAATACACAAAAGGGATAAAAGCCATGTAAAATTAAGGTAAAACTATGTGGCACACCTATCTCCTACTTTTGCTTTTAAAAACACTATTGGTTGGGTTTAGGGAAGGTTTTAGATCAGTGGTTTAGGTGAACTGCATGATAATGTCTGCCTTCTCAAGGATGTGTGCAAGAAGAACATCTATCCGAAATGTACACAAAATGCACTTTAAGTAACATATTTTAGATTTGTAAAAATATCCTAAGCGCCCTCTAGCGGATTTGTAATCTGAAACAGGCAAAAAAATGTACCTGAAGCAACACATTTTAGGTTTCGCAAAAAGGTAGGCACACATTTCCAAAGAGCCTGGGCTGATTAAGTGGATCAAAAGTGGCTGGAGATACATTTGTATACAAAAGAAATGTATTATTTTGAACTTATCATACAATCCATTTATGATATATATGATTGCTTCTGTAAAAATATTAATATTATGAGTTTGAACATCACAGACAGTAATATTATAAATTACATTTGAATGTTAGTGTGCATAAGAACAGAATAAATAATTTGAAACTGCTGCATATTAAACATTTTCAACAATTCCGACTCTGGACTGTGAAGCTGGAGAGTTTGTTTACCCTTAGTTTGAGCTTTCATTCCATTGGTCAATCCTGGTCCTGGTGGGAAACCTATGAACCGCAGCTACAGTTACTATGCACCAGCCACGCAGACAACAATGTCTATTACTTAAAACTAACTAAAATTAGTCTTGGCCTGTGCCATTAGAAACCACATGACTATAACTATACACTTGACCAAAGACAACAAACGTCATTTAAAATAGACTCTACAGTCATATACATTAGGATAAAGTTTACCATTGCCAATAGGACTCTGACCATTAGTGAACCTTCCAGGACCATAACCTAAACATCACAACACCAGTTAAGAAAGACACTAACAGCAGCGTCTGCCAATGACACAAGAGCATAAGAGGTGATGCTCACTGAAAGATGGAACTCAAAAAAATCTGTAAAGTCATGAATAATGAGGTAACAGAGATTAATATGCCACCAAAGAAGCCATTTGTTCTTCTTTTCATGTAATTGCATGGTTTTGTGTGACATTAGGTGCTTCATGCAATGCAAATAGTTTAAAGTCTGTGTGAAACAGACTGAATATTTAGTAGGGGGCAAGACTTTGTTTTTGCTTATCATTCCTTCATAGCAAACTAATGGTAAGAGGGGCATGGTTAAAAATATTGTGCCTCCAAACGCAGAAGCAAAGGGTCAGATTTTGATTGAAAATTACCAAAAAAAAAAAAAAATTTTCAGTGGATTAATTTGTCTGAATTAATAGTTCACCAAAAGAATAACAATGTTTGCCGGCAAAATGAATATAGTAATTTTTGGTTTCACACAGACTTTAAATGCTGTCAAATACAAATTTAGAAAATTAAAAAAAGAAAGCATGAAAGCCACACATGGAGGATGTGAGGTTTACCATCACCTGCCTGTCCCTGTGACATGGGCTGGTCACCTCTAGGCCCAACACCTGTGAATACAGACACATCAGCTGGAAGCAATGATTTGAATGGTGAGAAAAACGGGGAAAGCAACGTAATAGCATATTACATGTATTAGATTGTTAACATGATCATGACAGAGTCTTGCAGCAGCATGCATTCAGGTTTTTCAAACACATATGCTTATGATAGTGGTTTGAGCATCGATATCACAGTGTGTGTATCTGCAATAGTCACATCACAAGATATGCAATGATGAGTTGGGATTATATTTAACCAGAAACCACAAGTCAAAACACACAAGATTTGTGTAGACACTGCAGAATTGAACCAAAATAGAGTAAAAGTTTATCATCTGCATGTGTTTTTAAGTACTGTGACTATGTTAGCATTTTAAGAGACTTTAAAGTATTTTAGGAGTGCATAAAAGATTCATTTTATGAATTTAAGGACAATTTCTGTTTTTTCTCTACAGAAAACCATAAGGCGTGGTTCATTTCACTTTAATATTTGCTCCACTTGGTTTATTTATGACTATAATTTGTTTATTATATATATTTTCTCTAGGGTAATGACTTTGCAAATAGTGAAATTGTATTTTTTAATCGCAAAATATAACACAGAGAAAAAAAAATCATTGCAATGTCAAATTTTTCTAATATTGTGCAGCTCTAACATACAACAACAAACTGATAACTCTAATATTTTTTAGCTTACATACCAAGGAATAGCGCAACAGAACCTCGAAGGCAAGCACACAACAATAGACAATAATTTACCAACAAGGGAAAATGAAGAGGTAGTTTTGCACATTTGTAGGAAAGTTGAAAAATAAGATGGTCAAAATTGTTCCACTTATGCTAACGGACTTTAAATCTTTAAAGTAAAGATTTTCACTTCAAGATCAACACTTTTAAAAACCAAATCTATTGTACAACTGACAAATCACTGATTTTATGGAATTATTCACATTTGTGACCTATAATTTTTTTTAATGATGAGCAATGAGCATCTGTGTGTTAAAGTCTGTGTGAAACAGAAGTTGCTGAGACTTTGATTTCAGTATGTTGATGTACTTACAACAGGGTATACTGTATGCAGAAAAAGGACCTTTATTTATTAGTAACCTGGGTCAAGCGCTTTTGGTAAACTGTGTGGCGTTACAAAATTAGCGTGTTTAAGGTTTGATTTCTTTAAGAATCAACCATCTCTCCTGCCTGATTGATATAAAATAGAAAGTGGGTCTCAAATTGTACAAGAAGGACGCATTTAATTACATTTTTCCATGCTGTCTTTAAAATATGAACATTTATTTTACACCAGTTTATTCAATAGAGTTTCTGTGCTAGCCTGCCAATCCTGACGGGAGTGTGTGTGTAACCGGCTTTTCATCTTGTTTCACACTTGAACAACTAATTGAATGCTGAAACCTATTTAACTGATTGTATCTTAATTACATTACAACATCAGGGCTGTAAAAGAAACTGTTTAAAATTGAAAAAAGTCACATTAACCGTTCACTAGAAGCATATGAGTATGGGAAGAAACGCTAGCTGTGCATAGAGCCTACTGAAACAAAATATTGAGTAGGGGCAGAGCTTTTCTTTTGCGGATCATTACCTTGTAGTAAACTAATGGTAAGAGGGGCGTGGTTAAGAATATGTGGATGAAGATGTCAAACTGACGTCAACAGAGTAAGACAGCCAATCCAAATACAAAAGCAAATGGTCAGACTTTAATTGAAGGTAACCAAAACAATTTTTTTCAGTGGAAAAACAGATTAATTTTCACCTAAAGAATAACAATGTGTGCTAGCAAAATTAGCATTGCACATTTACATTTCACATTGTTTTTTAGGTGCACTGTAAAAACTTGAACCACTATTTAAGTATTTCTTTAACTGTATTAATACGTATTTTGAATGTCACCTTTAGACCATTTTTTACTATCAGAGATGCCCAAAGTAGGGCCTGTGGCCAAAAGTTGGCTCATGGTAAGCTTTGATTTGGCCCACCATTCCTTTCTGAGCAGAGATTTAGAATAAAGGTTACAGCAAATGCTTTTTAACAGAGATCATCATTTCTAATTTAACGTAACCTTTCGCTTGTTTGTTTGTTTAATTTTAAGCTACAAAAGTCAACTGAATTGAAATGTTTCAATCAAATGTAGTGCATGAATCAGATTTTTTTAAAATGTAAATACTGTCACTCAAAGATAGAGGACAATACACAAGACAACAACGAGCAAATCAAGGCTTGACTCGTGTACTTAGCATTGAACACCATTGTGTTCTAAATGTGTACGTTTACTTGTGTTGTTATAATGTAAAGTTCATTACAAAATGTAAAAAATTTATAATTATTAATATGATTGAAGTAAGTTTTTCTATTTATTTCTTAATAATAATAAATTAGGATATTGTCAGCTTTAATGTAATAGTTTGCTATATTTACCTTCAGCCTACCCCCTCAATCAAATTTGGCTTTTGGCCCTTCATATGAAAAAGTTTGGGCACCCCTGATCTATAACTAGATGCCAACTAACAGTCAGATTATTGGTTTTCTGAAAAAGTGAATAAAATGAACTGACTTTACACTTTAAAGGAATAAGCCAATCAAGTAATACACTTGTTTTCCTTGAAAGTTCAGTTTTCTTTTCTTTTTCTTTTGCATATTAAGTACAAAATCTCTATTAATTTCATATGAAATGATTATTGTTTAGATATTTGCACTAAACAACAAGACAATCACTAAAGAGTCTTTTTTATTATTATGTGTATATTATTTTAATCTGGTTTCAATTAAAATTTGTCATTATTACTCTCACAAAATCAGTGAAGTCATGCATTTATCAGTGAATGTGAATGCTTCTTTTCTGTGAATGAGATTTTATCGTAATGAAATGAAGGAAGAATAAGTTAGCAACTGAATATTGCAGGGTTTACCCAGTTTTGCTGGTTTTGAGCTTTGCCCTGTGAATGTGCCAGCTGGTACACCATATCCTGAAGACCACAAAATCGGTTAGTTAATGTCAGATTCACAGCTTTTAAATCGGGAAGAGGAAGAGCCTTTCACACATATTCTGTGAACACAAGCACATCACTGCACTTTAATAATCCCAACAACAGCAAATAATTAACAGAAGAAACACCTGCCTCTCCTAAGCCATATCTTGAAAATCTAGTATTGTGACCCAGAAAGCCAATTGCAGATGTTAAGCAAACATAAACTTTTTTTACTTCAAACTCAACAGCACACCAAGACTCAATTTATCCAGCAGTACTTCAAGTCATAATGTCTGCTTAAAGTAAACATTTAACCTAAGAGAGCACACATATCACTTCCAGACTGACTGCACCCATGATAAATATGTGTATATGTAAAAACTAGCGTCCACGTCCACAAATATGAAAGTGAAAGCACCATTTACTCATAGAAGTCGCTAACATTTCCACAACAATAAATCACGTGACCGCTGACACTGTTTCCAAATGGATTTAAGAGGCTGCACATGAACATGAAAAAACGGGATGAAAAGTGTGTTTCTAAAAACAACTATTGAGCCCAGATACTATTTGATGAACAAACAGTTCTGATTGAGTAGATTTTACAGGGTTTAGGAGCTTTTCCTGGCTGCACTGCAGGGGTGCGTGCGCCCTCCTGTAGCGCCAATCAGTGGCAAATTGAGGTACTGCAGACAACAACTAATAAAAAAAGCTAGCAGCTAGTAATTTTAATATTTATTTACGTTAAATGTGTATGTTTTATCTATATGCTTGATGAATAAAGTCATTACACTGAACATATCAGAGCTATTTACATTTTTGTGTTGCAGATTTATGTAGTCAGTGAGAATCTGACATTTTTTATATAATATAATATAATATAATATAATATAATATAATATAATATAATATAATATAATATAATATAATAATATTCTCCAATTATTCCATCTTAAGTCAGTGTTTCAGACCAGAAGCACAGTGAATTTTTGGAAATGTTTGGAGTAAATAATATCTAAAAATAAATTTAACTAATTGTTGCAAGATTTAACAATTAACAAAAACATGAATAAATTAATTCCTATTGTATTAAAATAAATAATCCCACATTAATACGTATAAAAAACAAATTCAAGTGTAAAATAATGAACAATATTATACAAAAAAGCAATTATTAGAACATAAAAAAAGGGTCAGAACTATAAAGTGTATTTGAAACTAAATATTTTACAAAATAATGTCGAATACATTTATATTATACATTTCCCTATTACAAATGAGATTTTCAAAAAATAAAAAGAAATATATAGATGTTTATGTGTAAAAAATATTGATGCCTTTGTATCGAGGTTATTAGTTACTGAAAACGAACGAAAAAATTAAAACTAAAATGTAAAATAATTGTTAACTGAAAAATAAAAATGAGCTTTAAAAAAACTAGAACTAACTGAAACTGTATTGTGTACATTCAAATCTAACTGAAACCAACTTCGTCTTTGTAAATGTATTTAATATACACTGTACATTAAACTTTTTAAAAATAAACCTATTCACTTCGTGCTGCCCGGTGTTTGACCTGTACGGCACTTCAGAGTCTGTAATCCTGATGCTATTGGCAAGATCAAGCCGGTCCCCCTCCAGTCAACCTCGCTTTTGCTCCCGCGAGAAAGTGGAAGTGGACATGACAGCAGCACGGAGAGAGCATTAAATACAGAAACTTAAAATTATTAATTTAACACATGTGTTCCCAATAATGTGTTTTATTTCTGTATTAGTGACCGCGATCAAATTTTTCTTCCGAGTGGACCTAATAACTAGAATAAACTAGTTCACCAAATCGATCTGAATCTTTTGAAACAATTTGCCAGTAAGCACTCTTATCCACAAACGATTTACTTTTTAACATGCTCCCCCTCTGATTCGAAATAAACCAATATATACTGAGTTATTAAGTTATTAGAACAGTACACTGAGATCAGATTTGAGAAGCGGTAAACCGATAATACTGCGCATGTGTGATTCAGTTAACCAAACACAAACAGTAAATGACGGCCTGCTGTGACTCAACTAAACCAAGGGCATAAATGTGGTGTGGGTAAACCGAGGACTTAAATGAAATTAAATGTTTCATAAAAGAAAGTTAAAATGGAATTTAAATAAGTGAATCATGCTTCAGTTGGCTTGCAAAACCAAATTGTAAGAAACTTTTCAGATCATAATTTTAACTGACTGAAATTATGATTGCTGACTACATCATTTTGGTATGTTGAGTCCTAACATGGGAGGATGGTCACAAAAGATCCGGTTCGCGTTAAAGATCTGAACTTCCTATCAGTACTGTGTATCTAACCTCAGAAGTAGCCTGGCACACTAATTTACTTAAGACTGCTATCTTGTGGGCTGTTGTATTTGAATTTAAGGATGGGTAGATGGTAGTGGTAGATGATAGTGGTCATGTGTCCTCATGTGTCATCTAAGTGCGTCTAAACGTCACCGCTATATAAAGTACTGTATCTCTAAAGCATCATCACACTGGAAATCTGAAATAAATAAAAAAATATTATGACAATAAAATGCTTTAACCACTTTCTGAAATAAAGTATATATAGATGTAGATGGTCAGTTACAGCTGCTACAGCAACCTGAATAAATGACAGAACACTTACATTTACACACATACAAACACACACACACTCACACACACACACACACACACACACACACACACACACACACACACACACACACACACACACACACACACACACACACACTAGTTAAAGCTTGAGCGGAGACAGGTTACATACCGCGTCCAACGCCAGGGTATCCACCAGCACCATAACCTGCCAACAACACAAGAGAGATGTCAAGGCTACAGGGATGAAGAAATAAACGGCTCTCATAGTCAATCCCACACCGCTTCATCAAAAATATGACACCTAATCATGGCCAATGGGCAGCGTATATCACTACATGTGAAAGATTTTAATCACAGCACAAGGTCAAATTTTGATTGGTTAGATCAGATTCAATCTGCTACACAACCTTCAGTGAGGACAGACGTTGCATTGTGTCATATAAAGTGTAATGATTTCTGTGTGGCTATAATGGGCACTCACCTAGCTGAGCTCCATAGCCATTACCAGTGTAACCTAGAAAAGGTGACAATCAAACAGTGAATACATCTACTCGTTATTCATACTGAATGCAAAGTAAGTGAGCAGCTCTCACCTCTAGCTCCAAGTTTTCCTCCGGGATAACCCAGAGCTGCTCCCAGCCCATTGCCTAAACCATACGCTGCTCCCAGTCCAAGTCCAGCTGGCCCAAGACCAGTCCCAAGTCCTGTCCCAAGACCAGCGCCAAGGCCAGCACCAAGGTTTGCAGCTGGGGACCAAAATAGCAGGAGAACACGGTGTTGAATACAAGAATAATGGAACCATCAGATATGAAAAATGATTGACCATTATGGTTATTTATGAAGGACAGGTGTACCCCCTCCGTAACCCAGCGTCCCATATCCTTGTTTCAGGCCTCCTCTGACGGCAGTGGGTCTGTATGCTGCTCCTGACAGATAACATACTCATGAAACAGCATTAAGGAATACATGCTAATGCACGCAGACACATGCACATATCGTTCACACCACTGTTTAAAAGTTTGGGCAGATTATTGTCAGTGAAGACATTTCCAAAAGAAAATAATCATGAAAAACGTATCAGTTTCAACAAAAAGCCTATGCAACACAACTGTTTTCAGTGTTGGTATTTAATATGTTTCTTGAGATCCAAATCTGCATATAAAATTGATTGATGAAGGATCGTGTAACGCTGAATATTGGAGTAATAACTGCTGAAGCCGTTGAGGAGTTGAGGAGCTTCTCCTGCAGGAGTACGCTCTCCTTGTGGCAATTTGAGGTACTGCAGACAACTACTTACAACGAACCCCCTTTCCTTTGTTTAAAAAAATAGCCGCTTTTTGCAAGATTGTAATTTTAATATTTACTTTTGTTAAATTTGTATGTTTTATCTATATGCTTCCTGAATAAAGTCATTACACTGAACATATCTGAGTTATTTTACATTTTTGTGTTGCAGATTTGTGTTTTCAGTAAGAATTGCTGACATTTTTAGTATAATATAATATAATATAATATAATATAATATAATATAATATATTATAATATAATATAATATAATATACATAACAACATTATCAAATAATTACATCTTAAATCAGGGAGTTTCTGAGCTAAAGTAAAGTGAGATGATGGTAATGATTGAAGTAAAAGAGTAAAATATTTAAAATACATTTAACTAATTGTTGCATATTGTAATAAACAAAAATATTTTTAAAAATCTTATTGTATAAAGATAAATGAATTATCCCACATTAATATGCCTGATAAAAACAAATATAACTGCAAAATAATGAGTAATATTATACAAAAATGCTATAAAACATTAATAAAACATAAATAAAAGGGTCAGAACTATAAAAAGTGTATAAAAAAAACATTTTCCAAAATATTTTTAAAATACATTTATAATATACATTTCCCTATTACAAATTGGATTTTTAAAATAAAAATAAATATGTATAGATGTAAAAAATATTTACATGCTTTGATATATTTTAATATTGGTGGGTAGTCACATGAAATGCTCAAATTTTTAGGCATTTTGAGACTTAAAACAGGTACTTCACTTGAGATGTTTTTCAAATCAATACATTAACTCATTTTACTACACGTAAATATATCTTATTTTAGATTATCTAAATATTTATACTATAAAATAAGTTATATACAAAGAAAATTTGCCTCCTTGAAAAGCCCATAAAATAGCAAAATACTAAAGGCCTTCCTGGAAAATAACTGCTGAAGTCACCCTTTTAAACAACAACAACATCACTGTAACTCTTTAAAGACCATTGTGAGGGATGTAAACAATAACAAAGGTCCTAACGTACTGTATGTTTACATTTTAATTTCCATAGCTCCCAGGAATCTAAAGAGTTTGCATATGGATAAACAATGTTATGATAGTCGTTTAATGTTTTGTTATGATTAAATTGCCTCTTGTTGTAGTTATGAAATAGTTTGACAACAAGCAGAAAATGTTAATTCAGTGACATCACCACATTGAAATAGTCTATAGGGCACTCACTGAACTACCCAATGAAAAAAATTATATTGAAATCAATGTTAGTGAAGTTACAATATGGTTCTTCACTCGATAAAGTGTTAAATGTACTAAATAAAAACAGCATGTATTAATATCAATCTAATGTAATTTCCCATAATATTGCAACTGTTTTTTGCTGTCCTGGTGAGCGAGAAAAATGTATAAAAAACTGTATAGACCCCAAACTTTTGAATGGTAGTAGATACAAAATATAGTTTAACATTTAAAAGCAGATAAATTCACCTCCAATGTAACGGCCCGCTGTTTGAAAGAAGAAAAAATAATTAGATAATTCACAGAATGTTCAATTATTTTGAGGTTTAATTTAGAGCTGTGGTGAAAAATCATTTGAGAGATGGATACCAAGATTTTCAAAATGCATTGATGTTCTCTCGATTCAGATCAACCACATAAATTAGATTTTATTCATGAGATTAATGTAGACGCAAGTCACCTTGAAGATATTTGTAATTTACTTAAACTTAAATTTATTAATGACTAATTTTGGTTTAAGTGGTATGTGTAAGACATTGAATGCAAGCAGATTTCAGCTGTTTGCAAAGCTTACAGCGCCATCTGCTGTTAAAATCTAGACCTAAAATCGGTTCAAGACAGAATAGCAATGCAGTTTGAAAATCTTGGAATTAATGCAAAGATGACCACAGCTCTGGTTTAATTAACGTTTAATTGTGAACCTTTATTTATCAGTTGATGCTTACCGCTTGTTTTCCCTGCCTTGCCTGCTCCATAGCCACGAGCTCCGAGAATTCCAGCCACTGATCACAGGACAGCACAGAAATGAAAGAGGATGTACAATAATTCTTGCACAGGCTAACAAAAGTGAACTGCATTCCACAACATCCATCACACTTACCTCCAGTTTTTGCACCAATGCCAGGCCCTATTGAAAAAACATAAAAGCAGAACTGGTGATGAAATATATGATTGTTATGAGGGCTAACTGTCATTAATATTTCAGAAATACACTCCAGATACAAAATATTAATAAGTAGAATATACCTCGACTTGCCAATCTTCCAAGAGCTCCAGTCTGTGGCCTAACTCCTTTAAAACAAGGCAAACAAACATGTATGAGTTCATTCAGCATAAAAGAAAAACGTAAGGAATAATAGCTTATAAGCATACTTTTCACATGCTTATTTTTTTATCATAACACATTACAAGCACTGCAGGCATGCAGACCTAATCTCATCCATAACGTATGTAATGTAACACTACTTAGTTTGTCCACAAGGTCTCAGCACTGAACCACGCTGTTGTGTCACAGACAGTCAAGACAATCAAAAAAAAAAAAAAAACACACTTACATGTTTACTAGCACTTGTGTGAGTGGCTTAAAAATGGACACTATTTTAAATAGAATGACATTTTATGCCTCCATATGTTTAAAAGTACGTTAGACCCAGTTCTAACCTCACAACACATGCTTCCTGCTCACTTTAGGACTGATTTAAAGATTTTTCTAACTGTTTTATAAGATTTTTAAATAGGTTGGCATCTCCTTAGTTAACAAAGATTTGACATGTTCACACTGCTGTCAAAGCACTAAGGTTTTCCAATCAGGTCCTGCTTGACGTTCTGAGCTCTAGGTTACAATATAAAGGTTTACAGTAGCTGCTCCAAATTAATGTAACATGTCGCACTGTTGGAATCTGCAAATCATTGCTTAAGACGCACCAGTATTCATTGGCTTCATTTTAATTTGAGTTTGGATACTGTGCCTATTTTCTAAGGTGGTTGGGTTTTGTTTGTCTGTGTCATCTTGACACCGTGAAGCACTTTAAACAACCATGGTTGTTTTAAACGCTAAATAAATACTATATGAGTATAATTGAAATTGGGAGAAACATTGCAGCCACTGGACAAGGGTAAAACTTTACAGTTTGTACCCTGTAAATTTATGTTTGCACCACATTCAAAAAAGTTTCCACTTTCCATCCACTGCAGAAAAGTGGAGTAAAAACATCACACGTATAGCCGTCATCTTGCACCAATGACACACGCAAATGGCCAATGTGAAAATGTCAAATGACTAAAACACATTACATTTTACATCATCAACTAACTGAATGTAAACCTCTCAAGACACATTTTCAAAAAACTGATTTGAAAATTTGTCATTTAATCTTTTAGTTTGACTTATGTCTCAGTGGTACATGGAGAGAAAAGAGTTTATGACCTACAGTGCAGTCAGCTAGCAGGGGAGTTCAAAAAGTTTGACTTCACTTTTGAGGATATAAGGCTACAGGTCACATGACAGTTAAAAGATGGTATATACATTGTAATACTAATAATAATAATTCCTTACATTTATATAGCGCTTTTTGGGCACTCAAAGCGCTTTACACATATGGGGGAATCTCCTCATCCACCACCAGTGCACAGCATCCACTTGCATGACGCGACGGCAGCCATTTTTGTGCCAGACCGTACACCAGCTGATTGGTGGAGAGGAGACAGAGTGATGAAGCCAATTATGATATGGGGAGGGTTAGGAGGCCATAATGGACAGAGGCCAGTGGGCAGAATTGGCCAGGATGCCAGGGTTAAACCCCTACTCTTTTCGAAGGACATCCTGGGATTTTTAACGACTACAGAGAGTCGGAACCTCGGTCTTATCCGAAAGACAGCGCTAACTGAGCAGTATAGAGTCCTCATCACTATACTGAGGCATTAGGACCCACACTGACCGCAGGTGGGGCGCCCCTGCTGGCCTCACTAACACCACTTCCGGCAACAACCTAGCTTTCCCATGTGGTCTCCCATGCAGATACTGACCAGGCGCAGCTCTGCTTAGCTTCAGTGGGCGACCATGTGAGAGTTGCAGAGAGCTAGCTGCCAGCTACACATTGTACACATTTCATATACTACACTTTCATATCATAGAACATACATTTACAAAACTGTCAGGAAGTATTTTCCAAATATGGATGCAGTAGCTGCTTGTATTCCACTGAACAAATTAAAAAAAAAATAATAATAAAATTAATCGCAAGTGTCATGATTAACATGGTGATTCTGGAACATCTTTCCTGTTCAGAGCTGTGCCTAATCCCTACCCCTAACCATAACTGTAAATCATTCCCATAATCAGAGGGGATTAATAGTCAGATAACAATGATGTGTTTAACTGTATCCCTTAAATGTGACTGGATAGTTGTTCCAGGATCAACAAAGATGTTCCAGAATCCAGGAACATGTCCTACTTGGTGAAAGCACATTAACCTAAGTGCTCTATAATTTAGCTTCATTATGCTTATACAATGCAGTAAAAAAAAAAAAAGATTTAATTCATATTTTGGCTAATGTAAAATCATCTGATAAATTACTGTTATTTTATTTTAATATCAGCTGTCATGCATGAAAACTGACAAACAAAAACAAAATACTGTAATAAACCATCACTTCCCAATGGTTGAATCTAATTCTGCTCGATTTATTTTTTCTTCGAGACTCCTCATGAATGAATTCTAAGAAATCCTCCTATAAAGAGAAGCTAAACAGCTGAGCTGATGTAATAAAAGTTTAGTAGTGTGGATTTCGTCAAACTAACCGCCGTCTCCGCACTCTTGGAACAGGCCTGCATTGATTCTGGATGGACAGACTGTATAGCGTTTGAATGAAATCAGCACTGACAGAAAGCTGACAGATTTTGAGCTCTCCTGTCACCTTTGGGCCACAGGTTTTGATCTTCAGACATGAAATAGGAGTGTTAAAGCTGTGGGTTACAGAGGCTGGAGCAGATCCAGGCAAACTCAGACATGACTCACTTCCAGAGGTGTTTATTCTCCATTTAGCGGAGCTGTCAGGTATTTAACGTAGAGTCGTTATGTGCATCTTGTTGCGTAATTCTCTAGACGTACTTCAATTACTGTTGGCTGAACATTTAATGACGCAATCCCATCATACAGACAGTGCTAAGCTAAATTAAATCTTTACCATGGAGCACCAAGGAGACTTTTGATGTCTATACAGTATACTGTGAGTGATTTGGACAACACAGGAAACTATGATTAATTTCTGTCTGCCGCACTGTTACTTTTCTCAACGTATTGATTCGTCCTTCTTGGCACAAACTTAAGGAAGAAAATGGCACACTTTAGTGCTTTGCTTTGCTTTACCACAAACTCTCATTACACCTCAGTGTTGCATTTTCAAAAGAACCAGCTGTCTTGGTGAACATAACAATGAATAACAAAGACCGGTTTAATAACGTTTAAGGTTTTATTTTTTATAAATATACAAGTAAAAAACAAACCTATTAATACAACTGGCATATGAATAATTTTAGGCGTGACTGTATATATATATTTTTTTGAAGTTCGAAAGTAAAGTAAATTTGCAAGTTGTTGTATAGAATATTTGATCAGGATTTACTGTAGGAAATAGGTTAATGTTAGGCTAATAATAATATGATCATAAGTAATAGCTTTTTATTTATTCCAAAATATCTCTCATCTTAACTGTTTGGCTTTACTGATTTCTTATTTAAAATTTATTGTAAAAAAATTATAAATTTGACAATAAAGTTATAAAACTTTTATTAAAAAAAGGTATAAAAAAAGCCAAAGTTATTAAATGTAAAAGTTATAAAAAAATTATTATAAACAGTTACAATTATAAGTTATAAATATACACAGAAATGAAACTAAATTTGGTTTTAAACATGTAAAATTCAAAATAACCCAAATAAAGGTTTTTTTTCATTGTCATCTGTGATTTCATAAAGAGCCTTTTACATCCATATAAAATTTTCATCTAGAAATTTTGACCTTAAAAATGACCTTAACACTTACAGAATATTGTAATTTTAATAACTGTTCTTCTGAAAATGTATACCATCATGTGATTAAACCCACTTAAACCTGAGTGTCCTTTTAAAGATTTAGAATACAATTTTGTGTGATATAAAAAAGTATATAAACATTGTTCAGCAGCAAAAATAAATCCAAATAAACACTAATCAAAGCTAGGTGTGCCTAAAATATTCTATTAACTTCAGCAACAAAATAAAGAAAACCAACTCATGCAACAATAGTAAACTGATCTCAAGTGTTCTGCACTGTGACAACATAAAACAGGGCATTTAAATATACAGGTGCAAAATATTAAATAAATGTAAAATCTAATAGGAAGAATATTTCTTTCATTACAATTCTCAGTTACATATCATATAATTCATGTTATCTCAGTAGGCTTCACAACAAAACTTAAACCCACTGAACCCAACAACTAAAGAATTTATGTGCTACTGTAAGTTTGGTTATTGGTGAAATGCAGTTAAACAAACAAAACATTACATTTTTTTAAATAGATGCTTTGTTTTCTAAGAAAGCTTACATTTTCAGGATTCATTTATATTTAACCAACACAAAGTGCTATATCAAGATTGTAGTGAAGTGTAAATTTATTGTTTGAAATAAATGAGCAAACCGCTAGATTTGAGCAAGTTATTAGCCATTCAGACAGCACTGAATGAAGGTCTGCACCCAATGATGCATAAATTCACACTACCCAGTGCTCTAGTTTTAGTGCCAGTTTAAATAAAAAAGCTATTTTCTCAGCAACCAAGACCACACATTAAATCTCAACCCAAGAGCTTCCCTCAAGGGCTTTAGTACATGGGTCAAACCAACCTGGAATACCCTCAAAACCTCTGCATTATAACACTGATACTTCTTCCATCATAATTAGTCCAGTTTTCAGTTAATCTGGTGTCAATTGCAAAAACACAATGTTAAGAGTCTGCCTTAAGGGCTAGTTTAATTAACCAGGTAGTCTTTTCTAGTTTAAACTGCTTCAATTTCCTTCAATCATTCATGTGACTTTAGCTTAGTCTCTTTATTCATCAGGGGACACCACAGTGGAATGAACCGCCAACTTATCTAGCATTTTTTAAATAGTGGATGCCCTTCCAGCTGCAACCCAGTAATGGGAAACACCCATACACATTCATACACTACGGTCAATTTAGTTTATTCAGTTCACCCATAGTCTTTGGACTGTGGGGAAAACCGAAGCAACTGGAGGAAACCCATATAAACATGGGGAGAACATGCACAGAAATGCCAACTGACCCAGTTTGGACTCAAACCAGCGAATTTCTGAGCCACTGTGCTGACCATCTATCATTTTGCACAACTGAATTTTAAAAACTTTTAATCAGTCTTGGTTATAATCATTAAAAGAAGAAACTTTTAAGACTACATTACAAGTATTACAAGCAGTTTTGGGTTGGGAAGTTATTTCAAGAGAGTCATTTATTAATAATTATTACATATATAAAACTGCATTTAAATTACTTTAAGAAAGTAACAATTATTTAATAACTGACACTCAATTCTGAAAATTCTTATAAATCTCAAAAAATACAAATAAATTTTTTTAATTCTTTAAATGTGACCACCTTTTAGATTTATTTCAAAAGGTTAACAATTCAGAAATGTTAAAATATGAATCAAAACAAAAGACGTTTCAAAGTAATAATGACAGCATATTTTATACATACAATATATTGTCATTTACTTTTCTACTCAATTCATTGTTTCTTAAGCATGTTTATTTGTCTGTTATTATATCGATTAATACATGTTACAATTATATATTAATTTTTAGCTTTAACAATTTAACTTTTTTTTTTACATTTAATAAATGCCGCCTTGATGAACAGAATAATTTTCTTTATATACACAATTACTCTGCTTCTCTTGATTTATACAGAAATGCTGCATTTTTAAGGCAAGTACATTTTAAATAACTGTAATTAAATGACCTAAAAATTAAAAGGTAATTTACATTTTAAGTGGAAAATTACTTCAATTACTTCGTACTTTGTAACACTGATTACAAGGTTTATGCATCTGGTTTAATTTTTTTTCATATTACAATGATTTGATTCTGTGAAAAAAAAAACATTACTGCTATTTCTCCCCTCTTCAGCATCCACAAAGTCTCTTCTTTTTTCCCATCCACCCTAAAACCTTCTCAGCAAGTCCTTGAGAAGAACATGTGTGTCTTACCTCCCTGTATGGTGCTCTGTACCAGCCACAGGACCAGAGAGGTCTGCAGGAGTGCACGGGCCAGCATCTTGGCAGACAGGCAGACAGACAGTTTTAGTGGCAGCAAACAGGTGAAGTGAGAGTCAAGCAGCACCACTGGTCAATCTGGCTGCTGGCCTTTATTTATTAGCTGGACGTCCATGTGTTTTCTGTGAGCGGCCCTGCCCTCTGCTGCGCTATTGGGCACCAGATCACCTGCCCATTCTCTTACTCCTCATCCCAGTCTACACCTCTTTTCCTCATGCTCTACCAAGCCTGAAGACCACAGCCGACTTCATCCAGAGCTTTGTGCCTGTGATTCTGATGAACACAGATAAGATATATAACTGATTATCACACATGCTGGGTAATGACTATTTATTTGTGACTATTTATTTGAGGTTTTTGGCTTGATTCTTTTGTACATTGCATTGGCCTTTTCTTTTAAAAAATTTTTTTTAAACAATACACTGCATTAGTTTGCTTAAAGAGATAAATTACTCATCAGTCACTCTTAACACTCAAGTTATTGCAAACTTTTATGAGTTTTGTTTGTTCTGTTTATCTCAAAAGAAGATATTTTGAAGAATGTTGGAAATAGGTAACCATTGAAATACATAGCCAGGGAATAAAAAATACTTTGGAAGCCATTGACTAGTCTCCGGCATTCTAACTTTTCTGCTGAATACTTGATTCTGATTGGTTGATGAACTTTTCAACATGGAGCTATTTTCAAGGAAACACATGTCTGATTTGGATCCACAAATGTATTTACAGGATAATAGTAATAAAGTATTTCTGTGCTTTTACAATGATATTACATTTCAATAACTACAGAAATTGACTTCTCTTTCTCTTTCATATGCACAGATACACAAGATGCACACTGGCACACATACTCTCAGTAATAAAGGTACATGAGCTGTCACTGTGGCAGTACCTTTTAAAACACATTCGTACCTAAAGGATCCATTTTATTACCTCAGTAGTACATATTAGTAAATATGAAGTAAAAAAGTGTACCTCTTGACATTGTAGGCAATAATATAATCTTTGAGGTACCAATATGAAACTTTTAATGACAAATCGTCACCTTAGAATTATAAGGCTTTATCTGACATTTTTGAGTTATTGACATATTGTTATTAAATGACAACTTGTCTACATTATGGGATGTTTTTTATAAGTTGTTTACATTTTAAGACTTTTTATTAAAAAAAAAAACAATAAAAAAAAACATGTTACAAACATACAATTTGCTATGGAATGCTAAAAACTTTGAAGCTCAATATCTCAAAATCCTTCAGAACGCAGACAGAACCTTATAATTTCAAGGTGACGAAATGTAGATCTTCTGAAAAGTTACTGCCCCAGGGACAAATCTTGTACCATTTTTTTTCTGTGTAGCAAAAAACAACAACAAACTAAACGTAACACTGTCAAGCAACTGTAGTAATAATAATAATTATTTTTATTTTTTTGGAAATGAAAAGCTACATGATGTAACTCATTACTTAAAGTTCCACTGTTCTGCTGGCAAACTCTGTTAAGAGACACACAGACTCCAATTATTTTTTTCTTACTCTCTGTATTATACTGTAAAAAAGCTTAGATTGCTTTTCCTAACAAAAAGAGAGTTAATCAATTGCCTTAAAAGTTAATGAATTCTGTGCATAATTATGAAATTTAAATCAACTTAAATGTTCTAAGTTACAAGCAAATTACTTTTTAAAGTTAGGTCAACATGTTGTTTTTAAGGCACTGGGTTTACTTACTTTTTTAAAGTAAAGTAAATAACCTTGTTTTACAGTGTATTCTGCTATGATTAGCCTCCAATGTCTAATGTGATATGGAATTAGCAACAGTTTGTTCTATTAGGTGTTTTAAGAGCCAAAACCTTACATTTGTCTATAGCCAAATCATTTAAACAATGTCCTGCTAGTGAATTAAGTTGTAACTATACAAGTGAAACAATTGACTCCTTTCCAATGAATTGTTCGGAAAAAAAGTATCACTATTTAGGCTGTGTATTATTTTAATAATTAAATGCCCTGCCTTCAGTTCTTCTTGTACAATATTGTAATAAATATCATATTTAAAAATATAGTGTATAATAAGATATTTTATGTAGCAATATCACAACCATACATAGCACTTCACTACACTGATGGCATAAATAACCTGCCAGCGTATTGATAATAGATGGGATATTCAATTATTATTACAATATGAATCATCTACACACATATTTATTTATAGGGATTAAGCATTGGTCTAAAAATATTATTTTAGGCAGGTCTGCTTTCACACATGGCACTGGAGATGAGGCCTCACCTCACACTAAGAATCAAGCGGCATGATTTATAGCAGTAAAAACACAACGTGAGTCACTGCAGTCGCTTCTGTTTTCAATGATTCGGGAAAAAAATACAGGTTTTCCTTTTGTTTGAATAAATCTTGTCCTCAGATGTTCCACCGCTTGCCCTATGACAGCTCAAAATACTCTAGTTACCCCTGAAGACTTTATAAAAGCTTCCATAATGTTTCTGATAGACATTATGCGTGGATGTGTTATTTAGAAGCATTCAAAATGCTTTGGAGGATATTAAAGCATACATTTTTATTAAAAAAAAGAAATATATTTAAGTGTTACAATAAATTTTATATGCTTATGTGCAGCATATAGTGCACATGGTTTAGTGTATGTGAGCCCTAAGCAACTCCAGTCAACAGTCGTAAAATGCACCCTTTCGACATTTAATCATTAAATCAAACTCTCAATCATTAAAAATCATTATAATCACTCAATGTCCTTTTCTAAGTTTTTACTTTAATGCATGATAATAAATAATAGAAATAATAAATGTTTTTTAAAACTATATCTTTGCTTGATTTGACTACATGATTGGGGACATAAGACAAATTTGCGTAGATGTAATACTTATAATAAAATGTGATTTGTTAAACCCTCACCATACATAATATGATAGAAAACAACATTATAGGTATAATTTATACTTCTATGTATTTATCGGATGTCCTAAAAATTTCTAGGGCCCTATGGGATACTTTGCTTATAGGTTAAATCTGCCCCTGGTTATGAGTTTCATGTACATGTTTCTTCATATTTTATCACACTTAAGTGTTTCTAATCTTTGAGGAATTTGTTAAGAACACAAAACAAGGTATTCTGAAGAATATTACTACTGACATACACTGTTTGACAAAAGTCTTGTCATCGATCCCAGTAGTAGGAGCAACAAATATTAACTTAACTTCTAGTTGATCAGTTGGAAAAGTGGCAGAAAATAGATTTTTCTGATGAATCATCTGTTGAACTGCATCCCAATCATTACAAAAACTGCAGACCTACTAGATCATGCATGGACCTAAGATTCTTACTGAAATCAGTCAAGTTTGGTAAAGGAAAAATCTTGGTTTGGGCGAGAGATCTGCAGAACATCAACAGCCTGAGGTATTTAGACATTTGTGCAGCCCAATACATTAAAAACCACAGAAGGCAAATTCTTTAGAAGGATAGCGCTCCTTCTCATACTTCAGCCTCCACATTCAAGTTCCTGAAAGCAAAGAGGGTCAAGGTGCTCCAGGATTGGCCAACCCAGTCACCAGACATGTACATTATTGAGCATGTCTGCGATAAGAGGAAGGAGGCATTGAAGATGAATCTAAAGTATCGATATGAACTCTGGGAGTACTGCAAGAACACTTTCTTTGCCATTCCAGATGACTTTATTAATAAGTTATTTGAGACATTGCAGAGATGTATGGATGCAGTCAAGTTCATGGGAGTCATACACAATAATAATTCTTTTTCCACTGCAGCATGACTTTATATTCTATACTGTACATTATTGTTGTTAAGTGAAAAGACTTTTGTCTGAGCAGAGTTAAACACTACTGTCCTAATTAGATAATTAAAAATCAAGGCATGATCGTATTTAATTTTGGTAAATGAAGCGTGATCTAGAGGCCTTTGCTTTTCATATAAGCCACTTCTGATACCAAATGATGCACTACAAGTCGAGTTATTATTTGTTGTTCCTAAAACTTGGACAAGACTTTTGTACATATGTACAAAACAGTGTACATAATATGAAAAAAAAACAATGGAATTCAAAAGGAACTTTTTACTATAACATTCTTTAATAGATCTTTTTTGTTTACCAGAAGAAATTGATAAAAGTTTAGAACCACTTGAGTGTGATTAAATGGTGAGGAAATATAAATTTTTGGGTGAACTGTCCCTTTAGGCCACATGTGTCAAACTCAGTTCCAAAAGGGCCGCAGCTCTGCACAGTTTAGTTCCAACCCTAATTAAACACACCTAATCAAACTAATTGAGTCCTTCAGGCTTGTTTGAAACCTACAGGTAAGTGTGTTGGAGCAGGGTTGGAACTAAACTGTGCAGGGCTTCGGCCCTCCAGGAATTGAGTTTGACAACCCTGCTTTAGGCAGACTAATGAGTTTGCTTAAATGGTTTAGGATAGTCCGTATGTGTACTGTGATAAAAAGAGCCCAAGGTTTAAAGTCCAGACAGGTCCTGCTGTTAACCTTTGAGCGACTTTGTTTTAATTACAAACCGTCTACATATCCTTCTAGCTAAAATTTGTAAATAAACCATGTTGAATAATACCAACCAGTGTAGGATGTGTTGTTGCAAAGTTCCACATTATAGGCATTTATAAAAGTTTGTTTTTCACAAGGGAGGACAGTCGCTGGCAAAAATTCAGTCTAGTGAAGTCATATTTGAACAGCAATTTAAAGCCTTCAGCACTACGTCATCACCGGTTTATTGGGACTTTTAGCGTTTTCCACCTTTATGTGAACACGACAAACCTTTGTGCACTGAACACAGAACCTGCACTGAGCAAATCCCAGCACATCCTCTCAATACAAACACAGACACCTTTCACACAGAATGCACACATTACAAGGTAAGACTAGACTAATGACTTTTTTTAACCATCCATCCATCTTCAATCTGTTTGTGCGAGTGTCCTGTCTCATGGGTGTCTGTGTGTTTGTGCTGACTTCAAGTGTGATGAATGATGAATATGCTCATTAAACTCTCAATGTGTTTGTTTGGAAAATATTTTCATTCTAGAAAATGCTTTCACACAGTTTATTTTACAGAGGCATATTCTTGTTTGACACTTTATTAACTGACATTAAATATTATTTATTTTTAATGTGTTTTTTTTAAACAAATGTAGACTGTAGTGTCGTTTTAAAAAGCTAGAAAAACGGATTAGTGCTGCCTCCAAAACTTTCCAGTTCTAAAGCAGCCATGCAATGCAATTTCAGTATGTGCAAAAAACAAAGTAATAGCATAGTCAATATTATAAATGAAATACTTTTAATTCTGTACAAAATTAATAAATATTAATAATATAATAATAATAATTAGACAACTGTATTAAATCAAATTAGTCTATTAATAACACATTTTTAGGGTGTTACTAATACCAGTAAATTGGCTACTCAAAATCACTCAAAAAAAAGTCCATAACTGTGCATCCCTAGCATTAACCAATGGAAAATTGATTAATGCTAGAGATGCACCATTATGGGTTTTTCTTGCCAATATCGATAACCGATAACACTTAAGATTTGGAGGTCGAAACCTGATAAATTAGCCGATAAATATAAATATTTCAAAAAGTTAAATTTTTAGACAGTGAACAACTTTACACTCTATCAAACATCTCAACAATGATAAGGAATTTGATTTATTAATGCACAGCAATACCACACAAAGAAATGACGGACTTTAAAGGAATAAACAATGTGAGAAAAGCTACATAGTGCACTGGACAAGTTCAACCCACACATGCACGAGGCAGGCAGTTCTGTACAATTACATAATCTATCAGCTTAAAGGTATTGCCTTCATTTTGATATTGGACCAATAATGATTATATTAAAAATAGCATTTATCGGCCGATATCGATATGGCTGCCGATATATCGTGCATCTCTATTAATGCAATTAATTACATGAATTAAGCATGAACAACAGTTGTACAGTATTTATGAATCATATGATTTAACATTTACTATTGGATAATTAAAATCTCAAGTTGTGCTTGTTAATGTTTTAAATGCACTGTGGTTACCAAGAACTAACAATGAATGACTTTATTTTACTCTACAAAAGTGAATAAATTGTGGGTTCATTTTCGTAAAAACATTCCTGACAATAACTTATAACCTTGTTGTTAAGTGCTACCATTGTGTAATTGTTTTCCTCCCAAACACTCTTCTCCTAATAATTTTGTACGAGAAATAGAAACTCCAACCAATACATTAGCAATGAGGTCAGCCGAGTGTGCTTGTCAGTTTACTCACCCTCAAGCCATCAAAGATGTAGCTGACTTTTTTTCTTTTTAAAACATTAAAGATGATTGTGGTATTGTTCATTTTAATGGTTGAGCTTTTCTCGGATGCTGTAAATATGTAAAATAGAAAAAACAATCATCAGCTAACATGCGAGTTTAAAACAAAATGTATTTCATTACAAAATAGGAAGCTCACACTTGACCATTTGAGTTGACTGTGGATTAAAAGTAATATTTATGTTTAAACAATGTTCAGTTTGAATGGTTAAGTTATTAAATCTCAATGTATCTAGTTCAGTAAATGAAATGACATACCATGGCCTTCGAACACCATTGTTTGTACCAATGAGTATAAAGTCCTAATAAAAAAACAGTCCAATCGGAACAAAACACATTCTGGCGATCCATTGGAATCATAAATATGCATGCCCCAGTCAGTGTTTGATTGGCCACAACGCTTTCTAATGAGATTACAACAATAAAACAATAGTAAGAGCTGCACATTATATCATTTCACCATCGATATCACACTGTCCGCATCCACAATAGTAACATTGCACGATATTATCAGTCATATATAGTCTACACCAGTGGTGCTCAATCCTGTTCCTGGAGAGCTACCTTCCAGCAGATTTCAGTTGCTACCCATATCAAACACACCTGAACCAATTAATTAGGACCTGAACACCACTTGATAATTACAGGCAGGTGTGTTTGATATGGGTAGCAACTGAAATCTGCCGGAAGGTAGATCTCCAGGAACAGGATTAAGCACCCCTGGTCTATACATATTAGCGTGTTTGCTTGTGTGTAAATGTCAATCACACACTCCAAATATGCTCAAAAACAAGCTGTTGTTTTTTGTTTTATAGGTAATATGGTTATAAATGAGCGTATAAAACCGCTTTTGGAGAATTTTTGCACTTACCTAATGACATCTTTCATTTTGATTTACCCATTTGTTTTTTTAGACTCTCAAAGTGCGATTAGCCTTTGACTTGCATTTGACGAATTACTATCATCCAAAGTTTTAGCTAAGAATATTTGTTAATGGTCAACTGAGGAAAAAATGGCTGTCCTGAGCGCGAGTAATTTAACAGCAAATTTTCATTTTTGAGTGAACAATCCCTTTGTTCCTTAATGTCATCATTACAAACAGTGAATGATCCAAAAATCCAGTGAATCCTGATAAAAACACTGTTAAGTTGTTAAACCAAGGAAGATTCAGATGGGGGCGCTGTGATTATGTGCTCATAACCTTAAAATAGACATAAAGACGGACAGGTTTGATGTAGCTGGGAATTTGTGTCCTCTATTGTCCACTTAAATGGACACCCAGAAATTAACCACAAGCCACCCAGAAGCTTGGAGCAGAAACGAACACATACTGTACCACAGCATATTACCTGATATCTGGTGTCAGAGCCGTTAATAAGCAAATTTTCCATTTCTAAATATACCTCACACGCAGTTTGAGGCCCGCAGGAGTTTGACCGTGTGCCACCGCTACAGAAGATGTGAAGATAAATAATCACCAGCACATTTAGTTTTTCTGAAAGCTTAGGTACGCACAAGAATGTGTGCGTTTTTGTGTAAATGACAAACTTACGAGCGTTTATGAGTCTTCTGTGCTCAAGTTGCATAATAAACTATAGCAGTGTAACTCCACACACACATACCTAGTATTTCTGTGGCACAGCGCTCCATGATTTTGGGCATGGCAGTCTCTCGGCTGCACCTGTGCTGGTGCTGTGTTGGCGTTTCACTTCACGGAGTGTATCATAAACTGTGGGAACACACACTGAACCACAGAAACATAGCGGTGTCTAATACACTTTGACTTTCACATTAACCTACAATGTATTTCTGGCTTGTTCATCAAAATATAAGGTAAATGTAGTAAAGGGTACAGCGAAGTTCAGTCACGTTTTTTATGTTTCTACTAACATACACTGTAAAACCCAACAGTCAACTTTATCAAATGATATGAGTGCAGTTAACTTAAAATTGACTGAAAGTTAATTCTACTCATTTGAAAAGAGTTGAGCTCAGTGTTAAAAGTAACAAGTTAATTAAATACCTCATCACTTCAGCTTAAATTTAGTTCAAAGTACTCAAATAGATTAGTTTTTAACTCGAATGGTTTGTTTCAATCGGTTTCCTCAAACAGTTTGAGTTGCCTTAACTTATTGGGTTTTACAGTACTCAGTTGGCTTAAGTTCTCTTCATTTATTGGGTTTTATTGGGCTCAAATTGCTTCGTTAACTCAAATGGATTAAGCAGACAGTACTCATTAGGATTAGTTTTTGAACTTAAATGGTTTGCTGCAATCGGTTTCCTCAAACGGTTTGAGTTACCTCAACTTTTTGGGTTTTACAGTGTAGTGTAATTAACCAAAAAAAAAAAGTTTTTTTTTTATTTGGTTTTGGCCAATTCTTGACTTAATTATTGATCAGATTTTATTATTGAGCAGCAAACCAGTATATAGTAATATTTTTTGAAGACTGAGATGCTGATATTTGATTTCACATGACAGAGATATAAATTACATTTTTGGAAATATATTAAAGTATTTTAAATGTTTATTGTATATTTTACAACTCTACTATTCTTATTTGATCTGGCAAATGGATAAACAGATGGACGAATTGATAGATGGATGAAATTGAAAGACAAATTGATAGACAGACAAATACAGACAGACATGCAAACAGAAACAGTAGAAAGACGTACAGACATTTCAGAAATATTCTTCTGGCAGTGATATTTCTTCTTTCCAATGTCCTGCTGGCACAATCAGACAGAGACAATATTGGTGGTGTGTTTTACTATGTCAAAGATTTGCTCAAGAGTCTACAGCAAGATGCCTTTACTAAAAACAGACAAGTGCAGCCCTGCCCTACTCCAAGACATACAGTGAAATGAGACAGCACAAAATGGAAATGCAGGCCAAGAACTTTAAAAAAGACATTTGTTTTTCACACAGAGAAAGGATGTAACTGTGTTAAAAGCTTTTTTTATGGGTCAAAGAAGAACAGATTTTTTTTCAAGAATGATTTTAAAATAAAAGCTTTAAATTAATAAAAGCTTTTGTTAATAAAAGTTTTTCACATACATAAAAATTAGGACTGCAAATACAGTATATCACTATAGCTTCAAAATTGCAACGTGTGTATTTAAATGTGCAGATTTAATTGTGTATAGAAAAGGATAATTGTAATTGCAATGTATAAAGTGAAGACTATGCAGTGTAATTTAAAGTTTTACTATTCAAGTTCTGCGCCTGAATACTGTTAGACACCTTAAAAACGTACAAAATAATGACAGTTTTTACCAGTGTTGGGGAAAGTTGCTTTTGAAATGAATGCATTACAATATTGAGTCACTCCCCAAAAAAGTAAATTGTTGCGTTACTCAGTTACTTTTTATAATAAAGGAGCTCTGTAATTGCTAAGACGCTGTATGACCTACAGTAGCCCTACATTTACCTTTTAAAAGCATGGTAACACTTTACAATAAGGTACATTAGTTAATGCATTTACTAACATGAACTAATCATGAACAACACACGTACAGCATTTATTAATCTTAATTAAACATTTACTAATGCATTATTAACATTCAAGTCCGTGCTTGTTAACATTAGTTAATGCACCGTGAGTTAACACGAGTTAACAATGAACAACTGTATTTTCATTAACTAACATTTACTACCATGAATAAATACTGTAGTAAATGTATTGTTCATTGTTTGTTCATGTTAGTAAATGCATTAATTAACATTAACTAAAGAACGTTATTGTAAAGTGTGACCAAAAACATATAAAACATTTTTTTAGGATAATGTTATCTGAGAACTTTCTGACCCCAGAGCTATACATGCTGTATACAGATTATTGCAAGTTTAAAGCAATGTGTTTGCTACTTTTATACTATTTGTCTTAAGTAAAAACACTGTCCATTGAGACTATGATTCACTTTTGCTTTTCTTCGATGCATTCCAAATAATGAACACATTCTCTCATTGACAGCGTGATTCATTGTGACTATTTGAATTTTAATTCAGCAATTTATTTTTTAAAAGCTCATTAATTTAACTTAAAAAACTTAAAAAAAAGTATCTCAAATGTTATTTTTAAAGTGAGGCACTTCTTTACTTGTTACTTAGAAAAGTAATATTATTACTTAACTTGTACCACTGGTTTTTACAATATTGCACAGCCTTAAATAGAAAATACCTTGTTTCTTTTTTTACCATGCCTCACATAAGATACACACTGAAGTGTAATTAAACTGCTTAGATTTTTTTGTGAATATATTTTTTAAATAAAAATATCTGTTAAACAAAAACACAACGTTTTGTTACACGAATGACATTTTTGCCGAAAAGGATAGACTTTTGGTATAATTGTGGTTCCCTATACTGACACTGACATTGTTCCCAAATCAGCAAACATGTTTGGTTACCCATGAAGGCAACTCTCTGCCGAAACACATATAGGTTTTTAAGGATTAACCTTGTGAATAAAGGCTTTTAAATATTTCTTCCACATCTTTCCAGTGCCTTGGACTGATTTTTGCTGTTTATTCTGATGAATCCCTAGCCCAAAGAGCACTGGCACATTATTTAAGCTACTCCAGAGCACTTTTTGTTTGATTTTGGATTTGCGGCTCAAGAACATTTATAATTATCATCCTCACGGTTGAAAGAGATTGTGCAGCTCTAGATCGCTCAAATCAGTGAAACAAATTTTAATGATTCATTAATAAATGTAAATAAAAAAAATGTATTTACTTGAGATAAAAGTCTTTTGCAACATAATAAATGTAAACTGCACTTTTTCATGCATCCTTGCTAAATAAAAAATATGAACATAAATTAATTTTGTTTCTTTTTATAGCTATGACTAGTAATAGTTGGCACAAATAACTTCACTGCCAATTCATCATTCTGTATCTTTAAACCAAAACTCCACACTTCCATCCCACCATTGCAGCAATTTCTTTCCTATTTTGACATGCTCTATTCTGATCCCCGTTTTTTTCCCTCTGCCAATCTGTCTGCCAGACGGACCTCCGCCAATGCCCATCTCACACAGGAATTCTCCATACCACTTTAACAACTACTGACCACATAACGATGTTGATTTCCTTTATCACAGCATGTTCAGCCAAACAGACTGCTAAGTCCAAACACATTCCTGACTAGAGTCCCGTAAACAGATATTAGTTCAACAGAACCCCTCAAATCACTGCCCACGGCCTCCTCTGTGTTTAACCTGTGCCAGCGATGGTATAGTCTCATGTTCCTAACAAGTTTCATGGTCAAAGATTTCTGTAGTTTGTACAGTGAATTCAGTCAAAACCAAAGAAATCTTTACTACTCTGTTTATACACATATTCAACTCTGTTGAGTCTACATGTCTCCAGAGACTCTGCAGCATGCCAAGTTTACAGAAACAGGTGTATGCTAGATTAACCAGGAGAATGCTAGAGAAAGAAAAGCCATTCCCCATATGAACCCGCAAAATGGCTCTCCATAGGCTTACTTAAGAAATAATAAATACACTAATTTCCAAGTCACACTCTATTCTTACCATCTGTGCCAAAAGCGTGTGTCCCTTTAAAGCATAGGTCTCAAACTAGATTCCTGGAGGGCCGCAGCTCTGCACAGTTTTGTTCCAACCCTAATCAAACACAGCTGATCCAACTAATCAAGGTGTTTGAGACTACTAGAGACTATGAAGCAGGTGTGAGTTGCAGTTGGTTAAAGCTACAGGAGAGCTGCGGCCCTCCAGAGTTTGATACCTTTGCCTTAAAGGGACAGTTCACCTAAAAACACACTGGTTTGGTTCGAAACTGTTATGAATTTTTGTTTTGTTGATCACAAAACATGATATTGTGAAGAATCTTGAGGAACAGGGGTCTGTTCTTCGTACCTTGCTTAAATGATCTAAGATGATTTGGCCGATCCTGGATCTTTTAATCTTGATAACTGATCTCTCGCTAATTTGGTTCTTCAAACAAGTTCGCGAATCAGATTAGAATGTCTGGATGAACTGATCTGAGATCGCTGCGTGTGTTGTGAAGGACAGATCTATCGATCCTCGAAATCATGATCAGCAATGCAGCGATTGGCTGACGGCACAGCAGCGTAATGACATCATCTGATTAATATTCAATTATCCATGTGAGCAAAATTACATCAAATTAGCAGTAAACAGTTTGTTAAATATGACACGCAATAACCTTTCACATTTGTTGTAAGCGGCAGTCTTTATTATAGTAGCCGTTTTTTTAATCGCTGTATGGAATAACTGGATGTTTACAAAAGCATTTTGATATTGGTAAAGGCATGTGCAACTTTTGTGAAGCATAATCACTGGCATATTAACTGTCAAAACATGTTTATGACTGCATTAATGTATTATTTCTTTTTTTTTTAAAGTCACATATTCTGCATTATTATTATTATTATACACAAATTGTACTAAAGCGATCTAAAAAGTTCATATCAATAAGTTCTCTCTTTGCACCAGCAGGTGACAGTCTTTGTACTTTCATTTCGGGGGGTGCAGATTGCATAAGTTTTATTAATATATATAACTTTATTTATTTTATTAATAACTATAACTTTATATATATAGTTAAAAAATATTTACTATTTTCCCAAGTGTATAAAACTACTACTGTAAGAAAATATCAGAATTTGGAACATGCTTTCTCTATTATTTGCTTTAACTGAGCCGATCTAATCCTGTTTATATGAATTAAACCTGCTTCCGATCAGGTTTGACCTAGCAGAACTGTTGCCATGACAACAACTCTCAGATCAGCTTTGAAGAACGAAACGATCCTGGATCATGTCAAAGTCAATATCCAAATCCAGCTAACTGAGTAATCCACGTATGAAGAACGGACCCCAGCGGCCCTTGACATTTATAGGAACAGCAACAACATCAACATACTATGAAAGTCAATAGATGTTTTTTCTTTTTTTCAGCAGAAACTTAAAC